CGCTCAAAGGGAATTCTTGAACATGCACGCTTGCCGGCTTCACGTTGACGAAAAGATAAGCATCCCATTTATTAAAAGTAATATAGCAGTCGCAGATATCTCGTGTGGTCAACCATTGTAATTGCTGGTCTAAAGGCCTATCGAAATTGAAACATTTCGCTATATACACAATTAGTTTTTAATCGAATTCGCCCACAACTACCAGTTCGAAGCACGTACGCTATGTTTACTTTTAAACAACTCCTTATCGGTAATATAGTATAATAAAGTAAAATTAATTCTGTCAGATAATAGTTGGCTTCCGCATATGATTTAACAAAAACTCTAACCCAACAACAAAGCTATCTTTCAAACAAATTTGACTTTCTGGGCAGTTGCATTGCTCATCTGTAAATGCCTTGTCGGAACATCATAGAGACGTGCATGAGCGTCTAAGCATCACAACGATGCATACTTTACGTTAAACTGGCAGTTTGAATCCCCTTCTTTACTTTGTCTTTCCGTATTGATTTCCGTTTTTGAGGAGTTTTTATTGTTTATAAAACAAAAATGTCATCGAGCAAATCAGCTCCAGATAAAAAAAAATCACCACTTCATCTATTATCTGGGGGCACAGAATGCGCATCGACGTCTCGTACTGAATAGCTCGTATATAATTACTATGCGTTTTTACTTTTCCTATAGACCGCAATCGTCCAACACGTTTTAGGTCATCAGAATAACTTATGCCAACGTGGATGTGAGCATAGATATAGACATATTCGTTATACATATACGCAGAGTGGGGCATTTGAATTTGGACGGACTTAGACAGGCTGCTTGTTGTATTAAGCATGCGTTTATTCGCTATTATTGGTATCCGAGGAAAGCCAGTTCCTGTAAGAACTAGTGCAAGAGAGTTCCGTAACGAAAAACAGCGCGCGCTTTTCGAATTTGAGCGAAGAACAGCTATGATCCAACGTGTTCACGCGGTCAGCGGAGCCCTCCGCCGAAATTATAAATTAATTTTTGGCCCGAATTCGACGGCCTAAGTCACTGCTGCAGTCGAAAAATTCGAGAAAGATTCATCGGCAACAAGTCGGAAAATCTTCAATAGCGTACACATTTAAAGGGCACAGGAATTTACCCAAGTTAGCCTTTTTGAGACTTTCTGCGCCCTTTCATACTATCTTATGAGAAAATAATCGCGAGAGCTCAACCCTTTTTTAGTTAATAGAGTTAATTATTAATATTAGCAACAGCAGAGTATTGACGAAGTTAGCTTCATCTATATCATACAAGTCTCTAAAAAATGCGTAATTTTATTCCTTAGTTGTACCTTTCTGCACTTTCGCACCCTTACGCAGACCAATAATATTCAGGAATGCAGAAGAACGCAATTTGTATAGTATAACGATTCTTCCTGGTACTACTATATATGTATAATAAAATGCAAGATATTTACTTTTCAACGAACTTTACTTAAAAGTGAAGCAGTGGTTAAGCTAATGGCTGTAGCCAATTATGAATTTGTCTTGGCTTACACCCACCAGCGCGACGTCATCATTGAAATATGATTGCGTTGAAGATTCGATTTTCCGGCTCGTCACAAATGAATAGATATCGCCTTTGCTTCAAATGACGTTTCGTACAACAATTTTGGGCAAGCAATCATACTTAATAATGATAATATAAGTAACTACATGTGACGAACTAAAGGAAGGGGACATAATTCATATAATTCATCCGGGGCATTAATGATAATAATTAGAAACGTTAGTTCGTTAACGTATACTTTGTATGCGCGAAAGTCACGTAGAAATGATTCCAGCCGTTTTCTCAGCCATTATGCTTTAAAATGACAATAAAACTTCAAAGCTAAAGGGCAAATAGCCCCTTGCTCAGTCCAATTATTCCACTGTCTTCTTGATATTAATATTCTTAAAAAGTCCTATTGACATTAGTGCTTTCCTATGCAAAGTGGACCGCGAAAAATTAGCTAGTCGTGCCTCGTGTAAGAATGCCGCTATTAATTTGCACATAAAATTTCTAGTAGTCATCCCTTAGATGAACGATCTATTGAGAAAAAGCTGTATGGCATTAGATGGACATAGTCACGGCTATCCGATCGTAGCGCAACGTCATCAGTGCTAGCGTCAGTCGACGGTGAAAATTGAAGTCATTATAGGGTACCCTCTATTCTTGTCGATTAACTATCTGGAAAACGCTAGTTCTCACCGTAGAGTGCTTAGGTAGACAGAACCGATGTCGCCTTGTAGCTGACGAACTATGTCAATATTCATTTTGTAAATGTGCTGGGGACTAGCCAGTTAGCAAGGATAATATATTTTCTTCTGGGTACGCAGCTTTTCTAAGACACCGATAATATCAGCACAGTAGTATCATTATTCAGTATTTGTTGATAAAAGGGTTTTTGAAGTAAACTTGACACTGTTTTGACACTGATATGAGGAGCTGTAGCCATAGTCAGCCTGAAGCCAAATAGTCACTGTTAGCTGGGGTAACCTGGATATCGATGGCCCTCTACGGGTAAAGGATTGACGGATTTTTTCTCGACTATGTCCTTCGATTGTTTCCGTTCTTATATAAATCGTTGTTTCTTTGCCTCGACCGGCTCATGCTTATATATTTATTACGTTTAGTTCTTGCCCTTCTCTGCTGTCCTTGAGCTTGCCTTATTGCGCTATCATTATGACCGTCTCCTTTCAAAAAGTAATCGCATCTATACTATTAGCGTTAATTTGTACATGAAATTTTGAGACTTTTCATTTTAACGGGTAGTTCACCTAGAAGTAAACACGCACGAAGGTACAGTCGACAGTAGCAGAGATAGATAACTGCTTGCGATACGACGTTGAATAGCAACCTCGCAAGAGCTGTAATAGCACTCATCATCTGAAACTCTAGTGAAGACAATTCTGATATGGAAGTTCATCAACGTTCTCTTCGTACTTCGATTTATCGTCCGATATCCCCAAATCCAACTTGCTCTTTCTACAAAATATCTCCTATGCCGTTTCCACACCTACGGGGAAAAATCCTAGACTTTAGTTAGTCACAGGGTCTGGTACTTCCTACTGATTTGCTGTCTCCGTCTCTATATAAAGAGGCCAAGTGGAGGTGCAGGTAAGTGCGACATCACTGATGTCCGATTGTTTTGACGCAGTGAATGCGTTAAGTGTTGTGAGACAATTGATAAATAACAATTAGAGGCCTTGTCGTCTGCGAATATAGGCAGGCATTCATACATGTTGAGTTTTCAGTCAGCCATTAAGTAAAAGGCCTTGATGCGGCCTACACTTTAATATGTCCTCTAGTGCATTAAGTCTATTTTTCCCTAGAAATATTACGACAACCAACTTAAAAATAGACGTGGACGTATTTCACGTAGACATGTAGAAAGGTTTAAAACCTCCCCAAATGCACTTTGGATACCTTGTGCATTTTAAGCAAAATTATCTGTGTGTGTTTACGGAAAATTTATGAATAACGTTTCGTGTGTCTAGTGCCATGTGTGTTTTTTATTTTTCTGAAAATGCCAGAAAATCTTTAGAACTAGCCATTGCAACAGCAAAAAATACTCAATATGCTGTACAGACATCATGGGCTTACGAATATTTCGAAACGTGGTAAACGGTACCTAATATTTCTATTAGGGATGTATTCTGCATGTTATGCCATGCTTGTCCATCTGTCTGCCTTCGTCTACGCGAATAATAGGTTCTATACCTTACAGAATATGTAAGCGGTAGTTCAATGTAGTTCAAATGGCAGGTAAACTAACATATTACCTATAGCATAAATCCTCCTGAGTGCCCAGTTTAGGATTTTTTTTACGGCAGCGATATCCAACGAAACGTGCACAACTCACCCTAGCTCATGCGTTAAGTAACCTTGAGGGCTCAATTATATCACCCAGCGTGACAAGTTAATTGCGGTTATTTTGTGGATTTACTGCACAGGTTGTAGCTAGACTTGGTAGCCCCTAACAATTTGCCTGACTTTTGCTCCCTCTTAGAATGTAAACGGTAAAAACGCGCTTACACCGGCTCGTTTTTATGGTTATTAGTGTTTTCTGAGAAATAGAGCATTGGTAATCATTCGACAAATATACCTGTGTTACTTATGGCATATACTTTAACCATTGTAATGAAATGATTGCCATGTTTAGTGTTCAGTTCCAATTTGAATATCTACTTAATAGAATAACAACACAGTGAAAAAAAAAAAAAAAAAAAAAAAAAAAAACAGTGAAACTTCTGACGGAATCACTTTTTCGGGTTTCGAATAAGCAAGTTTCGAGTCTGCGATGAATCATCATAGATAATAGGTGTACGAACATCCGGTGAATTGGTACCGAACTCAAAGACCTCATCTAAATACGACAGAAAACGCACTTATTTGATGGTATCATTTTTCTGCCTTTGCTATAGTTATACAACCGCAAACGGGGTGACTCTACACTGGCTATATTTTTTAGGCTGTTAGATCATTCCCTTGGCGGCTGATCACGCTTACAGTGCCGTGATTTTTCCCACTCGTGTTTTCTGTGCCATAGCTGCTAATGGGCTCGCCGATATAGTTTTTTTTTTTTGTACTAAGGGTTTACCTGTAGCGTTTGCTCCGTCGATATGTTGATATTACCTTTGAATTTATGGAAAGTGTCAAGCTGTATAAATTTATGTAGCAAAACAGGATACAAATTGTATTTTATTACAGACCCCATTGTTTGCCAATATGGATCCACTCGATAGTAATCTTGTTTCTATAATCTAGGCTTTGGATAGCTGCGAAAGGGAAAATATATTGGTTTTGACAAGCGATACAAATTACATGAGCAAAATAAATAGCTGGGGGGCTTATCTTCTAATGTACCAAATGCTAAGAATCGTCCTGATTTTGTTATGTGTTCGGTTAAACGGAAACAAATGTATGTAAGAATTTTATGAGTCCGAATTAGGAAGTTTCGCAGTACCTACTCAATTACCTATTCAACTTACCGATTCGCATCTGCGAACGCAATTTATGCTGGAATTCCTAGCCGATTCAAATAGGCAGATCACCACACTCGTCAAGTTGACGACCCATGACCCCCCTCCCTAGACGGTTCTTTCATCTTTCTCCTTTTTTGTTTTGCTGCGGTTTCCTTGCTTTCCCTCTGTCAGCTATCTTCCACAAAGAATAAAGTTTAATACGTTCCGCTGACAGAACGCTTCCTTAGATAAATTTATCCATTCAACTTTATGCAATTGACAATTTTATCAACTCTAAATACTGTCACACTTAATCCAACGAGGCTTTGAGAGCGTTTTTACCACGTGTATATAACATCATAAACACAGGCGGGTTCTCGTTGACGTTTGCCCAAATAGTGGCTTTTGGCTAATGGTAAAGTTGCTACACTACACAGACGCACGATCGACGGCACTGGAAACTTCATTTAAGCTCTTTCCTTTTTAACTTTTGCTGAACTATTTCGTTTTATCTCTGTATACCAGTGAAGTTTTCCAAAAACATCAACTTGTCAGGTGTTCTAAGATGCGCGAAAGGTTCTTCCTTGGGGCTAAATTATTTCACGCATTTACATGCAATTACTTTGCAATTCAACAACGTACCACCGCGAAGTGAAAATTTTGCCGTAAAAATGCAAATGACGACTGTGCGGAAAGGCCAGAAAACTTCACCGTGAAACAGCAGAACGGGACAAGTTGGCCTGTTCAAAAGACAGTTGCACACCACGATAGACGTCATCGACGTCGACGACCAATGGCAGAAGATTTGTTGACTGTCGTCACTTTCTCGTTTGATGTTTCTAGAGCTTCGGCAGTTTCTGTAGAGCTGCCGTCCCGTTTCTGAGTCTCTGGCGTAGCCGAAGACGACAACTACAGCTGCCCGATTTTCCAGCAGATGCTACTTTCTAGACTCCTGCCACATATTTACGCCGCTACACCGCACTCCATAATATCCTCCAACAGCTGTACCACATAGGCAACTAATTACCACTGCTGGTGATGGTTTGACTTTTCGTCAGGCTGTTGTTGATGTGTTTTGATTCCGCCAGTTCTTGTTCCTTCTTCGTCGTTCTTTTTTTTTGCTGCGTTCCACTCGGCGCCGTCAACAGCACCACGACGACGACAATGCGTCTACTGCCAATACTATAGCAGCGGCGCCACCGCTGCGGCTGCTCTGTTATGTTCGCTCGTCGCGGTTGATCATGTAGCGCCGCTGCCAGTCGCCGCTCCCTGTTCACTGCCACTTCACTACGATCTATTATCGTATTCACTGGTACTGTGGCGCTGGTGGCGCTACGGATGCTGTCGCTGCTGCTGTTACCGCTGCAGCCGCTTTTGCGGCCTGTCTGCTTATCCGGCCATAGAACAGAATAGCTCTCACAACGCACGCTCAGCTACGAGACGGCGAAGCTGCATGCACATAGGCTTGTGTGTCTATCGGGGTATGAACGTACGGTGCGGCGTTTGACTAGGCCGATACCAGCACAGCTGCTGGTGCTCTGCTGCTGCTGTGACTAGCTAGCTTCGCAGAGTTCGGCGAGATGGCCGTACCGTCAGTTACATACTGTTAGATTGGAACTCCCTTTCTCTTTTCTGCGAAAGCGAAGAGATATAATTAATTATAAATTGGTTAGTTTTCAAGCTGTCTGAGAATTACAATTGTGAGGTCGGCGAGTTTTGAAATACTGGTTCATGATTGGGGTGTTATCACGGTATTATAAACCTTGTACGGTAAGGTAACCCAGTAGAAAGGGAGTGCCTGTTACGTGGGCCTGTTCCCTCTCTGTACGTTCAGCGACAGTTTTTATAGTAAAAACTCCTTCTCCTGTTCTGCGATTGTAATGCGTCTTCCATGCTAGCTTGTTATTTATGTTGACCGCTTATTGCGGCAGGTAATATTGGCCCAGCGCGATCTTTCCCTTTCCATTCTGTCTCGTTGCCAACAGTAGTTCTGGTGTTAAGATGAAAATAGAGTTCATGAATGTGGGTGAGACAGCCCGAGCCGATCGGATGTAAACTTTCGCAGATGTTTGTGAGCAAGAGCCACCCGTTACCGCCATACAACTTCTAACAGGTTTATGGTCTACCGGCCACAGGCCTCTCGCCACCACGCGCCGCTCACGAGCCATGAGCGCCATCTGGCGGACGCGGGCGGCACAAGTCGCAAGTACAACGGAACGAAGACGGCGCTCACGCGTTCAAGCGCACCAAAGACACAAAGCCACCGACGGAACAGTTGTTGTATAGAACTTATCCACGGACAAGACATACAATCAACATCTATAAAGGAGCACATTATTATATAGAACTGGCTTTTCCTCTTATCGCCAGTTGTTTAGGTACAATATCGCCTCAAAGACCAGAGAGACGAGATTTCATAACAGAGTCGTGTTCGATGCGAATGAACGTACATTGGGTATTGTAAGCATCTAGATTCTTCCCGATCCACTGGGTACCAGAAAGTTATAGCGATGGATTTTTGTCGGTCACTTTGTCATTCCCCATCCAGATGACGCTGTTGCTGTCGCCACTGCTGCTGGTACTTGCATGATCTCGAAACTCGGTGGTAGGCCGGTTTAATGGGCACCATTCAGTTGGGGCTGCTGTAGCCGCTCACCTGGCCGCGACGCGTGGCTCTTCGAAATCGTTTTTGCTGCGCTTCTAGGGCGCCTATAGGAAGACTGTCTCCTCGCATAGATTAAGCCACTTTACTAATTAACAAATTAAGGAAGATTACGATAGAATGGAGAAACTAGGAAGGTCATAGAAAAGCCAATATGAACGACAGCTGAAGTCTGATTATTAACGTATTACTTAATTAACAAATGTACCAACACATGTCCTGTTCGTCGCGAAGAGCATCACGCTAAGATCATCATCCTATGAAAGTTTACCTGCTCACAATTTTTTTTAGTTAAATCAATAGGTAAATATAGGGTTCCTTTATAGGTCCGTGCGATTTTTACGTCGTCTAAAACACTCGACGAGTGATATGATACACATAAACAGTAAAGTATACACAGTACGTCTAAAAAGTGTTTTTACTACTTAATGAATGACAATTTTCTGATTCTTTGCTCTTCTCAGGGCGCAATAGATTAGAGATATTGAGTAGTATTAGGCTTGTAGACAACCTTTAGAAAAACCAAGAACATCGACGAGCTTTATCAACCAGGAAATAGTACTGGGAAGTCATAATCAGGCGTCTCGAACCAATGTAATCCAATCAAGTCATATATATGACGTCAGAGGACTAAGATGTTACAAATGGAAAAGTTTAATTTCAGCAACGGTACATTCGATAAGTGAAGATGACGCGGACCATATTTAGAAATATTTCGGGAAAAATCGTTTAGCGAACTTTATATTAAGTCGCACAATTGATAGATGCGGCTACACTTACTGGCCGGCTTGTAAATCCACATGTTATACAGGAGTACCATGCAAATTTAGCAGGATCTAAGTGAAGCGTTGCATTTTAAGAAAAGGGTTAATTGGACCATTCTTTTTTGACAGTACAGTGATTGGTATAAATTACTTGAATTTATAGCAGGAATCTATTTTACCGTGCATTCGGAAAGCCTTTGATGGTGATAACAAATTTTGTTCACAATTGGACGGGCCACCTGTACACTATCACCGTGATGCAAGAGCACCTCTCGATCGGAATCTTCAAAACAGAAGGGTTGGACGAAGGGGTCCCATAAAATATTCTGCCCGCTTTCGAATCCGACGCTAATAGACTTTTAGCGTAGAAAAGGATACCGTAATTCTGCGCCAGAAAGCCGATGACATTGGAGCGTTTAGATATTGTAATTAAACAAGAAATATTTGTCAAAGTTTGCGAATCAATAACATGTATTGACCATTATGATAATAATTTTGGATATGTGCGCTAGAAAGAAGTACATACGTTTTTTGAAAATCGAATATTAATTATATGTAAATAAAAGCAAGAATCATGATCGTTTAAACTAGGTATACATTTTTGGACCCCTGTACATATATACAGATAGCGAGCAGGGCAGATAATTTCGGACAAGGCTCAGGACCTTTTTTCTGACATCTGTTTGACCGGTTATCGCTATGGGAAATAGCTGTGTCTTGAGAAGTAGATCTACTCTCCTTTTTTGGTCTATCGACAACTCCATTTTTGGTTTCCTTCATATCACGAATACATATGTTGCAGCCATGATCACGACCGCACATAAGGTCGCCGGAACAATTCCTTCACCAGTTGACCGCATGTCAATACGTACTTCCATCGAGATCTTTGAGTAAAAAAGTTTCCTTTCTTTATATCATCAGCGTCTTATTAGTGTCCGGCCTGCAATACCAGTGTTGCCATTTGGTACCTATCTATTAGCTTTTGGTTAGCCTGAGCGTATTTGGCTGTTCTTCCACCCCTTTTCCGCTTTCGTTCGAAGTCTTCGGAGAAACTCGTGCAAGCCTAGCTCCCATCGTCCTTAGCTCCAGTCAGAAAGAGTTGATACTCGTCAACAAAGGCACTAGTCTTTTGATAGTGTTAGGATAGAGTCGGTTGAAAAACCCAAGTACTTTTACGAGTCTTCTGTTTTAGGCCAGAAATATCTTTAGTTCCTCGTTGTGGCCTACTATATCCGACAAAAACAGCTCAGAAATTGTTTCACCCGATGATTATATTGAGCTAACGATAAACTCACCTGGTACAATCCAGTGCCTAATGCTTGAATTCTTGCTTCACGGGAACCGTCAGGGATGTCGTGATTAGCCCCAAATGAGTGGGTTTTGTAGGTCGGGTTGACCTGGATCGGACGGCGGAAGAGAAAAATTAATTATGACGAAAAACAGATAAGTTTTTGTAAATAATTGTCTTGAAACAGAATCTGGGACTTCTGAACAGTAATTTAAATTTTAATTTACTGGATTGACGTAATACTTAATCATGGACAAGCGATCCCTAACATACACACAGTTATCTGGAACGATCTATGGTAGATGTAAAAACCTAAAAAAGTCCTGACTAAGCTGGATCTCTTTATCAGTTCACAGTAAATAGTCAAACACATTATTTTGAAGAAAAAATCGAGAATAAAAAAGGACTAGCGGATTTTGGTGGAACCAAGTCTAACTATCATGGGAGGAGTTCCAAGCTGAACAAGCGTTGTCCTGGGGACGTTCGGCTACAAGCAAATCGCATTAGTCGAACCCCCTTAAATAAGCATTGAAAGAAAATAAAAAATTATGTATATATATATATATATGTATTGTGGTCATTGAAAATGTACTGATGGTTCTTCCAGCTGCATACGTTAGGTAATATGAGTCACCTCGTATCGGCGTTGGTGTCATTTGAAGAGCTGAGATCTAACTGTAGCAGATGTTCCAAAATGTTTGGAATTATTTTTCTTGAAACTTACAATAGAGCGCCTCGATCAGAGCGAAATTTCTACGAAAATTCGTTATATGCTACACTTTTTTTTTGCACTAAAAGAGTAAATGCTGCCTCGACTTATAAGAGAAAAAGTGTTGTCTATGATCAAAGTACGCTACAGGAACAAAGTGGCCCAAAGATTTTTTTGCCGGGTATTTTGTTGTGAAAAATGCTTTTCGTAGTGATAGACCCATTACGGGCGAAATTGATGATACTATCGCGCAGATTGAACAACACCGACACGTGAGTAGCCATGACATCGCGAGGAAGCCAAACCTTCACTATCAAACAGCTTTAAGCCATTTAAAGAAAGTTAGCTGTTAAAAAATTATTGATGTTTAAGTGCTACAAGAATTGAAGGAATCTATTTGATCGCGTTTCCGCGCCGAAACTCCACAGAAATATAACGAAATCGAGCCATTTCTGAGCGGTTGATTATGGGTCATGAAAAGTGGGTCACGTACAACAATAACGTACGAAAACCATAACGCTAGGCGAGAAAACACTCCCTGTAGCAACGCCCGAACTGACATCAAGACAGAAGGAAATGTTATGCGTTTAGTGGAAATGGAGGGGAATCGCGCATTATAGGCTGCTGCCACCGGGTAAAACGATTCATTCGGGCCTCTACTAGTAACGACTACTATAATTACAACAGGCCATTCAAGAAAATGACCGGAACAAGTGAGAAAAATGAAACTTCATTTTCTTCCGTTACAATGTAGCATTACATACATCTCTATTTAACCAGCAAAAATTGAGAAAACTCGACTAAGAAAGTCTAATGCATCCGCTCCGTAGCCCGGCTATTGCACCATCAGACGTTTATTGGTGTTAATTTGGCTTCAATTTTTCGTTACTATTTTTTGTACAGAGACCCCCAGAAATTCGACGGCAATAGAATGGTGGTGTTACAAGAAAAACGGCAGAAAACCATCGATTGAACTGAGGCATAATGAGTTGATTGATATTTTATCAAAATATGGAAAGAATGGCTCCAAAAGCCGTTCAGACTTTTTCTGACGACCCCATACACAATAGTTCAGCCGCCGTCTCAAAAAAATTCTTGCAGACCCGGCAATCAAACTGATCAGCTGCAGCTGCTATTCGGCAATAAATAGCCGTATTTGATTTCTTTTTTGATTTGAGCACGCGACGAAGGACGTAGAAAGGCTTTGCCTACCGGGGAGTATTGGATAAGCAAGTTCTAAAGAGCATTCGACTTCTATTCTATAATTGTTGGAGCTGCCTTAGTACAGTGGTGCCCGCACGTATCGAAATCTAGGAGACACTGTGGGGCTTATGGGCAAAGTGACGGTGCCGAAGAAGAATAGCTTCAAGAGTGTTTTCTTTCCAAGCAGCCATGGTAGTCCTCCAGCAAATCAATGTGAAATAATCTTAAAGATAGACTAGAGAAGCTCGGGTGGTGGAATTTGGAACTTAGCTCAGCTATCCGCACTCCGATTAGCACCGTACTAGCTGACAAAATCCTATCGTATTTTGGCAATCTGCACTATCTTACTTCATAGCGAGTTAATGAATGAGGACAACAGTTAATTAATTCGGTAACTTAGTTTGACAGTACTCCTTGAATACGTCCTTTCACACATCCAGATATGATCATCGGCCGATGTTATATGCAGACAGGACGTGCGCATTTTTCAAACACGCGACAACTACCATGACTTGCTATAATAGTTTTCATAAACGTTAGAGTCGTATCGTTAAGACGCGCATTTGGTTCAGTACGAGGAGTGGAACAGCAGGGCGAGTAAGGGTAACTATGAGTCGAGATGTCTACGTTCAGTCTTTTTTCGTGTTTATCTTGTTGTGTATTTATGCTTTTGTTTGCGTGGATGTTGTGTGCGGCGGCATCAACGAGAAATGCCAATGTATTTTCTATATAAGTATAAACGAAACAAATGTATCTCTGTTGGTAGTAGTTCTTTTTGTGAGGCCTCAATTAGAGTATAAGCAACAATGCAGCCGGCTTCCTTACGACAACAGGGATGGATTAAATCGACTCTACTATTCTTATGAATGGCTCAAAAGACGTGACTAAACAGCGAGATATCTAAACACTATTTTCATTGAAATTAGGAAAAAACTGCACGTATTCTCGCCGTTTGTGTAGTATTGTTCAAGGAATACTTATGATCTCGGCTGGTTTCCAATGCTGTCAAAAAGTTTACATCTAATATGTCTCATCTGCGCTAAATTATAAATGAGTGATGCCTTCTCGCATGCAGACATTTCAAAATATCAGGGACGATAAAAACACTTACAGTTCATGTATAACGTTTATGTATATATAAAACGTATAACTTTTGACAATAGTGAATTGAATTAACGCATGGATCGTTGCGTTTTCATTTCATAGATCTCCTAGCGCAATGGTCAACGACCAATGCGAATCAATCAGTACTAACGATCCTGAATCATTGAGCTGCAGCTGCAAAGGGGCATTGACCTGTTTGTTATTTATCAAACCCGATTCCGATTCGATTTCTCAGAAGTAGTCTACTATCGATCTAAATTTCAAGTTCCATGATTCATTGCTGAACTCTTCGAACGTACTATTATACGAACAATAAAACAGTTCCAAAAATTAGAGAAATTTCTTTTTAACTCGTCGTCTCTTTCGGAATAGATTTTCCTAACTAGGCGTAACAAAAATACGCAGAAGTACACTGTGACTATACTTTTTTTTCCATATAATATGCAGAAACAGTATGAGAGTTTGAAAAGGCTGTCATTTGATTTTACGGCGTTTAAAATTCATCAAGTAGAATCAGCGAAAATTACTATACTATATATATATAGAATAGCGTCAAACTCATTATACTGATGTCTGGCCACTTTAGTTGGCCAGATATCAGCATAATGGCTAATCATAGGTTGTTAGTGATGCATTTTCTCGCCTACGTACTCCATACAAGTTTCAAAGTGAACTAGTATCTAGTACATCTACCTTCGCTTTGTGGCAGCCATTGTATACGCACAGGGTCACCGACTTCAACTCGGCATTTGGCCGACATGTGAGCGACGTTTGCCATTCGAGTTAGCTATCCATGCAAGCAGTACAATTACCAATGCAAACATGATTTTCAGTGCAAATTTGCTTATGGCTGATTTGGGGAAGACGCGATAACCAGGTGCTAGTTCGATTTAAGGTGCGCGGGCGCTAACTTCCCTGCGGAGTAAACACTTCTTCGTTGGCCTTTGGCTTCTCCGTCGCGTATTCGTTCCGAATCATAGTGAACGAGTACTTTCTGATGATTACGATCTCGCCCCTGAACCCATTTGTCCACTTTCCGGACCCAGGAAGGGAACAGCGGTGTTCATAAGCGAGGATGGATGTCTGAAACGAAATAAAGTCGATGTCAACGAGACAGGAAGCACTTGCCTGTTCCACCCTCGACGACAAAATTGGCACCTCCGTGTTTATGCTGTCTGCGGGAAGTGCGCTTCAATACATCCAAACAGAATGTAGCAATTTCAAAAAAAAATCAAGTTCGAAAATCGTAGATTCGAGTGAATTCCAAAGGCATAGCAACCGTGATCGCGGCGTTAGCGACAATTCGTTGGCCGTCACTAACTCCTGTTAATCGATTTCAAATTTCGCGCGCCAAGCCGTAGTGATCTCCATTGGATACGTGTAAGATAGGAACGGGAAAAATCAAGGAGGTTAGTTAAAATGGCTTTTTCTACCATTTTAGTAAAAAATTAAGAAGCAGATGAAACCTTCGTTTGTACAGTACGTCGAAGGTAGTACAGTTGAGAATACGTATTCGCAGGCTAAAGATCAAAAGTGAAGCTATCGCGTATTTTTGTGAAGCGTTTCACGAAATCTGCAGTATTAAAAAATCCTAAATGACGATAAAGAGTAATGCTAGTAAAGGTCCTCTGCAATGCTAATCGAAGCGATCGCAAGCGGCGAACCGTTGTGCCTTTTATCAAAACTTCAGGACTTACCACGTAGAGGGAACAAATGTGCTGCGATGTTCTTTGTCCGAGGTGTACCCTATGAGGGCCACAAGTGCGTGTAGTATAAACTTAAAAGTTTAGTTTCGATGAAACGGAAAAGACCTTTGCTACACGTGTTGCCGGTTTACAATAAATTAAATAGAAGCATCGCAATTGAATGTGAATTGTGACAGCTGTTTAGACACATTATAGTTATTTCAAGAATCAAATAAAGACGACACGCTTTTGATTTACTAATCTGTCCCCCCGCGCCCAATGTGAATTAGTATAGCTATAATGCTCGAAATTTGCGATCCACTGCTCCGGTAACTAGCGATAAGTGGCGACGGAAGAGAACGTAGCTGCCCCTAGCATTGCAATCGCAGCCGAAAAGTGGGCCTCCGGCGGCAGCTATATCTATTGTGAGACTGTAATAGATTGTGTTGCTATTAGTTTGTAATCTTACGTAATTCGATCTATGGATAATAGAAAAAAAGTCGATACCGATATCGAGTATATCTATCGATAATAAGATAAAAAGTAGGGCTTTATATTTAAAAGTGTATCTACGATATACCGATTTGCGGTCCCATTCCTCAGGTTCCTACCTTGACAGTCAAGAAACTTCCATCATTTTCTTGTGACTTATTGACACTTCATATATGTGATTTTCGACAAAAGGCATAATGGCCTGTACCCGTGCCTCATATTCGCGCTTAAGGCATCACAGATATTAATTATATTTTACGCGGGCTCGCAGAGGTTCGAACCCAAGCAAGAGTTATAATAGTAATGTGTTTTGTTGTTCGTACTTGTCTTAATTCTGGTAGATTGTAGAGTCCAATCCTGTTTAGGTTGCAAACCCATATAAACTAGAATGCTCTTTGGTGTAAAGCTATTGCCTATCGTCGGAGCTGGGCGTCGTTTAAATTAGAAGGCGCCACTTTACTTAATCATGATTCGATTTATAGTTGGGTTTAAGTCGATTTGTCCTGTTCGTTACTGGCCACATTACTTGTTGTTAAAAACTGGCCACATTACTTGTTGTTAAAAACTGGCCACATTATCTTTTTTCTGCCGATGAAGGCCATAGAAACCGAGCTTCGGTAGGAAGTTCCTCAGTTGACAGATGAGCCGGACAGTGAAAAGTCGGTTGCAGTGCTCAGCTAGCTACGTACTGAGGTACTGTGAACGCGTAGTAAGTACAAATGTCTGCTAGAAGACCGTATTCAGCTGAACACACAAGGCAAGGTACAAAAACATTGTCAGGTACTGCAGAAATATAGATATCGTTGTCGCAACAAATAGATTAGGGAGATGCATCGAGTCCAGCCCAAGAAATATTAGGAGAATATCTCGTACCATTAAAATAGGTGGACAATTAATTGCAATAAATAAACTGAAGATAAACTGAAGGCCCAAGGCAAAATTAGTTGCACTGGCGGTGGTGAGCACTTTTCTGAGAAAAAATACGCGATACGCCACTCACTTTTTTCATGTCCTGGTCTCCATCACAACACACCAACATCCTATCACCCACAACTTTTCTCCAATTTTCTTGAGAAGGTACCTTTATTCCGCTTATTGAAGATCTCTTTGCCCCGAGCGCTTCATTATAACCGCCTAATAAACAACTATAAGTTTAGTTATCGGTGAACGACAGGCAACACTTAAATCAGTACTTGTTTGACAACACTTATCGAAAATTACTCGTTGAATGATATGAGAAAAGGAAGTCTTGCGAAGTAGAGCACAAACGCAAACTAGCCGAGAAGGGTCGTCTCTGTCTGCGGCCACGTTAGGACGTTAAGGGGTCTTACACACCAGAGAGTTCTGTCGATTCTGTAAGCCCAGTATACTATGTATACCTTGTCAATTGTCAGATTAAGCCAGTTGGACAATAGAATATGTGCTACTAAAACGTAACAAAGTTCACCTTGGTAAGCTAAAAGCCCTACGCTGGCTAACAGTTCCAAATGAGGCAGCACTCACCGCTTTTCAAACGTTAACCACGCACATGGGCGTCTGACACCTTGAGAATTAGCTTGAACAGTCGCTGCGTTGACTCAAGTATCGTACGATACAACCTTTACTCAGGAGAATGCTACCGTGACAAACTGTTAGTGCACGTCAGAATGTGGACAGGGATCGAACGACCATCGCGGCTCAAACTATGTAGCTTGCGAAGAGCGTATTACATCCCCAATAGCCACCCACGTTTATCTGTAAATTTTCAAATGCTTACGCATTTAGTATCCGTTTCGTGCATATATTGTTTACTAGACATACATACAGGACGCTAACCAATAATATTTTCTTATTTATCGATAAAACGATCTTCTGCAAAATGTTAATAAATGGTAAAATAGCAAACAGACAGTTTCTTGAAATAGTTCTATAATAGCTTGCTTACGCTAATTTATATGTCTGGTTCCATGTTGCCTCAAACCTGATTTGCCGATTCCTCAAAAAGACTTGCTGAATACCAGCCAGTGAAATATATAATTGAAGTATTGGATATGCATATTTTCGCCATGGTGAGACAAATGTGTTAAGAACACTGTTTTCGGAAAGTTTCTCTAGCTTTTTTGCGTAAATCCTACTCATCTATTATGTCATCTATGATATTACAGAAACTATAAATTACACATTGTTATAGCCTTAATACCATAGACCATCATACTTAACGCATATTCAGACGTCGACACTATGAACGTCAATAGGTAATACGTAGCTAGGTAAGGCTTTAGCGATATCTTAAAGAATTTCTCCATTGAAATTTATTTTTTGGAAAGTTTCATGGGTGATTTCCGGTGTATATAAAACCAGGTGTAGGTTACAATAGTAAAAATATTATTTACTAAAGTTAACAAATTGGTCAATCCAATATAATAATAATAAATAATATAATTGAACTATATTGATATGGAAAAAGAGCTTCTACGAGAATGAATCTTACTTTAGCCGTTTAAATTTGACCGCTGAAAGTAAACCGTTTTGCCTCTGTCTGACTCAACGACAACTAAAAGACAGAGCTTTATTTATAGGTATTCTCAAAATAGAGACACCGATCAGTTTCCGAAGAGAGAGAGACAGCTACCATCCACGGAACTGGAATCTGAGTCCTAAAGTGCTGGAACTTCTCTAGTGTTTGTGTCAGATTCGTGGAATCGCACAATCAGGCAGTTGTTCTTTTTTGCTTGGCTTTTTCGTTTCGGGTACCTTTTGCTTAATACACTAGCAATAAATGTTCAAAGCTTTCTTCCTCCTGTGTTTTATTGCGAGTTCTGTGGAGGGAAGCACCAGGTACACTTGAGAATCGGTTACTTCTCTTTGAAAGATAAATGAACAAAGCGACTCTATAACCTTCCCGACATCTTTCTTAATAAACCATGTTTTTGCCTTTTAGTCTACCGGTCCGTCCACCCCTCACGTTATGGTCTTTCGGTGTATCGCCTACGTTCTCGTACGCGACTCACTTTTTACATGCCCTAGTCGTCAGCACCAATCGATATGTCAAAATCCCAAATGACCAACATCCTATTACCCAAAACTTCTCTCCAATTTTTTTTGAAAAAGTCCCGTTATTCCGCTTATTGAAGAGCTCTGTTATCAAGTATTTCTTTCATAGATTCATTCAGTCCATTCCTACCCCAAGCCCTTCATTATAACAACCAGTCTCCACTTTGAATGGCTAACCTAGTTTTAATTAACCATTAACCCGTTCTACTCTTTATTTTTCTCGTAATAGTGTTATCGATGCTTATTATTTAGTTTATTATTTATTTCTTTTTACTATACTTGGTTATACCTTTCCCCTTTAAACCCCTGCAGCTTGATTGGTTATCGACAACCACATTAGGCACGAATGCAATAGCTGGTTTTGCACTGAACTTGAAATCCAAGCTAACTTCTAGTTTATATTGTATAAATGTACTCTTGAGTTAATAAAAGGTCGATGAGACAGATAATTCTATATGTTGGTACGATCCTAATTAATAAAGTAGGCGTTTTCTCTAAGTAGAGAGAGGAGGTAGAGCTTTTAGGCAAACCTTGACATATTTTTTAAGCAGTTTTATGTTCGAAGGTCGTGTTGCGTTTGTGATATTCGCTATATTTTTTTTTTCCCCAAAAACCTGGCACCTTTTGAACTTCTTTCCTGTTGTTAAAATTAATTCGGTTTTGCTTTAATTTATAATTAAGAAATGCATGTTAAGCAATGATCTTATGGTGATTATTTAAGTCTAAGATTAAGCTTATTATTCTAGTTCCTAGGCTTATTATTCCTAGCCAACCTCCATACGGTTCAAGTTCGGGGAATACTTCGACCAAGCTCTAATAAGCTTAGGAGTTTAAACGTTCCCGCGGTTTCTACGACATCCACCATCTTAGTTGGCACCACCACTTGTCTCGTACACTGCTCTTTCCCTCGTGAGTTGCCGAAGGAGCCCAATGTCAACAATGCTTGGGTTCGCGATACGCGCGGGAGTCCAAGGAGCTCGAGTTCTAAGCCGCTATGGACCTTCGACTAACCGGGGACTCTTTCGTAGTTTCCACGAATCTCTCGCGGTATTCGGCATCGATGGAATCCATCTACGAATGCCCTCTCTATCGCCCACCATGACCGAAGGTTAGTTCGCTACTATCTGTTTAAGCACTCTGCTATTCTACACTACTTCTATCAGCTGAAAAGAAACCATATCTAGCGGTCGACTCCGGCGTTCGATTCGTTCTAGGAACTTATTGCTGACCGTATAGTTTCTTCATAACTTACACATGGTGGAACATCATACTGTACCGTCATGGTATGACAATTAAAATACTAGCTTCCTTGTCGTTGTCAGACAGTGAGAAAACAGAAACTGCTGGGAATTGCGTACAGAGGCATAAGACCGTTATTATACATAATACCATTATAAAAGTCTACAAATAAAATCGCTTAGCGGCATAAATTCTTCTTTTACAATTTAGCTATATTTGAGTTGTTGCATTTTAAAATAAATAAATTCTGCTGGTCGATGTAAAACCCACTTTAGTCGATCTGGCCGTTCTAGTCAATTTACGCCAAATTAATACCAATTTTACACGTGCCGTTCAAGATCTAAAAACAGCGATCTTTCTTATTGTACCTGTTAGCTTTCCGATCTCAACAACACATAGAAATGACAGAACACACGTACAAACAATAGAAATGATAAAATAGATGGATGATTTTAGCTCGAGATTTCAGACGCGGATACCGCGCAAACACAGATTCGCGCTCTTTGTTTTCTATTACAATATTAATTACATAATATTTTGATTAATGTCTTCTGGATAAGAAAACGTCGAATAACTATTCAAGAACTATAGGTATTGCGAATGAATCGGAATGTACCAAGTCTCAAACCATCTATCGACCGTGAAAAAATACACCTTTTTAATGCATTTAGCGGCAACTTTTCTATTAAAATGGATTTTTGACATTATTGTGATGTTGTTGTTGCGAGAATAGTAGAAGGCGACTTTGACTCTGTTTAGTGAGTGTATCCTACTCTTACTACAATGAAATCGCTTGAAAGCGTTATTTGAACGGTTAGGAAACACTGGTTTAAACAAATAGAAACAGACCACTGGCGCACGAGGCATGAAATACCAAACGACCCGACTACGATTATTTATCCATTAAAATTATACCTTTGGCAATGATTTTCCGCTAGAAATGAACGATCGGCTTCTGTGTAAATGAACGTATTAGAGGACGACGATGATGGCGAATATTAGGAAAACAGCCTTTATGAAACTATATAACATCAAGGAACCCAATATTTAATATGGATCTCTTCTTCATGTGAATTACTCGCATTTTTTAAGAAACGTTGTTTGTAGGACCGATTATAGTCTGATAGAATTCAAGGACACCTAGGACCTAGGCTCAAAGTATAGCTTTTAAATTGACTTTAACATGCGTGATATTTTCTAAGACTCAGAAAAGCGTTAAAAAAGTTCTTGAATATGTCTTCTCTTATAGGCGTTATCGTGCGTTGGCTAAAGCAGGAAGGAGATCCTATTCAGCCCGGAGATGTTCTCTGTGAAATCCAAACAGACAAGGCCGTTGTTGCCTTTGAGGTCATCATCTAGGAAAAATGGGAACCGTCATGAAAAATTCATAGCTGTCATACCTTTTTAGTATTTCACGACAAACATGTTCTTTATACTAATATCGAATTTTCATTAAGCGTCTATTGTTACTTCCGATTAGTTTCCTTTTTTGGAACATGCCTATCATGCTGTTACGTTTATTTACAATAATTCATATTCCGTAGGTGGAAGAAGCTGGGACATTGGCGAAAATCATTGAACCCAGCGGCGACAAGAGCATCCCAATCAACACTCTAATAGGTACAACCTTAACCACTAATGATCATAGGGCAAACTCGAGAGATCAGTCGATGAATGATCGCATATTTCTGTGGATATCTAGTTTACGTCGGATTTATTAAGAAATTTAATGGGAGTATTCTACCGCTAAGCTAGGTAAACGTAACGTACCATTTCTATGTGGCGTATTTTTCGTTTTGTCATCTTCATAGGCATAATGGTTGAAGAGGGAGAAGATTGGAAGGACGTGAATATTCCTGTTGAAACGGTTGCAGCCCCAGCAGCAGCCCCGTCTGCTCCGAAAGGAAGCCCAGCTGTTGTACCTGCAACTTCAAGTACGGCCAGTGGGACAATGAGAACTAAATTACATCTTCTTGGTCCCGCCGTTAAATTATTACTACATCAGCACGGCCTTGATGCATTTCAGGTATTTTTATCGTCTACTCCGGTAAAAAAAAATGGGCGCGTATTGCTATGGCTCACTTATTGGCTTAGACCAATGTATGGAAATATTGCTGTGCTTGTCTTTAAGTAAGAAACAATGCAGTAGAAAGTTTACCATTGATATCATTAGAGCCGTTAGTCCTTTCTGCAAAAGTACAAATCAGATCAACAGCTCCATTAAGACGGCCATTTTTTTAAGGGTTTAGCGTAAGGTTTGAGCTCTGTTTTCGTCTATTGGATCGCTATATGTTAAACCAAATGTGTACGCGCTCACTAATACAGGGCATTTTGTAGTGAAATATCTGGTTTATCAATGGCACCGCTCGTGTAATGTCCATGTGTTAATGTCTGCTTGGTTCTAGGTGCCTGCTAGTGGACCGAAAAATATTTTGCTGAAAGGCGATGTTCTTCATTTCATCGAAAGTGGTGAAAACAATCACTTTAAACATTGTGTTGACTTTGCAAAAGTGGCTTTAGTGTTTTTTATGGAAAATTAACATTTCCCATACTGACCCCATAGGTATGATCGCTGGAAATGTTTTTGTTCGATTGAACAAAGATAAGTCTCTAGGTAGACACATAAATAGACATAAATAATATAACACATACACAATCGAGTTATTTTTTATTATTATCAATTATCTATGCTATTTAAGCTTTAATGTAAAAGTAACACCATATTAGATACAAGGAAGACATGCGGCTACCCGGAAACTTATTCGACTAATCTATCTGATAGCGATTGACATAAACAAACGGATTTGCCATTGAGAAAGCTCAGTGGCTGGGCTTTAAGGCCCACACTGCTGCCCATTAATTGTTCATGCTAAATCTAACGTCTATATATAATATTTCACTAGTTATGACGTTTAATTATCTTGCATGTACTATGACGTTTAGGCGGTGTGTCGCAGTTGTCTAGATCCGCTTCATCTCCTGCTGTACAAGCCCGTGGAGGTCCAAGCGCAGGAATCGATCCTCCAGCGGTTCCACCTTTCCGCGACATCGAATTAAGCAGCATGCGACGCGCAATAGCCAAACGTTTGTCATTGTCCAAATCAACCATTCCCCACAGTTATACGTCTGTTGACGTTTCGGTCGCATCTGTACTAAATACGAGGAAACGCCTCGCTCAGGAGGGCACCAAAGCAAGTGACGTACAAATACAAAAGTTTACCGGCCTATCGTAATTAATTTAATACTGTTTGTTGTATAAACTGAAATTTTTAGCGCAAGTGGTAGCACTGCCTTTACCATAATGCGTCTATAAATTTCGAGTTCATCAGGCATTAGTATACTTCTTACCGGTGACAGATTCGATGGGAAAATAGTCAGTCGTCTTTCCTCCAGCTCTAGAATCAAACCTATTTAGCGTCTCTATGCAGCTGATCAGCAATTGCAAATTGTAGTATGAGCACTTACTGCATGCCAGCTATGTATGACGACATTAGTCGAATGCGAAAAAGGAGCAAATCGAGAAATGACAGACTATTATTTGAATTCATTATAGCTTATCGCCAATGGTTTTTTGTCTTCGCAAAAGGTGTCTGTCAACGATTTCGTAGTAAAAGCAGTCGCGCTCGCCCTGAAGAAGGTTCCACAGATGAATGTCGTATGGGACGCTGCAGCTGGAGATGCTATACAACTTGATAAAGTTGATATCTCTGTCGCCGTTGCAACGGAAAATGGGTTAGCGATGTCTTAATATGCTAAAACGATGCGAATAGACGAAATAGAATTCTAATCTACGTATGTATATAGGAGCGCGTGTATGAGGTAAAGAATCACTAAAAAGGCAAATATCTGTTTCATTTACAAACACATTTATTTTGCCGTATCAATTAATATTATTACACACAGTTAAGAAACTTATCAAGCGACTTTTACTAGAAATGATATAAGTCGAACAATGAAAGCGGCCAGATTAAAATTGGATTGGACAATATCTCTCCGCTAATTTATCATTCTAGATTGATTACTCCAATTGTAACGGACGCTGACGCTAGGATGATCGGGGATATTGCTGCTTCCATTAGAGAGTTGGCCGGACGAGCACGCGAAAACAAGCTGAAGCCGAATGAATTTGAAGGTGGCTCGTTTAGCGTAAGCAATCTCGGAATGTTTGGCATCAGGGAATTTACGGCCGTTATCAATCCACCTCAGGTTTGTACGACTGACCTTACTACGCAGAAAAGTATGTGCTTGAAAAAATAAAACGTAATATATTGAGACTTCAGCTCTTCTCGTCAGACAAGTGTTTTGATCAGCACTTGTTTATTAATCGAACTTACAGGCGGCTATCATGGCTGTCGGAGGTAGCCGCCAGGTGTTTACTGCGAACCGAACGGTCGACACCATTATGACTGTCACGGTATCTTTCGACGCGCGTCTTATCAGCGATAGTGACGCAGGTGACTTTCTCAAAGCATTTCGTGGATTCTTGGAAAATCCAGATACTATGCTTGGAGCATAGGGCGTGAAACAGTACATCTGAAATAGACATGAGACCGCAAAGTCAAAACTGCTTCTTTTTAAAAATCTAATTATATAAAACCACAGTAATTATTTGATCTTAAAGAATCGCAAAGGACATTCAGGCTTATACATCAGTAGAATGCTAATTTATTGTTTATATTAATGCAGCCATAATGTCAGCTTTCAATAGATCGTAATCTATTCATTAACCTTGCTATGCTGCGATCAGTTTGATTCAGGGATTCCGAATATCTGAAACGCTAGTTAAAAGGCGCCACGGCACCATCAGAGGGCTGTCGAACCTATACTTCCACAAATCATGGGCTGATGCATTTGTTTTATTTAATTATTGGTTAGAACAATACTACCGACTACAATTTTAGTTAAGAGGATTGCAAATTGGAAGATTAGAGGTTGTAGGTGTTTGAGGAAGAAATACACTCCTACATTACCCTGCTCCATCATGCGCAGTGATTCTACTCGAAAACGTACAATAGCAACGCGCGATGTGACGCGGCGCGGCTTATGTATTAAAATCTCATTTGATATAGATCCGGAGTGTTTTTTTTTTTTTTTTTTTTTTATTAAACGTAATAATATCGCTTTTTTTTGTACGAAATGTCTGTCTAATTGGGCGAATTACGATAAAAGCTCATGAATATGAGCATAATGGTTTAGTTAAGGTCCTTCTTCTTTGTCTTAATTGACTTCTACCCGCCAATCATGGTGAAATGAGCCATCTCAGTCCCATTGTCCATAAGATTTCAACTGTTTTATTAAGCAGCTTTGACGTACATACCAAATATAAGTTTCGAAGCAAGAATATTGAAGAATGATAGTTAGAGGTTTTGATGTGACGAAATAAAAATATATATGATGAAAGTAAAAAAATTGTAAAATGAGGTGTCATATGAATGAGGGATAACAAAATGCGTTATATCGTCGAAAAAATAAACAATGATGTACAATGTTTGTTATATGTTTTCGCGGTTAGTGGAGACAATTTTAGTTATCTTTGAATAGTCATTTGTGTTCGACTAAGGTCACTGCATCTCGGTGGCGTGGTACGACGCAGATACAGTATAGGCCCAATTTCGAGGGAGGTAACGTTTCGGGCACCTCCAAAAAAATAATTCCTACACCGCACGTGGGTGTTATAGCCTCACGCGAATGAACAGATCCAAAATATATATTACCAAGAAAGTATAAACTTTCTCAGACTCATTGTAGCTTGTAAAAATTTAGCATGTGGAATACTCAAGCGGGGTTGGCTCCACTTTTAAACGACTGTGACAAATCTATGTGCAATGATATAGACAAATTTAACTTCTGACAAGAACGTTTCGTCACTTCATGCTACAAAGAAATATTTTGCTAATGTATGTTTGCTATGCATCATATGTCACTTTTCAGAACAACAATTATAACTTTTAGCTTTTAATAAGGCAATGCTATATTAGGATGTTCTATAACATTCCTTCCTAAGCTCCTAGTAACTTGGTTAAATGACCCCTTGGAATGACCAAATATTGCTTTGAGCATGAACAGGTAATGCTCCCAAAGATTTTGAATGAATGCGATAGATAGATAGATATATATGAAGGAAAAATCGCAGAATGATAATTTTTTATGAGCTCTAATGGTCTATGGCTATATGTGATCAGTGTAGTGATTTGAGGCGCGGATGATTGCTGATGAAGTTTCTAATGCAGCTCGTGGCTAAAGTGGCTGTGAGGGTGATCACATGTTGCTTACAGGCCAGATTACGAGGAAAGTGGTAGGAGTTCTTGAACCGTTGAGCTTACGATGTATACGGGAACGACAGGAGCGTCGTTGTGATCTGTCTTCGTCTGCTCGATCTGTTTTACGATCGCAGTGCCCTCAAGGACCTGCCGACAAATCGGTAAATGAAATAAAGATATAAAAAGTCAAGAAAAGACTGATACTGGTAGGTTGTGCAGGAAGGATAGGACAGTTGATCCAACTAATAGCCGATTATCCGTTTTACTTAACTTACTATTTGCGTAGTTCATGGCAAAATTAGGAAATGTACGTTGCTAATAACTGTACGTTTTTTTATTTACCTTGCCAAATACGACGTGCTTTCCATCGAGCCACGGCGTAGGTGCTGTGGTGATGAAAAACTGAGACCCATTTGTGTCCTGCAGAAATAGCAAATATAATAGATACCAACTACAACCAGCCTTTCCCGATTACAATCGTAAAATAAAACATTTAGCTTTGCTACAGGCCGTCCCGTAACCGGTAGATAGATACACTTTTAGGAAATAATTAGATAAGGCGAATAAGATCAATTGAAATAGTTGAACCTTTAAATATAATAACAGCAATTTTCCTTACCTTGCCTGCGTTCGCCATTGAAAGGACGTAAGGCTCGGTGTGCTTAAGAATGAAATTCTCGTCTTCAAATTGGGGCCCGTAAATAGACCATGAGCCCAGTCCATTTTTGTGGTCGACGTCTCCCCCTAAAAGCAGCGCACCATTTAGTGTAACGATATTTAGCCAATGTGCTTACGAAACATAATAGTAAAAAAACAAGCGACGAAACACAGCTTGAAATAGATAGCTACTGCGTAGAAATCATCATAGTGATGTGATCAACTATAGTAGTACAATGGTTACTTAATAATGTGGCAAAACACTTACAAGTGTTTTTTATTGTGTGTGAATTTTAATTTAGCTACGTGTTAATATGATACTATTACTGGCGCTGTCAAAAACCGCAGGTGACACCTCCAGATCGGGTTAGCGCGTACCAACCTATAACTTTTGGCCTTTTTTTCTTATGGGGAGCCGAATTTCTTTGTTATCGTTCAAAGCAGTGTGCTCTGACGATGCGCGTCACGTTCCGAGGCGATTGAGCCATACAGATTCTATAGCATAGAATGGTGTTGTAGACAAGATTACGTCATAAGATTAATTTGCATATATATCAATTATCGTATATCGCAATTTAACGAATTGAAACGTCACCTGGCTACCTTAAGCGTAATTAAGAGGTTAGGTTGAACAAAAGTCCGCTAGGAATGGATGTAGCATTATGTTGTAACATTGTGTACAAATATGTGCGCAGTAACTTTCAAGACGTAGCGTCGAAAGGACTACGTAGGCAAACGTACGTCTTTTATCACGGCAGGAACCGGTCAATGACCGCAAGACCGTTGTCTTCTGAACATTGGCACACTTTGAAAGCACAAAGTCGCATCAGAACAGTCTTCTTTGACACTAATGGAAGCACATATGGAAAGCAAAGCACCAATAATCAAGATGTCAAGATATGTTTTGAAGACTTGTCTCTTGCTTTTTCCTAACTTGAAATATGGTTTCCCCCGCACGAGCTACACAAATGCATCGCAAAAAGAAAATGCAAACATGCATTTCTCAATGGAAACGGAAACACAATCCAATATATATATATATATTATAGTTTACTTAACTTTAAGTGAGAACTATCTAGTTTTACAGATGTTTATTTATGCATGTCTGTATCAACAGGTTCTGAAAGAACTCGATAAATGTATAAACCTCGTACCAGGATATAGTGGAACTAGGTTACGGTAGCTTAGCTCGAATAAAATAACAACTATCAAGAGCTGTTTCTACCATGTATGAGTAAAACTTGGCAACAAACCTTGTAACATGAACTTTTGAATAACCCTGTGGAAGGCTGTTCCTTCGTATTTCTTAGGTTGCCGACCTGAAGCTATTTCGACGAAATTGCGTACCGTTCTAGGTGCTACACGTCCGTAGAGACCTAATACGATGGTGCCGACATGCTTGTTACCCTGGTTTATTACGAAGTTTACATGATGAGTGATAGTTAAATCCGGTTTCTGAAACGTGAAAATGATAAGTAAGTTTGCTTTGATCTCATTCATGTAACATTTAGTTAACGAATTTAACATCAAAGAAAAAAAAATCTATTATAAATGCACCACTTAACAACTGTTTCGTAATATTTTCTATTTGTTTGTTCCTACAATCGTCTCTGTTAGTCGATGCCCTGTATCAAAAAAGTTGTTCAAACATAAAGTTAAAGTATTATTTAATTGCTTTAGAGGTATGGTTTCCACTACATCACTGAAATGAAGAATCTTGTCCCTGACCAAAAATACTTCACTTTCAGTGTATTTAGAAGCAAGCCTGGTGCAAGTAATAAATTAAATTGATAGCCCATATCATACTGCGATATTTTGAATGGCAAGTGAACTAGCTCAATATTTTATTTCAAATAAACTTGGGCATTTTGGTCCGATTTTCTTCAAACGAAGGTTTGTCGACCCTTACCATTAACATGCAATGTAATTTTCGTCACAAACATGCAATAAGTGATGCAAGTAGATGTGTATGCCTATAGTACTTGTCAATTGTGTCATTTGTCCCTCTCCCTTTTTAAATAAAATGACTCCTATGCGGCCAGCCACAAGGATCGTTACACATACGTTATATAATAATAATAATAGCATTGATAATAATAATTGTAATAAACTGAAGGTAGGTTGGATACAGGCTAGGGCCACTATCGGAGTCAAAAATGTTTACCATAATAAATTAATTCATCCCGTTCGGGGGGCCTCATTAAACGATGCTACGGAGTAAACAGAAGCTAAAATTTGCCGTGAGGGTACTGTAGCCGAGCAAACAGGATTGAGCTAATCCGTGACAAGTGGCAAAAAGCAAAACCGTCCATCCAGAGTCAGTTACTATAGAAAAATAAACTTTTACAAAGTACAATAAGTAATGACCCCTATGGGGAATATTATTCTCTCATAAGTGATTGACGCCAGTCACGATAGGTAGACTACTAAAGCAGTATTATCAATATGACTGTCGTCTCCTTCTACCCCTAAATCTAACTTGTTGAAAAACACCAAGGATCGCTGCTCTAAGCCCCTCCAACGGCACAACGAATACAATTCGTATATTTAAAGAAAGTATTATAGTAAAAATTGTTATCCTGGTGTTGTCTTGTGATAAGAAACGATTTTTTACTATAATATAGATCTAATTATACTCAACTCAATATTTTCGTAAGTGTGGTTCTCGTTTATGATAAGCCCTTCTTCTTTATGCCTCCTGCAATATACAAAATCGATAAGATCTTTGGATATGATTGTTTGCTGTTACACTAGAGTTAGATGCTAGAAAATAAATGCTGAAATTTACTGTCGCTAGTAGGATACGAAGGACTCAAAACTCATATGCATAGTTTTAAATGGACTAAATATGTTCCAAACGTCCTCAGCTCTTCATATCGTCTCATCGATCTGTTACTTTCGATCAACATATATCACATATAATATGGTTATTTCCTTATCGGTAGGATTTACAAGAATGACGCCACATAAATTGTTGATCGTTGCGGATGGAGCAATGCACATACAGATACTTTTTCATCTACACATGTTTTATTTGTATACCTAGCTGCTTTGCTATTTAAATATCTTGACAAGTTTCTTTTATAGCTTAGGTTGCGCAGTTTACGATATAATAGGCTATAAATGGGAGCAAATGCTACTAAACTGAGGAAACTTTTATTTCTCTTTAAGAATATATATTAGGATTAAGCTTTTGCCTATACAGATTTGATCTTCGTGGGCAATGTTCGGTCAGGAGGGAATTTATAAAGCATGTACTGTTTCCGAAATTCCTCTGCCCATAACTATTAGTTGCAGTTATCTAATGGGTTTACAAGTGTAAACAAAGTAGGTGACTAGAAACGTATAGTCTCTTAAATTGTAAACTAGTTTAGAGATATGCAGTGAATGCTAGCATCATTGGAGTTAATTTAAATTTGAATCATAACATGCATTGGCAATATTATTGATTCGTAGGTTGTTCGCACAATGTAAGCCCATAGCAACAATTTCGACAGGGAAAATTATTGGATGTAAAAGAAGCGGTGCTTCTTTGCGGCAGATATTCAACATTCGACTCAGGCGTTAATTATCTAATATTACATGCCCTTGTGATGATTCTGCACAACATTAGTTTTAACACGGTTCCTTATTGCGACAATACTCTTGGATGAGGGCTGGCAGATGTTATTTTTAGAGGCACACGTTAACGATACTACGTAAGCTCGTCATCCGATATTAACTATCTCTGAAGATTTACCAAGAGCCGTTTTTATTTATCGTCTACAAAAAGAACTTTTGCAAGCCAATATGTCCCTCCGGCAGTGGTATTCGATCGACCACAATATTAGTCACATGAAGTCTTCTATTATAGGAGTTTACTTGCCATGCATAAGCCCTTGGTAGTACACAAGGGCATTGAAGGAACTAGATCCTTCTTACAAGGGCTTTGTAGTTCTCACTAAGCCTATGATGGAAGTTAATTTGTTTTGTCATCGAGGACAACATTAAGTTACCGGAAAACATTTATTCGGCAAAACCTCAATGTACTTCAAAATAAACCATCTGGACAAATTTGAGGTTGTGAGGTTATGCATTAAGTTCTGCGAAATTTCAAGCCACGACAAAGCACAATCAGCATGGTCACACCGTGAATTATTTGAATAGAGAGAGTCATTTGCACAGAAACTTTCATTTATTGTTTATGGATCAACCATTCGTTGTACAGCCGAGGGTGTTTAGACTTGAATATTTCTGAATGGAAAAAAATGTGTAAATGTAAGAAATATTTTTAAGCTTTCAGATAAAGAAAAATTAAAATTGGTTCTGACTAAGTTGACTAAACAGAAATAATTCAGCGTTTGATAGATTATTGCGTGCCAGAATATTGAGGTATTAGAATATTTTTTATAGTTTGCGCATATTACACAAATATTAGAAAGAAAAAGGTAGAGTATTAATATAACCTACAACTATCTCAAGTATTCATTAAATACATGTACTTATTTACATCAGAAAAGATAGGTAGGGATAACAAAGAAATCGGCAGATTGAACTTTGATGGAAAACTGATGTATCCCCCATCGTCTTTCTGCTGAAGCGAAACGATGTCTTTCGTTTTTAAAATTAACAAGGTGACTTATGAGAAAGAGCGTGAGCGTTTATAATATTGTGGTGGTATAAATAGGGTGTGGGTGCGTAGCCTATTTAGCCCTAGCTAGCCTACATCTTCAGGCCTGCTAAAAACGCAAACGACAAAGAGGGATTTCACAATACTCGATACATCAATCCAGTTCAATTAACGCTGACAGTCTAGACTAGAAAGTAAAAGATCATCGTAATTTGCTGACAAATGATTGCGACTAGTATAATACTATCTGCTCTTTCATATTCCAATATACAGTCATCTATTGCGGGATAGCTTCAAGTTAAAAATAGTTTTATCTCAAATCCACGCCAGGTAATGTAAGTTCTACATATATATATATATATGGCGCAGATGCTTTTCTTTAATAAGTAAATTTGAATTGCACGCATGTATCAGTATTCTGTAAGGTGACACTGTTGTCAGATACAAAGCAGTTTTATTTTGGCAATATCGAGCCAGACCATCCAAGCAATGCTCTACCTAAGCTTCAAACAAAGGGCAGCCCATCGTCATTGTCAACGCCGTTCAGTTCGACAACAAACAAATCGGATTGCTCCTCTCGTTATCTCAGTCGGAATGGCATTTAACGGTACAATAGCCTCTCTCTACAGCCTACCGCAGCCGATTACTGAATTCATCAGCAGAAGTAACTCCACATAGTCGTGTCTTACTTCAGCCGAAAATGTGCAGTCATGTGAGGAAAATGTCTTTTCCGTTGCATCCGTTAGTGAGTAAATGGATTTGTTCCGGCCAGACAGCCCGCCTACCTGCCGCCGCCACTGAGTCTATTGAATCCCTACTGTTGGGTCGAACTTACCAAATGATGTGAACCATGTGTATGTTGTGGGTACGGGGCAAACACGGGTGTCTGCACGGGAAAGCCACGGTAGCACGGGTACAGAGAGCAGATGAGTGAATTTACACTTACTGATCCTGCGGTGTTACTGACTCCGGAAGAGGAGCCGGATTCTGCGGAGATAGCTAGCCACACAATGGTGAATAGGACCAAAGGTAACTCAAGGACCTTGCGGGGTTGAAGATGCATCTTGCAGCCGCGTAGAATATTGACACGAAAAATACGGTTTTAATAAGCAATGAAGCTCTAATGTCAGATAACTAGCAGGCAGTTGATTGTCTTGAGACTGCTATAACTCTATGATATATTGCAACGATAGAGATCTTCTGACTGAGCCTTAAATTTCTGGTTGAAAAGTCGGTGATGGTCACCGGCACCCTGTATCATGTGGCTCCACACAACACGTTCTACGCACTACATCTGCTTAGGAGGACGGGGGGCTCAACCGGCTGTCTCTTGCAGCAGTTTATGGCTGGAGAGGAGGCGGTGGCAGAACTTATCTGCCTCTTACTGCTTTATATTGTGGCTGCGGAGAGGGTGTCCTAAATAAATGGACGGCATGTCTCACCGGGCAAGCTGCCTCCTCTCTGCCCTAAGCATTAAGGTCTCTTTCAGTACAGCAGCAGTGAACCGTACTTCTCAACAGAAATTACGTATAGAAATTACGCTCTGAAAGAACAGGACTTCTTGCGACATGAAAACTTGCTATCCATGTATGTAGTAGCGTATAGTAGAAACTGCTTCTGTTATTTTATCAGTGTGATCGATTTGCCTAAGCCTCCAAAATTAGACTAAAATTAAAGGTGAAAAACGCAGTACTTACTTTTTTAAATAAATTGTTTTGTAAATAAGGCACAAGGCAATAAAGACAATAAAAAATGTATATAATACGTACTGGTTTCTAAAGGCGCTTTGTTTATGTTTAATGTCAAATACGCTACGTCAGGTTAAAACGTAAACGGTCCGCTAAAGCAAAAGTGAAAATGTAATTCCAGTTTATGTTTTATTAACGACAATTATCAAATTCGTGAATTAAAGTTGCGCGTTCAGCGATGGTAGACTTTTTTTATTTATACTTTATTATAATTTTTTTTAGGTCGCAGCTTCTAAAGAGAGTCACTATGTTCAAACGAAGTTGAAATTAAATATTCGTATTGACATTTAAAAATATGGTGTATTTAATTAAATAGTGGGAGAATATGAACATACAAACTGTTCAAGTACAAGAATGCTGGCTGCTAAGGTCCACCGGAGTCGACGTGACGGTACGGGTTATAACCAATATTTTAGTACTCCACGATACTACCGTAACGATTGCTATAGAAAGCCAGCTGAGCAGGAACATACAGTTCACTTTTCCTCGAAAACACGAAGCATGAAAAATTAATGCTGTCCTAGATAGCTTAGTTTAGTACATCTGTATTTGCTATGTTGGCTGTTCTCACCCCATCTATGGCTACGATAAACGCCTACAGACGCACTCTTGTGGGAAGATCTCTAATGATAAGGTTCAGAATCCTTTATGAATAATATGCTCATATCCTGCTATTGAATAGTTACTAGAGCACAAGTTTAGCCTATCCGAAAGCAAATTATAGATATTTCGATCTGCGCATCCACAGTACTTTAATATAACATCAGAACCAGGACATAAGAACAATCATGAAAAAGCTTTAGGTTGTTCGGAAAACGCTCCGCTCACTCCGTTTTTTCTGTGCTCAGATATCAGAATATACTGTTGGAGAGTCGTTTGCTTGCTGTTCAGTATCATCGGTCTATAGCTACCGCTTTGTCCAGCTCACAAAATTTATCTTAAATTTAAACTCCAAAGATGCGTATCTCAGACGAAGAAGAAGTGCACCTGCGGCATCGATTTCCCGCCGTAGATGCAACCAAGGAGATATGTTTTACGTTTAATTAAGACTCCGCCTCTAAGGGAGATGGCCTCATCTCATCACCACGTCATTTTGAAAGAGTACTTTTGGATACGAAGTTTTTTAGTACATGCCTCCCCCTAGAAACGATGTTTCGGCAGCTTTTAAACTGATAGAAAATCACTAATGAATATTTGCAGTGCCGTACCGTTCCAGAGAAAGTTCCCAGGCTAAGTTCCAGAGAAAGTTTTGTGACTGAAGCGGAATCATTAGCCTCACATATATAATGACCAGAGACTGTAGGAGAAAGGGATAACCTTCTAACATTTAACCACTGGTAAACTAAGAATTAAAAAAAAAAACAAGCGATAAGCAAACATTTCTATTGCTCTCCACAATCGTGCTATAACTGACTTAATGAAAACCCTTTATAGCTTTGGTTGCTTTCGTAACTTAAAATGCTAGCGTCGGCAAGTAAAACTTCCTGTGTGGAATTACAATAAAAAGACATTTCATGTATGTATGTATAGGTTAAGTTTTCCGTCATTACATGTAGATGCGGGCAGACCTTATGTTACCATCTAATAATAATAGCCGTACTGACAGATACGACTACAGCCTGCTTTGTGATATTGTTTCGGCTTACATCGAATCGATTCTAATATTTTAGGTCGTTAGTGGTAATTCAGTTTAAAATATTTTTTGGATGGTTTTAATTAGGTAATGTAATCGGAGAAATTTCGACTCAAAAAAGCCGCAAAACGCAATGCATTATACACGTAAGCAGATTTTCGGAGCTGCAAAACGGTTACAGATAGAAATATTATTTATCTTTATGCAGTGTTACTTGCGGCAGGTGCCTGACCCGAATTAGCCTACCTTAAAATGTAGTTAGATGATCGTATAAATACATATTATTACGATGTTCAGACAAATTGCAGTCGCCAACGTATTTTAATGCAGATCTAATTGTGCCTACACTGAGGAAATATGCTTGAGAGCATTTCAAATATTTGCGCGGGAAGTCCCTAACACACTCAAATGTTATCGTAAGGCGTCGTCCGCCAGTGAGTGGTGCAAGAAACAGGTAATGGCAGCGTTCGTCTGTCGTCCTTTAGCTGCTGTGCGTGAGTGCTTGGTACTCAAAAGAAACTGTTGTTATTAGCGGTCGTTGTATGTTGTGCGGTTTGTGAGGCGTTGCGCAGACGGCCAGATTCGCGGTGTCAGCGCCAATTGAGCTGCACGTGGTGAGATAGGTTTTACATGTGCAGATTCGGCTTTAAGTGTGGATTAAATACATTCGTTCCTCTATGACAATAGACCGAACTGGTTCATCTAGAGACGTAGAATACTCTAGGTGGCCTGTGCTGCGGTTCAGTGCGAAGTGCGGTTTGAGATTTTCCAATAGATTAAAGTCGTTACACATTAATAAGCCAAGATGGGAAAAAAACAGCATCAAAAAGACAAAATGTACGTATTAAGCAGCGACATCAGTCTTTTCGCGACGTTTTAGTTGTGATTGTTTCTTTAGAAGGCAATTAAAATGTTCGTAAATGCGTGTACGGGTGTTGTTACACCCACATCCTCCCTTACCTCGTACAAGTATACAAAATAGATCGACTCGGAAATACATGTGTGAGGTTATAATGGTCATTGATGAAAGAATATTTATTTATTATTTCATTTGATTTTATCTATTGATCCACACCACTCAAGCTCAACGTGCTTCTGGCACGAAAATGTATACTTTCTTGCCAATAAACTCGAGCGACAAGTACAAGATGCAATAATAAACATTAATAATATTTTATTATACTTTTTCCATTTTATTATGTACCAGAAATGGCCACATTTACCATCTGTAACATCCAACATTAAGTACTGTGTAGTAAATCAGGTACGGTTATTAACGTCTAGCATAGATCTCATAAAACAAATAACTGTGTTGACTACCAAGATTAAGATAATAGCTTTGTGTAATTGTCTAGCTTGAATATTTAGTTGAATAGTCTCTAAAAACTATAATCGTTTTTCCTTTCAGGTATCTCACGACAACAGAGTGGTCAACCCTTTACGGTGGTAAAAAGGCTGGTAAGTTTGAATACACTAATGAATATCATTATGTTTATAGTAATATAGAACCTCCAGCTGTATTGAGACCCATTTGTTATTTTCATGCTTATAATAATTACCATTATTAGGATACACGATAATTATCAAACAAAACTCGATCGAAAGGAAAGAAGCCGTCTCGATCGTGAACCGTTTTAAGTCGTATTCTGCAAGCGGGGCGATCTTGAAATGGGAACCTATTCGTCACTTTCTCCTACAAAGAATGTCATACAAACATGCCTGCGTCTTCTATAAAAGAATAATGTCCTGCCTGAACCTTCAACGTCTCGATTGGCAGTTGAGTCAAGTTGTCGCCTGCAATGAGCTATCCAGTGCTGTTGGGCCTGTGCGGCGTCGCAAGCTACCGGCAGATTTGTCTGGCCTACTGCGGATCTTCAGATTCACCCAGGCACAATGGCAGTATATGGTAGTGACGATGAAGTAGCGTGACTGCAATATCAGAAGTAGCGTTCGTCGAGTACTGTTTGATCGGGTGGTAGAGTCTCGCTAGAGTACCGTCTACTAAGCGCGTTGTGTCATTGTGTTTTTGTGGTTCTGTTTTTAGACGTTCCGGGTGGTAGACAGACTAATCCAGTCAGCTTCTTGGACCAGTTTTCTCTATTGGCCGAATTCGACTCCAGAGTACGACTTGAAGCAGTCGCTTGCATAGTAGAGCTGGTATTCGAACACTCCAGTGGCGGGGACGGTACCCGAGAAGATCGCCACGTTGAGGCCGAGAAATTGAAGGTCAATGTTGGAGATAGGCGACAGTACACCTTAAAACGCCTTCTCCGTGGATTGGCGTCATCGAATAAGTGCGCTCGAATCGGCTATTCCGCTGCGCTTACCGAACTCCTTCGAAGAGTTCATTACACTCCGGAAGAAATTATCGAATCTATGAATAAGTGGCTTTGTCTTCAGACAAAAGAGGACAAAGCGCAGATATTTATTGGTCGTCTTCTCGCTTGGGGTGCGTTGATCCGTGCGCGCCGTGTAGCTCCGTTATTGGCAGAGTGCACGGATGATATGCTTTCGATGGGGGAGAAAGAATTTCTCGAATCTATTGTGTGTCATCTGTTTGCGGAACTCGTACTCTCTATAGACAAGGATAAGTTTGAACAAGTGGCGTGGCCAGTGATACAACGGCGCTTGACAGGGAACTCAGAAGATTTAAAGCCGTTAGATGTCTATCTGATGATACTAGTTCGGCAGCATTGCCCTGCTCTTGCTGGGGAAGTGACTTCAAAGAAGCTGCTTCAACAGGATACAATGTGCTCAGTGTTGCAGAAAAGCACTTCACAACTACCACAAATACACCCCGTGGTTCCCATTATGGTGGAAGAGGCGTCTAACAATGACCAATTGGATGAATTTTGGTCGACTGTGGTAGGCCAGCTTTCAACTGCGCCAACGGCTGAGAAGCATTTTCTGCTTCTACATATGCTGAAGAGTGCCTTCGTCCAATTTGATTCGCTGGACTTTCTCATGAAAGAAACCTATGTTGATCAGCTAGTGTATCCTCTTGTTAAAACTGGAAGTCCTTTGTATGCTCAAGCTAGATCGTTCGTAACCACACTTGAGGGACTTGCTGACAAAAAGGCTAAGGATATACTTCGTTTTGTACTTAGCCACTCGAAAGGGTACCGTTTCGATCACATGACAAAGAGCTCTCTGGTAGCAAAGACTCTTCAAAAAGCGCAGCCTGATGTCGTTCGATGGTATTCGAAAAAATTGCAGAAACGCCTTGCTGGTTTGCAAGGAATCAATGGCGAACACCAGCCAGACGAAGGTCATTTAAAATTCGACATAATTATCATGGAACAGCTGGCTAATCTCACGCATATGGCTAACATGCTTAATCAACCGGATTTCAAGCGCCATATATGCGAGTACATTTCTGTGACCTATTTCTCCGGCGATGCTCGAATCAGCAAAAAGCCAAATATTCAAGCACTCCTCAAAGCATTGGCACCTTCAGGCAAGACAAACTCGCTTGCTGAGGCGGCCGACAATATTGCTGCTGTCCTCCATATCTACCTCAATATGGACAACCGACACGCGTCCTTTCGACATGAAAAAAAACTTCGTTCAGCGAACAAACTCATGTTGAAACTAAACAAGTGCAACAAAGAAGCAGATACTTGCGTTGCATTTCGAATTCTCGTGGGTTACCTTTCATTGTCTTACGCGCTCGATATTCAACAGGATGTCACTGTTCTTGATGACCTGATGTCTTCGGCTAAGGCGTTCTTAAATGGTCCACAAGAAGCTGACGAGGTAGAATGGATTGACCTGGTTATGGAGGCTCTCGTAGCTGCGCTTTCTGTCGAAAATAATCATTTCCGATCGATGATTATGGCCGCGTTGGCTCTTTTGCATAAGGACATCACCACTGATTCACTGGCTATCTTACTGGGCGTATTTAAAGGCAATGAAGAACTTGAAGATCTAACGAAGCTAGAGGAGCTAACGAGCGGTGAGGAAGACTTGGATGATTACGACGACGACGACGACTCTGAAGAAAAAGAAGACTACGAAGCTGAAACAAATCGCAATGCGGCTGAGGAAAAAGAAAACGAAAGTGGATCTGAAATTGATTTCGGGGATGTAATCCTTCGAAACCAGCTGTCGACAGTATTAGGCGTTGCTGGCAGCGACGACAGCGAATCTGAAGTGGAAGCTACAGACGAGGAAATGATGAAACTTGATAAAGCCATATCAGCAGCTTTCGGGGCGCGTTTTAGATCCCTTTCATCTGCAAACAAAAAAGAGAGTAAGAAGAAAGAGTTGCAAGCGTTGCATTTTGAGATGAAATGTCTTCACATCCTCGATTCTTATGTTAAGAGCAATAATGTATCTCTGTCGCATATCATTCTTATCTGCAGAACTCTTCTAGTCTTCGCTACCTCAAAGCGCGCTAAAAACGTCCATCGGCCAATCGTCTCGCACATCGCAGAGACACTTCGAGATGTTAGCTCTTTGAAAATGGGCACACTTTGTACGGACGAGGCAAGCGTAGACGAAATAAAGGAGTTCGGTACGCTGATTGCTGAAAAAATTCGTACTGTTTACGAACCTGAATTGAGAGTTGCACTAAACAGTTTGTTGCCGTTTGTTGTTAAATGTGTTAAAATACGGAATGATGACGAAGAGTGGTACTTCGGTATTTACCGTGACTTAATTCAAACCTATATTGAGCAACAAATGACGCCTGTTGCACCTCCAGTATTTGTCCGGTTTGTTGAGGTTTTTAACGAGCACTGCCTAGTCATGGTCGACGTCATTGAAACCGTACTAGTGGATTGCTGCGTACAGAAGCGCGATAAACGTGTTCAGCTAATGGGCCTTCTAGTGGCGGCGTTAAAACTCTGTAATCCAGCAAACATTGAAAAAAAACGTCTGAAGAAATCGATGAAGAAGCTGGCAGCTGCGATTAGTGGACTATTAGAACGCAGAGAAGAACTGGCATTTACAACTAATTTGTACGTCGAGTTCCTCGACCTTATGCGACTCATTAGCAAAAAATGCCAAGAGGCAGAACTTGAAGATCCCATGCCTTCCCATAGTTCCCTTCTTAGGGCTATGTTCAAGGATCTGTCTAATAAAAACATGCCTTCAAAGGTAAAGCGACGATTGAATGGAGTATACCGGCAATTCTTTCCTGGGGAGCATTTTCAATTGAACAAGAAACAAGGCAAAAAGACTAAGAAAGAGGCAGACAAGGCAGGCAATGACAATGATCAATGCATCTCCGCAACAAAGAAGCGCAAAATCAATGGCCATAGTTATACGAACAACGGTCGTGATGACGTAAATGGTGAAGAACCAGGAGAAGAAGAGGAAGGTGGGCTAGATATGGAGCAGGAAGAAGAGGAGGAAGTTGAGCAAACTGAAGAAATGGAAGAGTGATTCAAGAATCGCCATCTGAAAAATGTAAAGATCAAAATTTCAGCTAAACTTTCAATTTAGGCTGTATTGGAAAACTTTACACTATTTTTTGAAGAATAGTGATATTTTTGCATTCTCAAACCTGTGGTTGAGTCCCTTATGACGACAATACGAAATGAAAAAAAACGTTATCTTTTATTTTGTTAAAAAAAAAGTTTTGTTAACATATAACTGCATGATCATAGTAAAAATTTGCTCGAAGCCTGGATATCGACAAACCTTTCGTGCTTGTACGACATTATTGAATATCTCATACTGATGAAACAAATGTATGAAATTATATATATATATATATATATATATATATATATATTAGCACTAATAAATAACGTAATTCTAATCTGGGAAACAGCCTTATGAAGGCAAAGGTTTTCTGAATTGAAATGGTGCTAATATAATGTGCGATCTTGGTGAGCCTGAATTCTTCTATGCATCATTAAGCATGGACAAAACAGGAGCAGGGTTATTTTGTCATTATTTAGACAGCAGTGAATCATTTAAGCCATTCTGAAAACACGCTTATTGGACGAACTTCTAAAGTGGTCAACTATGAAAGAGGGCCTGGCCTATTACAGCTTTCTGTTGATGTGTGAATGAGTTTTCCGCCTTCATTTAATGCAAAATGAATGATTTGTTAATGCCGCAGAAACTGCCTCGTCTTAGATATGCATAAATTTATCAAACTGGATGTACATATAAAATGTTGTATCGTATTTGATTTTATGGTTGTTGTCATTGTACAAATTTAGGAGTCTTAGCATATTAACAAAGTCTAATAAATAAATTAATAAAAAGTATATAGTCATAAATGTGCTTCTTAAGTAGACGTTGAGGTATTACATACATATACATCTCTGATGTGGAAAACAGCCTTATATGTACAAATACGCCGGCAGAGTTGCTAAAGAAAATTTTTCAAGAGTCTTCAAGGGTCAATGTATTGTGATTATTTAAAACTAAATTACTATCATTAAGGGAGTTTCAGAGGTTGAAGTAAATGATAATTTGATGGTGCAAGATTCGGGCCATACGGCAAAGGCATAAAAACTATCCATCTAAGTTCTCTCAATTTTGGCTGGTTAGCTTGTCATGGTAAAATACGAAGCTTTTCTTCGAAACTTGTTTTTTTTACTGTTTTCTTAAGCAATTTTTTTTAATGGTTTATTGTAATATCGTTTGTCGTTGACAGTTGTGGTCCGAATCAATCGTCCTATCAGGCGGCAGTAGCTTATAGTGTAAAATTCTTCTCCAATCACATAACATTACCTCCTTTGGCGTCAGTGTAGGCTCTCCTGTGGATTACGGAGTGCATCTTTTTAATTTGTTTATTTGCACATTATTGTCATATGCGACGCGTTTTATCAATTGTGATCTTTAGGAATGACCCCACTTTGTTACGTTTCTGTGATATTCCACAGATAGAGATGCGATCGAGTAAATTTTTTGCGTCAATTCGTGCGGCATCGAAATATTGAGCTTTTTTTATAAGTAGCATTCTACAAATGGTTTTAAACCATTTGGTGGCGGGTGTTTAGTCTTTTGACAATGTCATGTGCACTCATGCATTGGTCTTGTTCAGCTTTCGCAATAGTTTCATCAACTTTTTCTATAATTCGTCGACTATGATGAAAACTGCTTCTTATAAGAAAGTTTCAAAACGAAAAGGACGGAACCATCTTTGAAACGTGTCCTCTTATAAACGCCACAATTTTTCTATGAGCCGAGGTAGCATCTGCATCTTTATTGTAGTAGCTTTCAGCAGTTTCACTCATCTTCAGTCGCTCTATTTTAGGCTTAAATAAAGGCTTTCTAATAACTCCGTACATTTACTCCAGCATCCAAATGGCACCAGCGCCAATCAGACCCATATTACCTGAGATTTTAAAGCCATCTTTTTAGAAAGATGGTTAACACTTTTTCGACAGCACAATATTTTATTCATTTAAATCATTTACTAAAATATCGTGCTTTGGTAAGTTAGATAGGGTTTCCAAAGATCTTTATGAAGATTCGACTAAACGTTACGGCGCATGCTATGCGCTGCAAATGTTTTACATAATAAATATAATTAAGGTAGTTACATTTTTTATCCGTCAGCTGAACATACAGATGAAGGGCAGCTAATCAGATTACATGTTTAGTTACTAGGTTTTTTCGTGAACACGCCGTTATGTCACAGAGTTACATGTACCGCTTTTCACTATGCATAGTCCTAAAAGCTATTTGGTATTATACGCTATGCATCCCATGTAGACACTGGAAAAACTGGTAATATGTGTTTTTATATTTATCATTTATTTGGGATGAAATCATGTTGCAGGCACCAGCGGTTCAGGCGAATTTCGTCGGCTTCCATTCGACCACTGCGCTCTTTCATTACAACCGTTTGAAAATCCGATGTGTACAAGCGAAGGTGTAGTTTATGACCTCGAAAATATTGCACCATTTATTAAAAAGTTTGGAATCGATCCCACCTCGGGAAAGGTAAGCTTGTATTTTGCTAGTCCAGCGTATAATAAAAGTTCGACATTCTAGTGCACATCTAGCATGAGTGAAAGGAGAAATGGGAAAAAGGCTTTAGGCTTGTTTGAGAATAATTATAAAAACCTGAATATATATATTTCTTATAAACATGTATTCATAGCACAGGTTTGCTCACTGTGTATTAAGTCAAAAGCCATTATAGTAGAGTTTAAGCATATATTGGTTGTAATTTCCCTTATAAAAAATGCGACTAGAAAAGGCAACATTAGGTAGTAATTAGAGAGGATCTGAAAGCGGTAAAAACTATATAAGCGCCCTTGTTCTGATACGCGGAGTGCCTCAAAATAGTTTTATTGTTAACATTTGAGAGTACCAAATATTTAAGTTGGATAATTATATAATTATAATAATAAAGAGAAAGCTTATGTTACAAAATCCAATATGACTTATCTAATCGTGTACACAATATATATATATATATATATATATATTATTCGGTTGTCATCTGTTGCATAAGATCTGTAATGGGTTTACTTTTGCCTGCTATACAAGCTTGACTTTAAGTAGGGTAAGTGACCTTAGCTAATCAAGCTTTCCGGTGCAGCGCCGTAATGAACGCGCTCAATTTTTTTTTTTACATTAACTAAGTTTTTTTGCAGAAACTTGAAGCAAAATCCCTGATTACCCTACACTTCAAAAAAAATGCTGATGGAATGTACCACTGTCCAGTATTGTTCAAAGTTTTCAATGAAAATTCACATATCGTTGCATTAAAGACGACTGGAAACGTGTATTCGTATGAAGCTGTTGAGCAGCTCAACTTCAAAGCGAAAAATTTCAAGGCAAGTTTACTTAATCATAAAAAGTTGTTAATATGAAGGGTAATACCAGTAGGATTTTAAAAATGTTCGAATGAAGTATCCCTGACACCTTTTTCTTGCTTTACTGACATGTTTAATTATCTAGAGTCAAAAAAAGGTGCATGTTTTCCTTATCTTACAAGATACGACCGATCTGCTAAAGAAAGTACAAAAAGTATTTTCACATATCGGCAGACTACGTGGTATTACAATATTACCGGTTGTGCCCATTTTGGCCTACAAAGTTAAGTCTTGAATGTGCGTATGCATTATTTTAGGATATATGTGTACATTTAGATATAAACCAAACTGACCTTAATTTCGCCCAAAGAGGCCGCTAACTCTGATGTCATTATGCAATTGCTTGACATTTTTACAAGTATACCGATTCGCATGATAAACTGTACTGTGTAACTTAGCTTACGATATAAAGCAAAAAATTCTGGCAACCCTATTTGTTTCCACAACATAAAAATTAAAGTAGCACGTGTTAGCATAAGTTGCCTTACCATCACGTTGTTGGTTTAAATAGTTTTTTGCTAATTGTGTTTAAAGGATCTTCTCGATGACTCACCCTTTACACGTGCTGATGTCATTCATCTTCAAGATCCACAGAATCTTGAAAAATTCAATTTGTCAGCGTTTTACCACCTAAAGGTAGTCCTTATTTATACATAGTTTTCGTTTAATTGTTACTTGGTATAATACTGGTGTAAAGTCCCCTGTTTTTTTATAGATCGTTATTAGAATCATTAAAATAATAAATTTGCATGAATAGAGAGCTCGTCCGAGTTAATCTCAACTGAGTGATAATATAGCGAATATAGCTTATATACTCGATGTCGAGTCAGAAATGAGAAGTTTTGTGAGAATTGCTCCGATCATTAACTACATATCTGTAGAAGAATCTATTGAGGTGACTTATTTAATATGCTTAAATAATATAACGAAGTAATAAATAATGCGTGATTTTACTCTGTATTAACTTATAGAACAATCTTCGTCTTGAAGATGAATCTGCGAAAAAGGATCCACGTGCGAACCTTAAACATATCAACAATGAGACTCGAGATATTCTCGATACCCTCGACAAGGAGCACAAGGTACAAAAAAATACTTATACCCAACAAAGCTATTGTTAGAGTTCGCAAGAAGTATAGTATCAGCATAGTACATATTTTTCTAGATGTAAAACAAATATGTTGTAAAAGCCTTTTTTAGATAGCAAGCATCACAAAAATGGGCAGCAATACCTGTGTGTGCATATATGTTGTATAGTTATTTTGTTACTATTAGATTAATTTCGAAAGTTTTTAGGAAAAGCTAATTTTCGGTTTATAAAATTTTAGCCTCCGGCAGCGAAAGTCGAATCCGGATCCGAAAAGCCTGCAAGGGACCGATTCAATGCCGCTCATTTTTCTACAGGTGCTGCAGCAGCCAGTTTTACCTCAACGGCCGTAGATCCATCCACAAGAGTCGAGGCAGGTAAGCCATCACGTGGCAGATGAATTGTGCTAACAAAGCGCGTGCAGAACAACAGAAATACTCAAAAAAGTTGGATATGAAAAAAATTTCATGCCGCGTGTTATTTTCATTACTGCAAATGTTTAGCTTGTGAATATATGAAGAATCGTGAAGCGAATTCATTCAATACATTCACTCAGTACATATATAGGCACCCTAAAAAACAGATGTACGTTTTTATTGTTCAGCTATATTGGAGGACGACGTCGTCCGATATTCTATGGTCAAGAAGAAAGGCTATGTTCAATTGACAACAAACCATGGCAACCTTAACCTTGAGTTGCTCTGTGATATCGTTCCCAAGACCTGCGAAAACTTCATCAAGCTTTGCGAAAGGGAGTACTATGATGGATCTATATTTCATAGATCTATTCGAAATTTTATCGTAAGTATTGTCATGAGGTATAGTGGATATCTCATTTCTTTAATTTATAGCATAAATTATTTTTAGTACCATTTAGAAGCCTTTGAATTCCAGTAAAGCGGAACATGCGGCGTTGCGGAAAGTAGGTCTTCATTATGTGTAACCTTTTTAGCTTCTTAAAAATACATACAAAAAAAAGATACAAACGCAGTTTCGACTGGACAACGACCTGTATAATTGAGCTTCCGCAAGATTAAATACTTCCACAAATAAGATGCAACTTTTTTTGAAGTAACTAACCACATAAAAGAATTGCGAAAACATTGACCTACACAGATTTATTTTTAAACACAATGTGCTAATTATGAGATTTAAACCTGGCCTGTTTTTAGCTTCAAGGCGGAGACCCGACAGGAACAGGTCGAGGTGGCGAATCAGCCTGGGGCGAACCATTTTCGGACGAATTCAAATCGCATCTAGTTCACCAAGGCAGGGGTGTTCTTAGTATGGCCAACTCCGGACCAAACACAAACAAGTCTCAATTGTGAGTTTTCCTTTGCTGTTTATTTCAACCTCTTAATCATTCTACGCATTGGTTCAGGTTGTTGCTGATTATTTCTTATACCGAGAACGCATGACATATCAGTGCTTTCATTCAGGTGTCCCGCAGCATACCTATTTAGAGCTGACTATATTTTGTAGTCAAGCAGTCAGTCCCTATATCAGTTAACATCGTATAACTTCCAAGTAATCTGTAGATATATATTGAACAATACTAAATTTATTCAGCACAAAAAAAGGATAAAGAGAAATATTTTAGTTCTGATGCTGTATACTATAAGCAACCTGCTTATACCAGTTTTCAATTTTTCACTTAAAGAAATTCTCTGTATATTTTTAACAGTATGTTACTAACCTAATCATTTAATCTGTCTATGAGACTAGCTTAATGGAAGTGGATAATAAAAGTAGTACCTAAATTTTAGTTTAAAAAACCTTAAAATTTAGTTTGAAAAAACAAGGTAGTAAAATGAAAAAACCTTTATAAAGCAATATAGAGACTGAGTTTATGAACATTATATTTTGATATTTGCTCTTCTTTTGTGACGAAAGTTTTAAATTAAATCGAAAAACATAACTTCAACGTAACATTTTCCTTAAAATACTTTTCAGCTTCATTACATACCGGTCATGTAGACATCTCGACAATAAGCATACCGTATTCGGGAAGGTAATGTCTTCATATTATAACTTCGAGTGAATTATCGATTTCTATTAAACATGAAATATCTGCTTGGTGCGTACACGAAACTGCTCAGTTAATACGTTTTGTATAACGTGACCAACTTTTATGTTATCAATTTCTACTTTTTAACGATTTAAAATATCATATTTTTTACATTCACAATCCGTTAGTGCTATTATTCATACAAAAAAGCAAGACGAAATTCTAGAGATTAGACAAATAGCTACGTAAATTCTAGATACCATGTTTCTCAGTCTACAAGTGAATCGTTTAGATTTTCGTTAATATATTTATTGGCCGTTACGAGCGAATATGACATACTTTGAAATTGAATTACTTTTGAATTAGTTAAGCTAGAACGATTTTTTAATGTGTTAGGACTTCTACATGCCCCTATATTTAATATTCGCATTCCGATATATAACATCTCTATCTATGGCTTTCTTAAAGTAATTCGATAGTGAAATATGCTTGTTTACCAATAACCTTTTTCTAAGCATGTCTCGTGATCACACGAATTTGGATCGGGAAAATCGGCAGGTTAAGCCAACGCAGGGTACTACTTTGTTCAATTCAGAAAGTCGTTGAGGTGCAGAGTGAAGTCTGACGTTATTATGAAGTAACCACACTGCGTGCCTTCGATTGCCATGTCTACGATTTATGAGTCCCTTGAAGAACGCAAAACAGCGAGCTGCATTAATTGTTTCATTTTTAGCGAGCATCTCATACAAGCAGGTGTCTCTGGCTTTCACTGTAGGTGCTACCATCACCTTGGTCCGAATCTATTGGACACTGCTAGCGGACTTGATTTTTTTTCTAGACCGACGCCATTCTGTCGCCTAGTCTCTCTTCAACTGGGTATTTATCGACAATACCTCGTCAACAGCGACCATGTGTTTCGGGCGAATTTTTCGTTGATTAAAGTTTTGAAAATTGCACGTGGAATTCATTACATGTATTCCAACTAGCCCGGAGTCAATTCAGGATATACTCATTTTTATTCAGTTTCCGTATTTCCAGTATTTATATAATTCTATGAGACGTATGAAACGCTAACTTTGCCTGACAAAGTCCTCAGACTCTAAGCTCTGCTTTCGTGAAAAGCCTCTTCGATTGCGGCACTGCGTGCTTATTTTTGTGGCCCCGGCATCTAGTCAGCTTTTGCTTGGCCTTCAAGACTCCCGTCCTTTTTGCTCGGTACGTTTGTACCGTATATATATATACACTGTGGGTTCGCTTAAAACTTCCTTGCGTAATATATTCGCCAATCTTCGATGAATTTCTGAAGCTCTGTGGCTTTCGATTAACAAGATCTTAACCAATAGAGGCTGATTTTCGAGATTAAAATATATTTTTCCTTCTAAATTCATTTCTTCTAAAGTAAACTCAAGCGGTTTCAACTCACAATTTACTGGAAGACGAGAAGTCACATTAGCAGTAATGTTTCGCCTGCTAGCGGCGTGTAGTTTAAAAGTTATTTAATTTCTTAGCTAGCCGAATTCGTTTGCAACAGCCTAATAATACATGATACTAGTTTTTTATTTTTTTCTAGGTGGTTGGCGGGTTGCCAACGCTGCAAACGATTGAGGAGATCGAAACTGACAATAAAGATCGTCCGATTGAAGAAGTTCGCCTAATTAAGGCAACAGTATTTGTAAATCCGTTTCAAGAAGCTGATGATGAAGTTGGTAACATTTTATGCTTATCTTACGATATTATGGTTAAATCAGTGGCATAAAAAGGTTGCTTTCTAGTTATAAAGGAAAACACTATTTTGAGTCCTTTCATATCCAATATATAGTTTAAAAAGCAGGCAAACTACAATTCATTGTCCCGGTTAAGCTAAACTACATTGGAAATATTAGTAATATTGCTAGGTAAATATTGTTGCAATAGTGTTAGAAGCTGGTGCGATTAGTGGATATTTCAGCACTGAGTTCTGTTGAAACTTAACTGTATTTCAGCACTGAGTTCCGTTGAAAACTGTTTTAACTTTTAGCTGGCGGTGTTTGGGATTCATTTTTTTAAGATTCATTTTATCTCAGCCAGCGATTTTGTCAAACTGATTTGACTTTTGTGTGTTCTGCATTGTTGCTGAAAATAAGCTTGCGAAAAAACGTGATGAGGAAAAAGCAATTCAAGAAGGTGAAGAGCTGAAGGAACGTCGTCGAGAAAACAGCAAAGTTAAATTAAAAACTTTTTCGACTGGTGTTGGAAAGTATATAAATCCGGAACTCAAGTAAGTTGCATTCAATGCCTCTGTTCTCAATCGAGTGCGCTATTTTGATATTAAAAAGTATATAGCTGTTGCTCAGCATTAGGCCGCTAGAAAACCTGGAGAATAGGTCTGTTATATTTATCTTTCTTCCTTGGAACAGTTCGTATGCTTGAGTATTATAAAAGCTTTGCGTATAATTCACCCGAAGTATAAGTATCTAAATTTATGTTCCATACATGAGGTGTGTTATATTTCTTTAGAACAACAAAGCTTCACTCTAATAATACATTTTCGGTAATTTTTAGAAAAAAAACCTTCGCAAAGGCATTACAAGAGCCGATCCCTTCAGTCAAGAAACAAAAGACATCCGGTAACTTTGGAAGTTTTTCGGATTGGTGAGGAATTAATCAGAAGAAAAGCACCAAATAGTATAACAATGGCGCTTTTGTATTTTTTTTGGTGTTATAGGCTTTAACAAGTAATCGAACGTAGTTCTCAGAAGCTCGTGTGTGGTTTCAAAATTATTATATATTAATCACAATATTTACCCCAGATAGTTGAGAAAAGAATTGGTAAAGAGAAAGCAGGCTACCGATTTAATTGAGTATTAAAATTTAGTCGAATAATTTAAAATCGATAGTTCTTCTAGATGAAAAACAAAAAAATGTGTTTATTATTTCTATATAAAAATGTGCATACGAATATATTAAAATTATTATAAAGTTATATACAGGAGTGATAAGAACTGTAAATAAGTTAAATTAATGTACGTTAATAAATCGAAATGCGTGCTGCGACTAAAATATGTGGTTACTTTAATAAATTAAATTAGTATTGGTTAATTTTCATCAAAAATGAACAGCATGAACAGGTCTTGAAACAATCTTAGCTAAAAATCGGGATATTTTGGAACATACAACTTAAAAACAGTAACAAAAGTGTAACGATCGTTACGGGATCACAAGGCAATACGGTTACGGATTCACGATATTGTTATTTCATATATGATGAATACACACGTTACCTTAAAAACATTCGCTTTCCCTTTGTGCTCACGAAACTTTGCATTGTTTTTTTTTTTTGAAATGTTGTTTTTCTTTATGCTACTGCTTCACGACGAGACTGACCATGAGTTGAACTGCTTAAAAGCATGAGTTTTGGAAAATTCGATACCAAATTGAGTCTCAGTGATACTTGGGGTCTTTTTCGCCAAGCAACGAAAATGGCCATCATTTTTTTTGGTGATGTCCCCCTCCTGGTAATGGTAACGTAAATTTTCGATAATTAGGATGTAATTACCTAACCTAAATGCATGCTCTTTGCGCAGGTTCATTCGGAAGTACCTAGTAAAACCAAGAAAAAGGCCAACGTAATCTAACCTGGTGAAATAATTAACTATTTATCATAGGTAATTGACGACGACGCAGTTATCATATAATTGGGTCTATCAATGATAAGCATTGCTCATGCATTTAGATTTTCTTAACAAAGATAATTCAGTTAGCCTTTTCTGTTCTAGAGACAAAGACTTCAGTAGAATACGGAAACATTCACATCGAATTTACAACTCGGATTTTTACTACAGTACATGTCGTTTTGTACTGATATCGATATGATAGTAGAGTATGGTTGCCATCGGAACTAATGAGACATTACAATAAAAAAATCTTATAAAAGGTCGATAACGAATACTCACTAAACACTTACACATTTTTTTGTATATATATATGTATAAGATACATAAATGTATCTTACCGTTGTTCCTAACCTAATGAAATCCTAATGTAGTTCCTAATGTACCTAACCTATGTGAAAATGGTGGCCAGCCACTTTTCCCGCCTATCACCTTACCTTTTGGCAGCTATTTCATCAGTCTGTTCTGATATGATCGAATTTGATTCGCGTTACAGATAGTTTAACTTTTCAACTGACACTTATTAGGCATTCACTCATAGAAATACTCGAAGACAGTTCACTTCATCGTTACAGGAGGTTTTTGCTGTTTTCACTCAAAAATAAAAATACGTACTACATTTGCGCTCAGTTCGTCGAAGCCTTGCGTCAAGAAAAAAACCTCTTCACAAAAAAACACCGGGTTCAGTTGTCATTCTCGATGATTTTTGATCTGAAAACTGAAATTTATACATATATGTTCACTTCGTCGAGAATTTTCGATTAGTGCCAAAAACAACCCCACCCTATATTGGCAAAAAAAGTTTAATTTCAGTCCCGTGCGCTTTAAGCTACCATCGCTGAAAAAACCGTTCAAAATTCCTTCCAGAGGAGTTTTTGCTTAACAGTCACGTGCGGAACACGGATGTCACGTTCGATTTCTTACTCTAAAAACGACGGAGTACTCATTTTAGACGTTAGAAGCATGCAATGCCATTTTATGTAACAACTGATAGTAAATAATTTCCGTTTCCACATAAAATGTCATGCTGAGGGTTCAGCCTTCAAACGGCATAGTTCAATAGAAAACTGGCATTGGACTATAAAAACGTGTATAGAGTACTTCGATTCAGCTCATCGAGGGCTTTCAACTAAGAGTAAGAACAATTCCCACCTTTACAAACCTTTATGTAAATAGTCGGTTGCTCTTTTGTTAAAAGAAAAAAAATTGTCACTCATCGAAATATTGTCTATCTTAGCTTTTACAAGGCCCTTGCAAAGCAAGGAACTAATTGCATTATGTCCCCCATGAGCGAGAAAAATTGCTTGCTCCGAGAAAAATATCTCAACGCCTAAGAAAATTATCTGAGGTAGTTTAGATTTTATTAATCGTGAATTATTTAAACAAAAAATCTCCAGTTCACCGCTAAATTGATAAAAGTAAAAAATCGAAAATTTACCTTGTAAATTTAATTTTGCACCCATATCATTTTATAAATTCACAACAGTTGCCGCGCGAATAACGAAAAATGTTTAAAAAAATCATTAAAATTACGTCCTATAAAAAAAATCCCTTAGGAAAAAATATTCATTCGATCGGCTTGATCTTTGGTGCAGATTTTTTCAAAATTAGACTTTTGAAGAAAGGAAATAGCCTAGTTTGAATCCGAAAAATAAACAGCCAAGCACAGAGTTTTAGTAGTATTGATAGATCTATTAACTGTGTTTTACATCCAGCGCCGAACAGTTTTCTCTTAGGTTTTAGCTTAGCTTTTGGTTTCCTTAATTAATGTATGTTTATATAGTAGTACATATTAATCCGTGTCGATCGGTTACATATCGTTTACCTGTTTGCAAACTCTCAGGCGTTTTTCGACCATTACACAATTACTTCAGCACCTCGGAACTCAACCTATAATCAACTGACTCAGCTTTACCTGGCTCAGTAAATGGTTTTACCTGTTTATAGTAGATCCCCGCGAAATAATTTCGCTGTGATCTTCAACTTTGGGTTGGAACCAAACATCTCGACACAAAATTATTCCATATCGTAACTTCTCATTTTCTCCGTTCTTAGTTGTAGCTCAAAACATTTCACTCAACCACAATTTATGGGAAAATCAAAAACTGGATTCTATATATGTTTTTTATGCGCTTGCAAAAGCATCCACTAGGCATAAATACTGTTATTGTTGTCCATCACATCATTCTCTGAAAAGAGTTTTCCAGCGAAGGAGTTCAAACGTTATCCGTCTTTGTAGTATCTGTTATTGTTAAAAATTTTATACTTATGAATAATCAGTAAGAAGTAGCGATTTTAGTCAGCCACTCTTGAAATCTTCAAAGGACGATACATCTGCAAATAGTCCCTGAAACCTCAGATTTCGAATTTTGGATTTCATTTAGCAATCTAAATTGCTGGAGCGGCTTCCTTATTAAACGACATTTTACGAAGCGCTGCGGTTAGAGATGTCATTTGCGAATATAGGTTCTCCATTACAGAACATACCTGGAAGAGATCCACATGTAAATAAGAAGTCACGAACAGCGCTGAATGCAAGATGTATTCTCAATATTATATTTATATGCTACGGCGATTATGAGCATTTGCTGACTGATTACCTTCATGGGCGAATCAAGAATGATGACGGTGTTCGTGAACGCGTCGTAGGAGAGATCGAATGGACGGTAGATATGCGTACGTACCCATTCCCTGAGAACAACATAGAGTATCGAATTTACAATTAAATTATCTGCAATAATTAGCTATTTAGGTAATCGAATAATTGTACGTTCATGTACTCACGAGGTCTTAGCTCGGGTTCAGGAACGTCAAAATATTAAAAATATAAACATTTCACTTAATATAATCAAATTTGGTTTGAATTTGTCTTATTATTCATTATACTTGATAAGGATAACTACGAGAAAGGTTCTTCGTGCGTGAGTGCACGACTAAGTAGTGCATTACCTAGTCGTGCACTTTCACCGGAGTTCTCGATATGTATGAAGTAAAACATACCGGAATTTACTTTGTACGTCGCGGAAACTCTCGGCGAGAAAATAAGTATCTTGGTACTCTTGATCTTGATATTTCTGAAGTGAAGTTGTCTGTGGATCGAACGGTAGGACTGTTGGCCGTGAGGACAATGCATGCTGAATTTCTCCGATCGACGATAGCAAACCTGCTCCGTATGCACGTACCTTATCCCCTTCTTTGCAGAGTCCAAACTCCACCGTGAACCAGTATAACTAATACAAATACCAACCATTTGTTAGCATATCAACGGACCATACGAAACTACAGAACAGCGCAATTCTTCCTCTAATATTCTCCGATTTAAAGAATAACATCAACATCTCACTTGCATCAAACTGTTAATATTGGTTGAAGTTAACTGATATTACTTGACCAAGTTTAGATATTGAATGCATTGGATCACTAACTGTTGCAAGTTTTTCTATGTCCTCGTCGCTTACTCCAAGAGACGCCAGACCGATTTCCTGGGAGAACTGAGCGAATTGCGGGTCCGCAAACATCGGAATGTGGCCTATCAGTTCATGGATGCAGTCCGGTTCTGGCGAATGATCTGGGCTTGACGGATGTCGTGTATACTGAGTACACTGCGCGGAGGAATATGAAAAGCGACACAAAAATATAACATGGTAGGATATGCACGCAAACTTGCACCACCCTTTGTCGTAGAAACTGTTTCTCAGACTTGAAATCCTATTCGTTAAGCACGAGTAAAGTTTTGATTCGTAATTAACGACTAGCGACGCTGATTATGACAAAATATAAATTCAATTATTATAACAGCAAAACATTGCCCTGATACACGTGGCCAGTAATAATATAAAGTACAAACTTTCCTATATTATAATATTAGAGTTTTGCTCATTCAAATTGTAATTTACCCTTTGTTTCAATAGCTGTTTATGCAATGATCTGGTACGATTGTTTACACGGTGACTAACACATTTTTTTTGCCGTAGATGTCCTAACAGGTTTCGTATCCACTACTTACTCGCAGTTAGTATTTTAGTAGCTACATTTCTAGAGACATCAGCAATGCAACCTTTTTCAAAGGATCATTTTCTATCGTACCTGAAAAACGCGGAATGCGAGCGAAGCGAGGAAATCTCTTGCCGTCAATAGGCCAGATGCGGGACGAAGTCGAAAACCGCTTCGTTCTAGAAGTAAAGATGAAAGATGTGTAAATAAATGACGCGCTTCATATTAATTTGTAACTCTATATATCTATTGAATAGATAAACCAAAGAGGTCAAAGTAGACTTGCAGATGAAGCAGGCGGTCAGAAAAGGCATCTGTTCAGGACTTCACGATGTATACAATAGGCAAATTACGGTGACTTATATCCCACTTCCTTGTTGATTTAATTTGCGTCAGCAAAGACTTGTTGAAAATTGCTTTAAACTACCTCAGAAGTTTTAAACATCTTACCTAAGATTTCTATGAATAGACTAATCTGTATGTTTACTTCACCGACGAATATAAAGTTGAGGCTATAAAGAAGTAACGCACCAAAATCAACGTTAGAATGTGACCTCAAGTAAGCAATGAAGCAATATATATAAATAACTGAATGGAACTATTCATCTTCAGAGTGAATGTCATTAGGTAGCCAAAGTAGTGCTATTACCTGTCTTACCACCGAAATAATAAAGCTTAAAGAAAATGTTTGAAGAAACTTGATTTACTTTTAAGAAAGTCAGACACCGTCTGAAGCTGTGGGATGGCATGTACGCCGTAGCCAAGTTCCTTTTCAAGGAGACGGATACCACTGTTGAACTCTGCGCACGCATGAGTCGGAGCCAGCCTTTTCACCTCACGGTAGACGAAGGCCCTTTGATCATGGCCAACAAGAGAAACACGGTTACGACTCAGCTATGCATGCAACGCTCTAGTGACTAAACGTATAAACTTGTCTAACTATTATTTATTATTAATTACTCGATCATAAAATTGTATAAATTGTAGCAAATACATGAAATAATTAATACTTGGGAGTGAAATATGAGCAAAGTGTGGCAGCGTTTAAAAAAGATGTTTTTAAATCTAAACTTGGTTTTATGTTCTTACCAGGTCTTTATTTCGTCGTCAGTGTATTCAGCATTAGGAATGAGCTGTCCCCTAAAGATGCAAAATATTGAAATTAAGTTTATCTTCTATTGTGTGGTTAGCAGCTAAGCATTTGTGTAAGTTTCTTTATGGTCTTGTATGTTTATGGAGAAGGCGCCACGTCACGCTTACGTCTAAGTAGGTGCGTAACTGATTGCACTGCGTTCTTAAAAAACGGCTTAAAGGAGTACGTTTCAATTGGGAAACGAAGCCGGAGAAACCCTGATTAATATTCGTATTTATTAATCATTAATGGGCTTAACAAACGTATCCGCTGAAGTATCCGCCTATGTACCAATATATAACGGACTAAGAAACTCACAAGCTGAAGTTCAGATGCGATAATTCAGGCATGAGTGATAATTATTTCTACCTGTTTATGTGCTGTGCAAAAGCTATCGTTAAAATAGTCTGCAAAGAAAATTTCAGCGATTTTCAGATAACGGTAGAATGAGACTTTGAGATAATGTTATACGCAAATCGCAATGGCTGGCGGAGTAATATTCGCAAATTATATTTTATATGAATTACAGAAATTATATTTAGTGAGCAATGGAAGATAGAACACTGTTCAAGCGGTACCTAAAGAATTGATTTAAATGTCTCTTCTGCAGCATCAGCATCGACGAAATACGGTTATTGTAATTTAGTACAGCATGTTGACTTATGACTCAAAAAGGTGCATGACATAATTGAGGACATGACTTACGCTTTTCATCTAACCGATACACTATCAGTAATCTGGGTGAGTAAAAGTTGTTTCATCCTTTATGGATCTATCCCTATGGATCTTCTTGTGGATCACGAACTTCGTTTGATCTGTCAGAAATATCATTAGGTTTGGTCCAACTCGAACGGAGCATGACAGTCAAGGATCTCTAAATGTACGTAGGTACTAAGACATCCTTTATACAATTTAACCCGAATGGTATTTTGGTTCGGGTAGACCCATAAAAGAGGAACATTGTTTGCTCATGGAAGTGTCCGAAGAGTGGACAATTGTTAGCAAGCCTTAGAAGATACCGTACTCTTTCTACGAGAAAGACTACCTTTCTCAGTCGATTAGACATAAAATAGATTTGAATGGATTCCTGTTCTTACTCTTTGTAGTCGAACGCGATCTCCGCAATACGTTTCCGTCTTGCTCGATATGCTGTGTCGTTATAGCCCTAAAAATAGGACAAGAAACGGCGCTATCGTTGATATATATCATACACACATCCCTTGCATGGAAGGTCGTGTCACACAAATTGCCCCTCAAGCATGCGTTTCCCATATAGAAAGGAAGGCCCGCAAAGGTATTTATTTTTTTTTTGCTCAATCATCTGTGCAATATATTACTAGTCCTATAACGGAACTAGGTACATAACCTACCTACAAATAAGTGCAGGTGCTAAATAAGAGTGCAATAAGTGCAAATAAGAGAAGGTGAGGCTTAATGGAGCGAAGTTAGCATTATCATAACAACAGGCGCCATAGTAAAGAAAAAAGTTATACCGATTTATTTTTCCGTCTGTGCTATTAAGGTAATCAAAAAATAGGCCCAGTGCAATTTATCTATTTTCAGGAAAATATGAGTTGAAGACAGCGTGGTAAGGTTATACTGACTGCTAGAAGTTTCGTGCGAGCCAGTAAACCATTTGGCAATGGTAAAGAGAAAACGCTTTTTTTTAGGAATAGCTGTGATTATGGCTAGCGAAACGCGTACCTATAAATCATTTACCGCTAAGGCAGGTAGGTTAAAGGTTTTGATTTGTCTGTTATAGGTGTTGTGTCAAACTAGGTTTTGAATGGTCGCAATAGTGGACCATCCAGGAGTTGCATTATGTTCGAGCGGAAAAGAGGAATAGTAGCAATAACGTGTGCACCCCGCTTCAAAGTCAATCGAATTGGGTTGAAGCCTGTATTACTATAGTCCCTATGCTGATTCTGGTATCAGTAGTTATACATGATAAATTCTTATGATCATGATTAACTGCAATGTTGAAAAGTGTTATTTTGCCAGAGCGATACGTTATGCCAATGAAATCACGTTTTTTGAAGAACAATCACGAGCAACACGTTGTTCACAACAACGAGCACAACACTACAATGTCTTAGTTTAAGCTAAGTTATACTCTCAAGCCAGCTATGTAGTTTTTTTTTTCTTAATTTCTTTGTGAAATCACCTTAAATGGCATTCGGTTTTATTTATATTCAGATTGTAATGGCCCATGGAAACCCACGTCATTCTAACGTAAGGATTGATTTTTAAAACGCTCAATTTCCTTTCAATTTGTCTTCGAAATTGTAGCTTTGAGCGACGCGAAGTCCACGAAGGTGGTTACTTGGCTTCTTTATCGTTCAACGAAAATTTGATGAAGCGCGAAAAATATCTTAGATGTCCCATGTGGTCAACATTTTCATAGAATCACAGTTTTATCCTCGCACCATTATGGTGAACAATGTATTGGCCACAAAGTAAATCGACATGAAAAAAAAAAACATGAAATATTGAAATTTAGGACGCCACATTTGTATCGAGTAGGTATTCATGTAAATAAACAATACATTTAGAGAACTTCCTTTTGAATTTGTATATTTTTTAGAAATAAAAGTTCTGTGTACCAAGCTACTATCTTAAGCATATTTGCGGCGATAAGAAACATCATGGTTTTTGCACTATTTAAGCATGCACGATATCCTTGACGTGTTGTTCCGTGTTATAACCAATCGTGCATTAGTCGGTAGATTCTTATAGTTGTCATGAGAGACATTTTACCAGGAACGAAATGTACTTTCCGCGCACTTACCGGGTGATCAGAGTCAAGATCAGGCTCGAACTTAGTGAGTACGTGTGTACAGAAGTCCAGATCGCTGATGTGCAGCGGGAACCAAATATCTAGACAATAACAGCATACGAGACACCACATGAGATCAGTGCAATCGAGAAAGGTGGTTTGATACGATAGTGAGAATATAAAAATGCTAACATTTGAATAAGGTTGCAAAATATTCTGATGTTTGCTAACCACACATATCAGTATTAGTTGCACCGTATGTATATGGCTGGATGACCAAGCTGCAAGGTTACCGGCTGTGATGAGCATTTGGTGAAAAGCGTGAAGGGTATTGCGTTCCCATTGAAATAAACTACTCGATGCCTCGGCGATGGATTGCGACCTCAACGATAACAGCGGCCGTCTACGCCTGGTTATGCAAAAGTCTATTCGCGTTTATTGCTAGATTTTTGCCAGGCGCAGCACAGTATTGGTTTGAACTGATTGTTGAAGAACAGAGGGAAGTAGGACGAGCTCAACGCCGTTTATGTGACCTTTTTCTACTGGAAGCGCTACCTGATACAACGAGATAATGGGCGCCCTTTAATTGAAATAGAAAAGACTTGTACGCATCCACCGAAAGGATACGATGTCGGAATTCGAGGCGCTTTAAAAAGATGTCAAAGAATGGCATCTATATGACACTTTCGTAAATCATCTCACTGCAGTTCAATTTCCGCGTCTTGTAGCCTTTGCCAAGCTTGCAAGCAAGTTATCGAGTGCAGCGATTTGTAACTGAAGCGAACCATTGGCAAGGTCGGCCGAACCTTACAATAAGTGTCCACTGTGGTGTGCAGGGCGCCCTTCATGCCAGACACTCCAGTGCTAACAGTATCCAAATTCAACGCGCGAGTATGAACCAGAAAGAAAGACTTGTTTTGGATCCAAAGCTTCTAACCGTTTTCGCCATGGAGTTCATTTATCTTAAGGTGGTCGGTATGAAGGGGGTGTAGTTTGGGCACCTTTGCCTAAGCAAGCTAACAGCTATTAAGCAAGTTATCGAGGGATATGCGCGCTACAGGCGTGACCTAGCAGACGACGAAAAAAGCCCGGTTTAAAAAAACAAAGCGCGCGCAACGTTAGGAATAAAGGGACGACCTTGTTACAGCAAACTCTGGGCGGCTGTTTATATATATATACGAACCGTCTCTGCTTATTAACGTGCACTCGTAGCTGTTAGCTAATTGATTAATGAAACGTATAATGCGCCAACGATTTCCATTTGACAAAAGTACAACTATTAAGGTTGAACGAAGCTTGTCTTTGCAATAGACAGAAGATAATCAATCGAAATAGCATATTCCATCTAAAACAATAACCTTGGCGCTCGCAAACAGTCTATCGTAGCATTGCAGTGACAATTCTTTCTTCGGGGGGCAAATATATTGGAATTACTGCAAATTCATACTGTCGCTTAAACTGTATTCCTAAGTGTGGTATTTTGAAATGTCTAATTCAGAAAGTCTACACCTACGTGACAATGGATAACTTTTTTGTAATGTAAAAAAAAATTTGCCTTTTCTGAATCGAAACTGAAAATCTGTTTATAATAGCAATCGCAATGTGCTGAAACTTAATTTGTTGTACTAACCATTCGCTTCAATTAAATAAAAAAATTATAAACTATAAAATTCCGGATGGAAAACTATAACATACCTCCGGCGACAGCGGTTGACATCTCCTTAATAAAGCGCAGATCTCCGAGTTCTTCAGAGGCAAGATACTTAATAAAAGTAAGCAGATTTTGCCGTGGCATGTTGTCCAAAGTGAGAAAAGCTTCGTGCAGGACTGGTCCGGAACCGCCATCACCTTGTCCTGGTTGGCGTGTTTCCAGGTGGCTCACCTTTCCTTGTTGCGCCTTATATAAACAAAAAGGTCAATTAGTACATCCTTTTTTCCTAAGTCGATATTGCGAAAATCTGTTGCATTATATATAAATAGTCATTGGCCAGTCAAATAATTTTTTTATATGTAAAAGCTGCCTCCCTCTGCGCTTTAACGATAGCACAAAGTGTCGCTAGAGGAGCATCTTTAAACTGCAGTGGCAGGAGGGACGTTTACTGAGACTAGTATTTTTATCAGTACACCCTTAGTCCCCGCCGCGATTCGGATCGGCATGCTCCGAACGAATTGTCGCAGCACCTCTGCTACACCCTGATCCTAAAGTCATACTTGGAGCATTGTGTTCTTGAGTTGCAAGACAGTCGTGATACGCTCCGCTGACTTGCCCATTGGTAAAAAGCCATACGTTTGCGATCAGAATCGTGTTAAGTGAACTATCAACGACAAATATCTTCGAGACACACTTTGCCATATGACAGTGATTTGTCATACGTGAACATGTAGTTTCCGTTCAGCCCCTATTCTTGTACCTTGGGCAGCATTTTTCCTCTAAATTACCCCCTGGCGCAGTTAAGAAATCGGGCTTTTCGTATGACGGCTAAAATGAGCCTGCCTGCTTGCGGGCGTTCTCGATTTTTGTTTCTTATTTTTTTTTTTGGTGACATCACATCCTTCACCTTTTTGGCTACATCGTCAACTGCACACTCCTATACGAGTACGCTGCTCTTCCGTGAGGCCTTTTCTTCATTTCATTCTAAGCTCATGTATAGTCCCAACAGCACGGCTATCACTAGAATTCGTTTCAAACTGCCATCGAATAGAGCAGAGAGACGACAACTTCTGCAATGCATCTTCCGTGAACGGAAAGAAGACCAAATCGGACACCTGACTTGTGTGGAATGATTTGAACATTCATACACATCTTAGTAAATGCCTTTCCTCTTACGGATATTCGAATGTGCTTCTCTAGCGACAGTGTCTTCATATGTGTCATAATTGTAACATAGGAAAACGACAGTTCTCACATAAAAAAATACATGTGTATATTTAGTTAGAGTTCGGATATAACAGATTCGTATAAAGATTCCCAGATGACCTTATTCAATGGGTTGGAATTGTCAAAAAAGTGTGTTCTAAAGTCACATAGCTTGTTTAGTGCTTGTTTTGACCTAGATGAGTGACATTTCTGCAAAAATGCTCGCAAACCACTTGATTTCCATACGTTTTCTGTCTCTGTTGTGCAGTCTGCTGCATTACCTAAATGTATGCTTGATAAATGCGTTTGACAAATGGTAAACTGCTCACTATTCAAGTGAACTTTGAGTACGAGTAATGAATTGAAGACAGCACCCTATTGATGTGTTTTTCGATGAGGGTCATCATCAGATTTGAGCAGGGTTGTACCCTTACTTTCATAAGTGTACTGTGTTTTGTGATCTATCCGATATTGTTGAAATGGGTCAATGGCTAACTGTCATCCAGTCTAGACTCTTCATTCAAATCGAACCGAATTGATTTCGTACTACCAATTAGCCAGAAGGATGGCAGTTAAGTAAATGTGATCTTCATTAAGTTTTTCACTACTTTCAAGTTACGATATCTCTCATGCGATGTGATCCACTCATAAAAACGTTTTGTCGACCCTATTATGTGATATATAGGTTTTGAGTATACAGCGATATATTTTCGATAAGTCGTATTGATACTGATGTAGAAAAAGCCAATCCTCAAACTGAGTAAAAATGGCGATTTTGTAGCCTGTTATTTTGTAATTTATTTCGCGACTCTTTTTGCTGATAGCAAACCACTCTTTGCTAATTGGATCATTATTATTATTATTTATCTAGACAATACGTTATTGTAGGAGGTGAACCTACCTCAATCATCTTTAGGACTTGGCCAAGGCTTTCGACACCCTTTTTCAGGGTGACAACCACATGTGTAGATCTGACTTCATTTTCACTTGCGTCTGAAAAAACAATTCTTTTAGTAATTATTTATAATTCGAGTTGGTATATTATCATATTATGAATATCGAAGGCATGGAAGATTTCAAATCGATGCGGTCATCCAACCTGAGGCACCTACGATGGAACACAGTATTACGAAATACTGCTGAAGAAGCCAACAGTGATTCTAGGGCGAATCGCGGAACTTGCTTGAGTAAACGTACAGTTTACTAATGTAAACTAAATGAAACCAACCCTTAATATGATTGTAATTTTATCACTATTAGAAGAAAAACCTATGTAAGTATTCTAACAAATTTTCAGTCTTAAACAAAATGTATATGATGCAAACCGCAGGAGGCTACAAAACTGGAAACACCAATTCACGATTTACGTTACGAGCAAGAACTATTTACGTTCGAAACTTTAATATTCTATTCTGCATCATGTTTATTCGTCGAATTTGAAGTATGAATTGAAGTTTGTCGCACGATATATAATATATTTACTTGCCGTTATTAAGTTAAACTGGGTATCGAAATCTAATTGGCTACCGTTAGCATTGTTGATGAAGACTTCGTTAATGAGCTCAAGTCCAGGAGGTTGAACATGTTGTTTCCCGGTTTCGGATCGGGATTCAGTGATCGCAGCTGTAAGCTCACGCTTCTTCTGTGTCTCAAACTTTGCGTCGTCCACCAAAGAGCGACGCCTTGATGGATACCCTTGCTGAAATTATTATAGAAGAAGCTCAAAAGTAATGATTTTGTCCACCTATTTAAGTATGAAGTTTCTGTTATATATATACATACATACATACATACATACATAAGAGCGATCTGAAAGCTACAAATGTGGCTAAGTATTTAATGTTTGGCTTTATCGGCGTGTAAGCCCTGTAACAGGTTAATAGATACATGGGACCCGAATCCAATGCTTGGAAGTAAACATGTAACCAATTCTTTATGTAGTATTAACAAGCCGATAATTTACAACTATTCCATACCCCTATACTGTAAAAAGCATTTGAGTCAAATTAGTTTGTTTGCCCTGAAGTGCTTACCTCTTTATCGTCTTAAATAGAGCATTAGCATGCTCCGTAAAAGTTGTAGTACATTTCAGCGCAGCATTGAGGGTTACTACAAGTGACAGTGCAGTCAGTACAAGGCCCGAAACATAAATATTCTTCGCAGATCACAAAAGCTAACGTAAAACTGAAGAAAATCACCCTCTTCATTGAGATAATTATATAATAATTTTCGTTTGTTAGAACCAAGAGCGTGCAGTAAACGAATTATGCAAGCTCGTTATGTTATAGAAGCTGCTGTATGTACAACAGGGAAGTAAGGCTGCACAAGGAGAGGCGGCATGGCAATTGAAGAAAAGGTCTTCCCTCTAGTCCAGGACAATTTCTTTACCCGCACCACTACTGTCTAGAAAGGTTTCAGCATGACTCAAAAGGCTCATACGTGGGTTGAAAGTCACGATACGTTAATGGAGTCTTTAGGCTCATCGCGTTAACGCGGAACAGGGAGAGAAAATAATCTGAACAATGGTCGGTGACAATGGCCTCTATCTTGGCGCGCAGGCTGACTTGACAACAATGTCATCGTTTCATAATCACTATAAATTAAGGGGTCGGTCTGAATAGCTGTCTGTCCTTATTATAATTACCGTTATTCCATTCTCCTACAGAGATTGTCAGAGGTAAAAACGTCGAGATGACAGCGAAGGCAGAGGAAAAAGAGACCATTGTGCCATATAGCGACGATGTAAGGGGTCAAGGTGTACATTAAACGAAACCTGCGTCTATTGCGTTGCGCTTTGTTCGTTATCACTTGGCGGCCACGGGTAGTTTTTAGAAATTTCTTGGTTTTACTCATCCTTCCTTCAAAGTTCTATGGAGCAAAGGTCATCGGGGTGGACACCTGTTTTGGGCTGAATCAAAAGCTACAACTTCATATATTTGTGCTATATATAACAGATGGTATCCTTTATAGAGATTAACTACAAACGACAAATATTCAATAGAAAAATTTCTCGCTGCTTTACATGTTATATATACTGAATACGTCTAGCAAAAAGTAAAAGCTGATGAACTACGACATGTAAAATATTAACAACGGCCGACAATGCAAATGCAATGTAATTTGTGAATGAATCTATTAAACTAAAAGTTAGTATTAGTTAGCAACACTCAGATATGATATAATAAAATTTAAGTTTATTGTATCATATTTGAATGTTGCTAACTAATACTAGCTTTTGTTTTAAATCAAAAAAGGTTACAAACTTCTACCTTGTTCATTTTCGAAAACTATTCATTGTCAAAACAAGACTTAACAGCCATGCTGTATATTACGGATCGTGACCAAATCCTAGAACATATTTTTTGTTATATCTTAGTGAATATCAACGGATCCTGGCGTACGTGTATGGCTGAGAAGATTTACTAGTGAAAGTAACTGGTAAATGGCTATGGAGGATGCAAGAAGCGAGCTATGGAGACAGGCCGGGGAGTGGTTTATGACGAAAGGATCCCTTACTTTTCTTCCGGCAGAACTAAGGATCAGAAGTTCCCCTCAGGTTCTATCGGATCACCTCTGACGCACAGACCGATCTTTCTTCCTAATTCGAACGCAGTAACGCCGGAAGCGGATGTGACCCACGAATTCCGGGAAGGACGGACCGGACGCTGAGTGGTAATTGGCCGCAGAAACGCGGACGGGGCTCTAAGCTACTGCCCTTAACCCGCCAGGATTCCATTTTCTCGAAAAGCATTCGGTGCTCCTTTTATCCCTGCCTTTCTCCTTGGGTGTCATCGTTAAAGACCTCCTTCAAATTTTTTAGGAACTACCCGATTTAAAGAAAAGTCATTGATAGCTTTGGAGTCGAGACGTAAATCGCAGTTTAACTAGAGATGAAAATTATAGGAACAATATATATAGCAACAATTCCTTATTACTTGCGTAATAGAGATATTTCCAGGTCCTTATAAAATGGGCCTTCTAAGCGTTTATTTTCGTTGGGGTCATTTACAATTTAACTACGCGCTCTTTTTTAAACATAATTTTTTAGACATAAAAAGTCTTTTTTAAACATATCTAAACGAACGCTGAAGTCCTATGCGGATGAATGGTACATGACCGCGCTATGCCATCGTGAACCGCAAATTGCCGCGTTATTCTAATATTTTTGTAGATTCGTGTTTTGCATTTTTAGGGGTTACCAAAATTAGGTACGCCGTTACCTCACTGCACGTAGTCTGTTATGTGGCAAACACAGACATAGAACAGTTTTAGCTTTATCAATAATATCTTTATGAAGGCTAACCCACTGTCATCAAAACTTATTCTTCATTGTTTTACTGAGGAAATGTTTGATTTGATCTCTAGAACCTAGCAGATCATAACATATTCCTTCAACGTATACACCGCTTTGATACAATTCTTTCGGCAATTTTCCAAAAATGTAAAAAGTATTTTTTGAAAACCCAACACTTTAATCGATGAAAATATTGTACGAAACTTACAGCTCGGTTAGCCGTTACATGTTTAATGTGCTTAATTTTATCGTATTTTAAGTTGAAAAGTATATAATCGAAAGAATATTTCTTTCGATTTGATGTAACTTCTGACTCGCGGTCTGCAACGAAGTTGGCTGACTTTTGCAATTTCCAAATATGACAGCTAAAAATTAATGATGTATCTTTTTTTTTTATTACTTGCTATTCCGGCATTCTAGGAAGGTTTCGGGCTTAGATAGAAGAAAGGTTTATTAGCGAAGGCTATGCCGCTTACTTCGAGCCTATGGGAATTCAGTCGTCAACTTCAATATTTTTCAACTAACTCATATTCGATCGTTGATATCCCTATTTTACATTTTAAGGAGGGCTCAAATTATTTTTTTTTTAGTTTAACTTCACGCATAGTTGCGTAAGGAGACGCTATATGGGCAAGCACACATCCTGCTATATAACAGCTAGCATTCTAAGACAGTTCTGTGCAATACTTCTTCTCACTTTTACTTTAATATTTCAGTCTATTACAAAACTACTGTTGTTTTCATTTTCTTATTAAGTACTCTTATGGTTACAAAGCGTGACGTTTCTAAGGCGATCGGAAATTATTACATAAACACCCAAGTAATATAAATAACCAATAAATAACTTCCTAATTTTTTAATCTCGAACTTGTTTGATATTTCGTCAATAACAAATAAGGATTTACATCATTTTGAACCATCACATTTGAACACTTCGTTGATCCCTCTCCAGGTAGACTATGTAGTGCATATATGAGCCTGATGGTGTAATTAACATCTTTCATAAAACGGTAGAAAACTTTATGATTGTTTCATTACAAGAGTTTTGTATAGAATAGTACTGTATTTTAATGGAATTGTGCGTAAGTATTTTTTACCGAAGACAAACTTGCCCTGATTCACTTACCACTTAGTACCTATGTACCTACCACTTAGTCTAATCCCCACTAGCAATGTAAATCACCGTGCTTAATCAAGATAGTTGCTTTTCACGTCATATATAGATATCTCACTGACCGTCCTTTAGACAGAAGATATTTGTTGAAGAGCATGTCAACGTTCTAAAACTCATGGGCCTATCGACGCCTGGCCTTCTCGTCAGTCCTTTATTGGACGTCTTTTGGAAACTAAATCAAACGTGCTCTAGGCCGCTATTACTAGATGTACTTGCTCGCAATTGCAACTATATTAAATAATGTAATATTTATAATAATTTAGATTTCATAAGACATAGATCATAGATAATGCGCTTAAAAATTAAGATTTCATAAGATAAAAAATTAAAAACACTCTAGTTACTTTTTTGGTGATGTCCTGCTATTGAGGCTAGTTGAATACTCGGTAGCGCGCTCATTGGCTATAGCTGAGTTGAAACAAGCAACAGCCCAATCGACCGATTAATTCTAGCCATTTAGGCAACGAGTAGACTCACTGTCTCCTTTAAGCTCAGGGGATTGATGAGGTTATTTCAGAGGGGACGTAAGACGAGCCCCGAACAGCAGTCGCAGTGGTCATAGCAGTTGTAGCAATAGCACTAGCGATGAGAAAAGAGCGTCGTGGAACTCTACCTGGTTTATCCACTTCCAAATGCCTTCCCAGGGGAGAAGGAGGAAAGCAATTCTAGGCCGTGACGAAGATGCAGACTTCAATTGAGAACAACAAGACTCGATAACATACGGAAAACGGACTTGGAGTCGCCTGCAACCGACACGTGAAGCTATCTCATTCTTTTCTTCGGGATTAGCTTCGGAAAATAGATTAGATCTTTGCGAAGACCACGAAGTTGCTGTTGATGAAGAAACCGATTAACCTAACTGGAACTCGTATTAACATAGTGATAGTAATGATATGGCTGATCTTCGTGTATACGCTTTCATCGCTTGTATATAATTTATATTTTTTAGTATGCCGATTGTATTTGGCTGGCAATGTTAAGGGCGGTAAGAGATTTAACGTTCATTTCAATCAGGCTTTAAAACGAGTCTGTGTTACCAAAAAATATTTCTTTTAACATATATGCTCAGGAAATAAGGATGAATAAGTGCCGATTATATAATAACGTGCCTCTGCTAAAAATCGTTTAGTAAAAGTTAGATGAGATTAATATTCTCCTATAATCTTAAAGAGTTGACACAATCCTGTAATAGATTTAAGTTTCTGCGCGTACTATCCCAACCGGACTTAATAATTAAGAATAGATGTGTTCTAGAAATGCATATAAATATGTGCTTAACAATGATGGAATTGCCTAATATTGGAACATACGGCCATGTGCGCGTGGGCAAAGTTATTGCGCGCAGTATAATCAATTGGCTTCAAATGAAGAAAGTCTTTTTGATTTCCGTATGAAGAAGATATTATCCCCTAAATCCAAAATCATCAGTAGCACTAAGCCATGTTTGTTGGCATATATAGTTTCTGTGTTGACGAAACTGACGAAGACATTTTTCCACTTCTTACATATTGTCGTATGTATTAAACACTTTAAATTTGTTTTGGCGAAATTCGTATTGTATAACTATAACAGTCGATCAAAATGCTTATGGCCTATCTGTAAATAGTATTATATAATGTCGATGTAAACGATTTATATAAAGATCGGCTTCACATTAAAATCATAAATGTTGCCAACGCTGTTTCTGTCGACAGCGTTCATCTGGCAGATCAACCAGTACGCACCTGTGTCAGATCAGCAGATAAAATATATATCACTTGATACTATAGTTGACTGACTGCTGAGCAGAATTAAAATGCAAGAAGACAGAGTCGGGTAATGTCAATCGAAATAAATGATATTGAAGCAGAAGTGTTTAGCCTACACTGATTGTAGAGGACGCACATTTTTAACTTTGTAATAAAAATTAATTTCGTTTCATAAGACCGCTAAATCCGCCAGCTGGCACAGTAGGACGTCGAATTTGAACAGGCTTCTTGTTCGAGGAGAGTTAACTAAGGCCCAACAATGAGCGACAATGCATGATTAAGTCAACTTGATACTTTTGTGCAATTAGAAATTTTTTACATGTGCGTAGGTCTTGGCGTAATTGGACCAAGTCAAAACCTGGCGATTTTAGTTTTGGAACCTCTCTTGATGCCTTACTATTCTGACTAGGCATCTCATGAATATTACGCAATATAGGTTATTGACCTACGCAAAATAGGAAAAGTTGTCCTTAAAACACCAAATACCAGCAAATCTAGTGCTTACCTTGTAAAAGGTCCGAAGTCAATTTCAGTACATGCTCATATCGCAAAAATGACAACGATAAATGTTATTAAATGCAGCAGTTCAGTAATATCCATCGATCTTTCGAAGTAATATCAAACACAAGCTTTTAGAAATCCGTAAGCCTGTGATTAGTAGCAAAGGATTACGACTCATATTCATGCGACAGGAAAAGGATGAAGACAGTTTTGCCACATTAATAATTAATAGTTAATAGGACTAATTCTAGCAATAGGCGTCTCAATCTCTTACTCTAAATAGGGTCTGAATTGGCCTTGCGAAGGGATCCGAAGTATTCGAATTCCTCATAAAGCCGGACGTGAATATATTACTGAAAAAAAAAAAAAAAAAAGGAAAATAATATGAGGTTGAAAAGGACCGTCATTGGAAACACCTACATGCCTTCTAAACCAGACAAGTGGCCAATTTAGCTTTCAGCTGGGTCAAAACCTAAATAAGAGTACGTACATATTGTCTCGAACATTCTAATTGAAACGTAATTATCCGTAAATCGAGTGACGTTCAACGACCCACTCGCTTAACTGAACTATTTTTATTTAAAGTGCTAAAACTAGAGGGAAACTTCAAACCTTGATCGTGTATGGCTGTTTCGAGAATTATATATGGCGAAAAGGCAATGCAAATGTATCACTAGTTCAATAATTGTTACTTATTGCCTTTAAACACTGAGACTACTTGCTGGCTTTGTAAAAATCTTAGCAAAAAGCGTCACGTTCGATGATAATTTTTGCGAGAACAAGCACGGAGAGATGTTCAGGAATTGGCCTAATGATGGTTCATTGGCAACGTGTTTGCCTGATATATCAGGAAATACATTATAGCCTAGGTCTGAATCCTGGCGTAGACACGTTTTCGTACTGAAAGGACTCAGCCATCTAAAGCAACGTTTAGCGCTAGTAACATTTATTTTAGGTGACTAGGGATTGATTATGGTAATGTAAAATGATGGGATATTACTTGTTGAAGATAATATCTGTTTTTAAATGATCTAGTAGTTGTTTCATCTATTTTAGCGAAAGAATTGAGTTTTAAGAAAGAACTTCGCGGTGCCCTGCTAGAAAAAAGGAAGTCAGTATTAACTACTCTTATGTCCAAGTCAACCAACGAAACACAACGTTTTCGAAAATAAACTAATAGCTTTTGGGTTGGATATTTCATCGCCTTCTACTTTTAAAGACGAACGCTTAGCAGCAGATGCTCTATTGAAACTGCTTTTGATCACAACCCATAATTTGGAGCTTCCATTGGAGCTTTTTCTTCAACTAATTCTCTTGGCAATTGTTGGATATCATTTTCGGTCAATAACATGGGTGCGGACTGAAGCTTGCTAAGTCTATAAGGTTTAGCTGTGTTAAAAGTTTTTCTTTGTAAGCATAAGCGTTGTCACGGAATTAGATGTTATACAAAGCGCCCTCGAACCGAAAACTATAGATGGCGTTACCGACTGCAAAGTGGTTGGCGCGCAAATTGAAACTTATGCTAGCACCCATTACGGAAGATGTATAGTGTAATCATACCGACCTGGGTCGATGTAATCCCTAGGGTTCTTGGCTTTCTCTATCTATAGATTTAATATGGATGTCATTATTTAATTATCACACGTGCACATTTCTGAGGAATCAATACTAGTTAGAATCACATTCCAATATTTATATTTTTTTAAAAAAGGTGATTTCTCTACATATTTTTTGCACGTGCTAAGTTCGGTCGCAATATAAACTTTATTAGGGTTTACTTAACCTATTTCGTACCATTAGTACACCTCGCGATTCACAATAGACATATGACCATAAAATATCCAATAAGTTTCGATAAGTTGAATATTTCATGTTCATATATGTTTTTACCGTCTTTAAAACACTTACCAGCTTGAATTATCATCTAACGAAGCAAAAGTTATATTGTTGACTTTTAAGTTATCGTACACATATTTTTGGTCAGCCGAGCCATGAAGAATGAATCTCATGAAAATATTTTAATTACAATGCATCATTACTATGTTTATAATAGACATGAATAATAAATGATATGTTCATCGTCCCTTATCACTAGAGAAGCGATCGTACCAGTAACCATACTTTCATTTAACTTACTTGATTTTTTCTTTTCGTTCGTCTTGTAGCAGGTAAATTGGTTAGAATTGAAAAATAAAATTAAGTATCAGGAAGTTGAAAGTTTACAGAGCTTAGGAATATAATGAATTTTTAACAGAAGCGCGTAATGTTGCGTAGCAGTATATGCTTTTGAGCGATAAGATATGTAAGCTACTGAAATGATGAACGGATGTGCTAATCGACTAGTGTTGTCAAAACAAAGTTAGGGCCCAATCTCGCGAAGGAAGGTACCTCAGAAAGAGGATTCAAATGAAAATAGATCAATATCAATAATATATTATACCGAAGTTGACTTACTAGAAGCCTATGTTTATAACTCTATACACCCCACATGGTGAATGTATATCAACGCTTCAATCAGAAATATGTCATTAGAAGTAAACCCCCACTCCGCTTTTCAAAATGCCTCGTGTGACCGAAACAACTTTTTCGAAGTAGGAGAAACATTGAGAAGTTATATCAGGCTAAATAAGTTATTGCCAAAACCTCATGTAATAGGGGGTGTTCAATAGCAGTGTATCATTTGAGATCGAGGATAATTCATACGAAACATTCAAATGGAAATAATCGACTCTAAATAAAACTAAGCGAAACTTAACCAGTGTTCCGCCTGTAAACCATTCTACTTATTGCAAAATTTCAGTATTCGCATTAACTAGCTTTCTATTGATAAAAATCATACCTTTGATTCATAGATTTTTCGATTCGTTGCCGGGATCGCTGCTGTGTACTATGCTATACTTACGTCAACGGAGTAGCTCTTGATAGCAAAACGTGCGCGATTAAGTGCGCCCTGCATCCTTGCCAAGCACCTGCTATTAAGCACTTGTCGCAGGCAAATAACCACTACAAGTAGCTTTTTCAACAGTCTGTAGAATTGAGTCGAAGTTGGCCTGGATTTGCGAGTCAACCACTGATTTGGCTGTCTCTAAGTTCGAAGGTAGAGAAAACAGATTCGAGCTCACTGTTGGACCAAGATTCTGCTTAAGCTTGCTGTCGTCACTGGCGTCGTGCGAAGAACGGTCAGAGCCAGCAACAGGTATGTTACGGTTGTGGCGGTCCTAGTGCCAACCGAGCTCTTCGAGTAGGTTGTCCTATCCGGTTCTAACTAGGATGCAGGTCTTCCGATTACTGCTTTGCCGCTTCACGTCTTCTTGCTGGACGACCGCGCCGCGGTACAGTGCAAGGGAAGTGTTGAGGGTAGACCCTCCTGTTCCTGTCTATACCAGATCGCACAGCAAGTGAAACTTTGAGCGGCCGGAAAGGTCCACTTTGCCGCTGCTGGCGATCAGGCTCCGCCCCACGCCACCGCCCTCACTCCCTTCTTGTCGACCGACAGGCTCCAACATTCGCTGAATCCTTCTTCAGGGTAAGGTAAGGCAAAGCAAAGCAAAGCAACTTCACATCGACCCCTTTCCCCCTGAATTGGCCTGCTTCAGCGGGTCTGCCACGCTCCGACGGATACCCACCGGCAGGCATGGAGACAGCCACGAAGAGCGCGGTATAAATAGAGCCTATGGATAAAGGAATTGGCCTGCTCTAGGTTTTTCATGGGCTTTTGGACCTCAATATCCATTCTCTCCGCCTGGTTGCCGCTAGTCTTTGCTTTACCTCATTCTGCCCTTACCTCCTCCTGCCGATGAGTTAAGGTGAAGGAAGTGGTGGTGAACATGGATGGCCAGTCGACGTATTGGTGGTCCATGAGGTAATACTTATCAGGTAGTAGATGGTGGCTAAGCATAACGGGATTGAAGTGTAACTATCCAGAAAGAGCACATATATAATCAAAGGGAGTTCGTATCGGTTGAAGTGTATGAAAAGGATGGGGACTGGTTGAATACCTAGTGGAAAAACAGTATCTTTTCAGTTTTACTCCCAAATAATCTACGATCACATATCTAAATCATTTAAGTTTGCATGGAAATGGTGATTCTGAAGTTCCATTTACCCAAGTATAGTATAATTTTTCGGATATCTCTATTTAATGGAGGTAAAAATTTTTGACCATACCTTCACAAAAAAACTGAAAGTACTTAATTTTTAGATCGTCTGTAAGAGTGGTATAATTAATATCCTCAATTCACTATCGTACATAAAACTCGAATTTGATAGCGGGTGGGTGGTCTGGATGGTTATATACAGCCATCCCTAATTCAAATAACAACTTTGGTGAATATTTATCATTGCATGTGGCTACCGTTGGGGAAAACCTAGACCTTTCAGTAGGAGAAAATTTTTTTATACATAAGAGCTGATTCTGATTAATACGCTCTAGAACTGGAGCATCTATATACTAAACCTATCCGGGTATGATAGGAAAAACGAACAATAGTTGTTCTAGATTTTTGTTAACGAATACCCCTGTTTTGTTATCTGTGATATGTGACTGGCGGTCCGATTGATTGATCCGGTTGATCAGATTCGGAAAGCGAAACGGATATATCATTCGAATAGGCATACTTTTTTATTTGATTTGTCTAACTTCTTCCGGTATAATTGGTAATAAAAACACTTGATTTTTGTCAATTTGATATCATTATCGCGTGTTGCATGTAATGATCTAGAACAATAATAATAAACAGAAAGGTACCTTTATTAACAATAAAGAAAGATAGGATAAATTAAGAGCTTTCCACGCATCACATAGACAGAAAACAAGAGCAATTGTTTACAATATCCATTGATACAAAAAAAAATACATTGCTAACACTCAAGTCATATTAGACGACACTTTGTAAGCCCTTCAAATGCGGTGTGGATAATCAACAAAATCTAAAACTATAAATACGGATGTAGAATGTCACAACTTCCCAGATAACGATTACATCGTATAAAGCCCCCTGTGCTTCACTTGTACCATCGAAGACGGCATCGCGATAACATAACCGCTGCCTAATCTGATTCTTTCACTTCAAGGCTCAATCACGTGTCACATATGCAAGCAATAAGTAATACATACCTGGGCTGAACAATGGCAATCTCAGCCATATGTTCTCAAGCCGGCAACCTAGTATAAACTGGAGCAAAATCATCTTAGAAAACATGTCGACTTCTTGGCTGTCCACTGCCACACGACCGCTTGTTGTCCGATAAACTTCTTTGTTGGTGGTGGCGTGACGTCTAATTTAGCGGATACCACATTTAGGACATGAATATTTCAACCCGAAATTTGGTTTTATTAGCCCATTCTCCCGGCCCATCTTGCGCAATCTAGCGATAACCTCTTCTTTGCACGACGATTTTTGCATTGATGATAAACATCTTACCGCCGAACACCGTAAGAGTATTGAGTAAAAATTAACCTTCACTTATGTGCTCCCAACGAAGCACTGCGCCGTGCAAACAAGCTTGCTTACATCCTCTTTAATACTGCCAATGCTAATTAACGCATTCATGAAAACGCGCGCGATCATTTGAAAGCATTCTAAATTCAAGCCGAACGTTCCGATCGCGAAATCAAACTTACCCGACTGAACACCTAATTGCAGAATACGTATGTTGCCATAGGTAACCGCATTCGGTAAAAAAAAAACAACACTATGGATAACTTACGCAGCCGTTGGATATACTGAAAGAGAAGGTATTCACAGCTAGAGCTGCATGCAAAGTAGACAGCAGCTTTTGAGCAAATGATGATGATGAAAAAAAGATGAGACAAATGTGATCAGAGGATGGAAAGCTCTGGGAGGAAAACACAGTCAGCCAATGGAAACTGACACTCGAGGCTACTGCGAGCTTTTATGGATTCTGTGATCAGAGAAAAGTTGAGATTAACTTGACCGTGGCATCGCTCAAATAAAAACATGTTCATAACCAGACTTGCGTTTGAAAGGGTAATTATAACAATGGATAAATGCGAGGGAAGTGAACCTAGCATACTATAGATGGAAATGACCTTATTCATATACTAAAAAGGGTAAATTTTTTAATCCGTGATTTCAGTGATGGCTGGAAAAACCAGCCTAAGGCTAACTAACGTTTCCTCCGTTAATAAAAACATTTGAAAAAATCTCTGCGACTCTTGCGTCATTTATTGTTGAAAGCTTCCATCTTAAGGACGGTGGTAAGAAAAGTGGTAAGTAAGTAGCCTTTGCAAACTATTTGAAAAAACTCCCCATCAGACCATTTAGGACAAACTATATGAAGTAAAGTTATCCATCTATGTTTCAATAACGACGCTGAATGTATCTACATGTCGTACAATAAGGACAGTAAGCAATCTTGAATTTCACAACGAAAGATACAATGCTTACGTGGAATCTGTGAATCTTCACCTCTCGGCATATGATCTGTGTTGATATCAATAGCTGAGCCTCAACTTTTGTTTCATACGCTTCTGTAGAACAGACGTTTTACACACAGATTTGTAGTTTTTTTGCAGCGTGGTGAAACTATCAGGGCTCGTGAAAAGAACTCCCTCGATGGGGACCCGTGTGAGAAAAAAAAGTCCTATTCATCGGGAATATATAATATTTTCATGACGCTACATTTTACTTACGAATTGCGCATCGTACACAACATAGCAGTCTTCGCTAAACTTCGTTTTATAATGCAAAAAGCTTCTCACAAGATTAAGAAGTCTGTCTTCGCATACGCCACTCAATACGGCTGACGACCACCGTAACGCAGGCAGATTTCATTGCTAGTTACACATAAATTGGTGTAAATCTAAATAATTCCTGTCGAGAACTAATGACTTAATTAAGTACCATATTAGTCCATATTGCGCTAGACGAAATATATCTATATTGTCACCCTTAAGAATAAGGGTCTGCGCCTATGTGTGTGTAAACAAGTGTATGCGGCAGAAGGAAGCAGGATACGTTGTAGTCATTGATGTTGTGTAAATTGATAAGTAATTACTTCGTATGATAGAATTTCTATTTATTTCATCTAAAATTAAAACTTAACGCTAATGTTTTCAAGAATACTGAAATTATTCGACAATTAAGCGCCAATGGCTATCATTCAAATCCTAGTCATCTTTTTCAGAAATCCTAATAGGCCTTCTCTCTTAAACACAGAAAAAATGGTAGTGAAGATCTGACGAATTATAATATTACAGCAGAATTACCGCTAAAATCACTGCTACAATACAGTAACATTAATAGCAACGCTTCAATGCCGCCAACGACTACTCTTCACATTCGCTCCTTTGCATAGATACGTGATTAGAGTCACTTTCTTCTGTAAGTAAATAAGAAAAGTATATAATTTGCTTTAATTAAAGCATTTAGTTATTGCGGAAGCTGTACCTGCTGATTATTGTGGTCTGTTTTGGTAAGGCGGGTCCAAATGTGCGCAGTGTCATCATTGTTCGAACGGAATACTGCTCCAAGCAAGATAAGCAGGGGCACTTACCTTTTCCGATCAGACGCAGCCACAGTCATATATGAGCGTAACTACTGAATGGGGGCGGACGCGAAGGAACTAAATAATGTAATTACAGTTTCAAGCGTCTTCTACTAAACAGGTTGTGGCTGTTCTGTGCTAAATTATTTACTAAGTATACTTACGTTACTTTTTAGGATTGTAGCAAACTGAATGCGATCCCGCTGCATTAATATTTGTGCGGGAATCTTTTTTGTGATGCAGGCAGATAAAACTTTCACTAGTAAGGGGTCTTCTCAGTACTAACGTTATTGGATCGGGCGTTTTATTTGAACGCTTCAAGAATGAGCTCGACTTGTTTGGGTGCGTTAGTTTTCTATGAAAGCCTTCATAATTTACCGTTATTATTCTTTGCCCCATGTGTATTCCGTAATGATAAGGTTTCCTTACCTTCGTCTGACTCCGGTGCATGACCTGAAACGCACATGAAGCATATCGTGCCGAGGGAAGCAGAAACTAGCAGAACCCCCAGCTGGAAAATCGTTCACGTTAGGGCCGGTTAGAAAACACGTGCACGTGCACTCATACGTCTCTCAGCTAACATGTAGTCTGCATCGTCTCAAAAAGTGCTGCAGTCTACAACACGTTAACGAATATGTGACAGAAATACACTTGCGTACAAACAAAGACAGAAACAAGCAAGATGTTTTTCGAGTAACTTCGATCGCGTATAAACGATACAATAATGCTATCGTAGTAACTGTAAGCTGTAGCTTACCTGATATGGAAGAATAAGTATGGTGGACAAAAAGAAGAAAGCTGCGGCTGCAATAGATTGCATAAACTTGAAAAGTCCGAACGCCGACGAACTATCCTTACTGTATACATACCCAATCAGCGAGTAAATCTGAAATAAAATTACAAAATAACTTGTAATGAACACAGATCTGAATAATGAAATACATTCAAAGCCTAATAAATAAAAAAGCAACGGTTCTTTCAGCGCTTATGAAACTTGTAGGGAAGTTGATTATTTAGTGAGAATACGCTCAATGAAAAAGAATCTGCCTTTCTTCATCTTTTTGTCTCGAAAACTACGCAGCCATCTAGTCATCAGATCATTTTTACCTACAATTACCGAAGCATCTCAAGGGTCATGTCAGATTAGGAAAACAAAGGACATTGTATCGAGATGTTACTACACAGCTTCGATCGCATATAAAATAATTGGGGATCCCTAACCTTATCGAACAGCTAAAATCTAGGCCATCCCAAACTTAAGATGTAAAATGGTAGCATATATACAGCAGGTACAGCACTGAGCGGCAGTGTGGGGCAAAACAGAGTGGACCGTTGTGGACAATTGGCGGCCAGGAAACTTGCACGAATCTCGTTTCTTTTGTGTACCCACTCTTGGCCTTTGCTCTGAAGTGTTGCTCGTAAATTGTACGCTTATGATCGGAGACTATGCGGCCATAATGATTGGTACTGTTAAGGACCATTAACTCGCGGACCTACTTCGTTAGCCTTTAATACACCAATTCGTTTGTCCATATTTCAAGTTCTCGTTTTACTGTGCTTATTATTCCAGCAAAAGATATAAACGTAGATGGTACATAACAAGCACACAGACAAATAGCATGTGACATATTTTTTTACGGAAGCACATATCAAATCATTATAAATTGAGTCTGCTAATTACCTGGGTATTGAAACAACCATCACCGAAGCCGAGAAGGAACGAACAGAGCAGCGCCAGCTCGATACTAAAATAGGTCAATCTATAATCAGTAACATTTTGGTCATACATCAAAATTTCTGTTGCTTATAGGATATATAACGTTTGATGACGTAATAATTGCGTCATCCTTATTATCAAGTCTAATCGATACATGCTTCTCCCATAAGACATTCAACCAACATCAAGTTTGCTACTGACGAGAAGACAATTTACAGCTGATCTTCACTTATCAATCCCTCATACGTAAGCTCAGCAAAAATACCTATACGCCCTCGCAAATGTTTGCGAGGGCGTATAGGTATTGCCAAACAACAAGGGCAGATTCCTCTTATTAAATTAAGAATTATTTTAATTGTTAATTAATTAGCATTTTATCATGTCTATGTTTATTTAGTATTAAAAGAGACGCCGTAGTAACAACAAAAGTAAGTAGTAAATATTTTACATTACACACTCACCTGGAATGAATGATTCCGTTGTCTTTGGTTTTTCCATGCACCGAATTAGCAGGTAGGTTGATAAAAGCTAGGCCAAATGTAGCCACATGAACCACAAAACCCATCAGGACTATTTTGCTCCGTCCCATACGTTTCGTGTAGTCATCGAATATGCTAAACGCCAAACCAGCTTAAATATTACGATAATACGTTATGTAATAACATGAAAGAAATCTCTTAGAGTCAAACGGAAAGCAGATGTCTAAAGTTACATAGTATATGTTTTACGCGGTAGAGTGCCTCGAAAACGTAACGCGTTGGAACGATAAAGAGTCCACCCATGGTAGTGAAGTATCAGGTTTGAATCGGGGACTGCGGATCTCGACAAAATGTTTATCGCGGCTGTCTCCAAGATATCCAAATTTCAATTTAGATTCAAGCCACGAGCTACACTGTGGTACACAGTCAGCACTCAAAATCTACCTTTTGGACTAGCACTTGTAGCGTTTGGCATTTATCGATTGACGGAGCCTTCTTAACTCTACTATTTTGGATCCGTCTCCATGCGGGAAGGTTTCATGCGTTCATTTTTCTGCAACAATTGCCTTTTCATGCTGTCCTAGACATAGTTCATTTTCGGCGCGTAGAAACCTTTCGTAAAGCTATCTGTTTATGTATGATTAACAGAGATCGCGCGAACTTCAGGCCTCCGGACCTCTATCTGCGTATACGCTAGCCCTTAACTAAAACGCCTGCGGCAACCATCGGTCGTGCGCAGCTGTTCGTAGTAATAATAATCGTGCTGATAATATTAAATATGACCATTTCCGGAGCTACGACAGTTGAGTAAGACGTGCTTATTTCAAAATTCATGGAACACCCTAGCATCGAGCAGTCTGATGGTGGTCACAAGGTAACGTTCCGCCATATCACAGCACCATGCTACAATTTCATCAGACTACCACGTTAAATGAACGGCTTGAAAGAGTGAGCGCTGCTTTACGCGAGAGCGTCGTCAAACTATTCAGAATCATGAATGAATGCAGTGATTCAGGTAATGCCAACCCAGAGCGTCAAACTGATCTGAAAGCGTTATTCGATGCCATTTCACCAGCAGGTATTAGATATATACGAAATAGTTTAGGTTCGAGGCCAGGTAATGACACAATGTTTTCTTTATTAGAAGCAACTCTATTTACGAAAGCACCGAGCGTCCGACCCGAAATCTGGACTTCACATTATGGAGCGAGTGTAGAACACTCATTCGTGAGGGTGGCCCTAAGCACTTATACGACTATGATCTGATCTAATAAAGGCTTAGGTCGAATCGGATGTCAATAAATCAGTATTCTTTGCTACGAAATGTTTTGCATGAAAAAAAAAATATACGAACTATTAAATATCCTTAATATTGGCTAGCTACACATTTACCTACTTTCTACTTACATAGCACCTCGCCAGTTCCTATGAGAAGGCCACTAATTGGCACATACTTAGAGCTGTCATCACCAAACTCCATGGTGAAACCGATAGCAGTACTATAGACTCCACTGAAACCAATGTGTTGTATTTACTAATGTTAATGGTTAGATTTAAAAAAAAACCACATCTTTTTTTTTTTTCAATATCCAATTGCAAGTTAGCCACGACTAAAACTGAGCCTGAATCCAGCATGTAAGATATGGAGAAAAAACCTCTACTCACACCTATTGTATGACTTCGTTTCAATTTTATTAGAAAAAAAAAAATATTGATTGCATTGTCTAACTTACAAGCTTTGCTTAGAAATTAGCTAACAGCAATATCTACAAGTACTTGGAAATGATGTTGTGTAAATATCTATATTGGATAAATCGTACCTGAAGAAAGACAGCTCTAGCCCAGTGTAGATAAAAGCGATGGAAAGCAGTAACATCTTTGACGTTTTCAATAAAGCAAACGAGTTTACTGAAATAAAAAGTAAACACGTTACTAGTTTGGTCTTTATTACACTATTATTTAAATTAAGCAATAGGTGTTTAGCGGGGCCACTGACGCTAGAAAATTTGAGCTTTTGCACATTGAGGCGACGATTTTTGAAAATGGCTGTCAAATCGTTATACGTATAGCGGCCGCGACGAGTAAGGGACGCAAATAAATAAGTTTTGATATATCATAACATTCAATAATGTGGTAAAATCTGACTAACCGATTCCACTGACGAATAACGTTTTTTTTTCTTCTTCTTCACTGAAATAAATATTTTGGTCATAAGAACATTTGCCACCAATTATATGAACTGAAACTCCTCTAAGCACGAGAGTGTATATATATATATATATATATATATATATATATATATATATATGGAACGCAAACGTAATCGATGTACAACAATCGTCTTTCGGTATTGCACACTTCTCATATAGGCTTCATTAGTAAGATGTAGCATGGCCAGATGCTAAACACTGGTGATTTGTTGAAAGCACATACTCGTCATTGTCCTGCGGCGGTCTTCGGAAGCAGATCATTAGGAGGTTACCGATTATTCCGACGGCGAGTAGACCTCCATAAACGAGTATACGAGTTTCCTTATCGATATGCTCCTTACCGACCAACCTGTACGGGAGATCACGCATAGGACACGTAAAAGGAATACGACGATTATGACACGTGTGCTGTACATTGCCAATGTCCAAAAAGCCTCTACTATAACCATTTTTGGCTTCTAGACTATCATGAAGTTTATTTGTTGGTTTTCAGTATGAAGATACTCAAATGGATGACGGGCAGATGATTGCCTCGCCTTCAGAAACACGAGTAAGCAAAGCTCTTTAATTAATAACTGTATACAACTAAATAATTTTATTACCTAATAGCTTACTTAATAACGACGATCAGGATTAGTTCGAATGGCGAGTTCACACTGAAACAATATAGCTTCCTCGGATGTTCCGATTATTGATATTATTACTTATCTACTTCTTGTAAGACTGAAACAGTGATTCCTGGCTACATGAAGCTAGCTAAATAGAAAATATAATTCCTGTAATCCCTTTCGTGTTATCCTTACACGAAGTAGACAAAAATGTTTCCCCAAATCAGTGAGAGCTGCATCATTGCCCAAAAGATAGCGGAGTTCCTTGACATCGTCTCCTTGGTTGAGTTTTTTGTTAGAAATGTCCCTTGTCCTGTCCATATAACTATGAAATAGGAGGGAAAATAGAGGTAATTAATGAGGATAAGTTAAAGTATCAGTTAGCAAGTTCGTCTACAAATGCCAGTTATCACAATATACTCGTACATTATATTTGAGATATAGAGCACAAACCTGCTGCGCCGGATCCAACTAGTGCAGATGCAATGTAAAGACCTTCTGCGGTTGGATAGAGAAATTGCGAGATGAAAAAGCTGAAAATTTATGAGGTATAATTTCACAACGTTGTACCAATAGAGTTTATTCGGTCAGCGACTTTGCGGTTAATAGTACCTGAGGGCTTCTTGAATCTCTGAGAAACTGGCCTGTTACTAGACAAACAATCCGACCCGTAATCCGGAAAAGCGAAGGGAAAATGTTTAATAAATTAGTATATTTTCGCTGTTGCTCAGACTCCGCGCAGTTCACCAGCTTTTTTTAGTTTAATTGAGTCACGGGCAAACATGACTGGGCGGCTACACGTAGACCATTCGCTTGCAGCACGTCGATGATAATACGGAGCCTCCTATCATCTGTATTTCCAGCGCCTCTGAATTTCGAGGTGACAGGTTCTCCAATGGGTTTACTTTAGGAGAAAGGCACCATTTGCCTATGTTCACACCAAAGGAGGGCCTGGTAAAAAAAACTAGTTGAAGTTACCAGAAGATAACTTGTCGATATTATTATTGATAATTTGGGCAAGACTGTGGTGCAATCGTATTCTCCAGTTCGTCTGCTTTACGATTAGAATAGCATATATTCATACAAAGTGTCACATCAGATTTCTACAGATTAGTTCAAGACTTCGAGGAACGAAGAGCTCCAAAGCTCCTAATATGAAATATTGTTCGTGTATATCACGTAAAGCTTTTTCGTTCGGCATGGAGGCTGCCAATGGTTAAACTGATGAGCTATCCTACTACTAACTTGTACGTGATGGCGCCTACGAGCATCGAGACTCGTGGACTCATAAGGGCAATGATGGATGGTGCGATCCAGTTTGACACAGCGAAGACGGCGTAGATAATACAAAACGACCAGTATCCATCTCCGGTGTATTCTCCGTTGGTCTCGTTTTGAATCGACTTCAGTACAGTTTGCTACGATTTTCAATAGGTAGAAGCAGTTCATGAAAGGCAATGACATATTTTAGGCGAAAAAAAAATACTCGTATACATCACCAGACGACCCAGTCGAAAACATCTGCGAGCTTATGATAATGGTAATTGTAAATACATATATTCGCCACGAGGCCTCAAAACGTTGTTTTTGGCCAGTGCTACACCATTCTTTCTTCTGGAGGGAAAAAAAAAGCCGCTAATAAAAATTTCTAAGCAGTCATAAAGCAGAAAAGCATTTACCGAACGATGTAGTATTTTGGAAAAAGAGCGTTCCTGAAACGCCGTGTGCTTAGTTTCCCAGTACAACGCTCAAGCTGAACTTGATCATGATCAGCAATTTGATTACAATGAACCATACTAGGTGTCATAGAGCCACGTAATTCTACACGTTATGTAAGACAGTTTCAAGTCCCGCCCAACGTATAGAAAATATGTCCGCTGCATGCTCGCTACTAGATCTCGAAGCGTGGTTGATGTCTGTCTAGTTTGGTCTTGGTTGAATAGGACATGATCATACTCCAAAAGGAAAAATTTATCAGTAATTCTAAGTAATAATCTAATACAAATGAGTTATTACACGGGTAAAATGCCAGGTTCATTTTAACACGTGGATAACACTTACAGTATCAGTTGTTTCAATTGTAAAACTACAGTACATGTTAAGATTAAATTCTGGTGCTTCCTGCATAAGGACACAGGGATTAAGCGCAGATCGTAAAATTTTAAAGTGCATAGTTTCGGGACATGCTACAGGTGATAGAAATTACGATAGACAGTGGAGAAACATGGTCAGGAAGTTTTGAGCAAGTTCTATTATCTAAAGTTCAAAGAGAAAGTTATGCTGAATACCACTTAATTACAACTATGTAGCTTTTAGATTGATTTGATTTTTTTAGAAGGATGTCGACAACGCTTTACTTAAGACAAACAGAACACATGCACAAGTAATAAGGCCATCGGGAGTGTGGTCTAGATTAATTTCTTGAACATATTATAGCCCGATCTCTTTTTAGTAGAGGTTATAGTGACTTAAAATTCCCGTACGCCTCAATTCGTAGGCAAAAGAATAATAATCCCAGAAGACGACCATTTCTGGGTAAATCATATTAGCCCAGTGCAGATTATTCGAAGAGCACATACATACATACATACATACATACATATATATAATCTATCGAAACGAATGAAACGCTATTTATTACCCTATACCATTTGATGCAAGCTATGCCTGAAGAAACGGCAAACAATTAGTACGGTTTTGGCTATAGGCGATTTTGACTATGATCGTTCTAAACGTCATCCCTGATATCAACAGTGGACAAGGTCATCGGCTGACCTTACATCGACCACATTAGCTCATTACTGCAATGTTATTTGCAGACCGCCAAGTGGCGATCGAAGCGCCAAAACGATTATGGTATAACAATGGTAGAACGGTGGCGATCGAAGCGCCAAAACGATTATGGTATAACAATGGTAGAACGGTGTCGCTTTCAGCGGTGTAAGATGTTCGCGTTCATTATAGTACGCGTATAATATTTACTGCATCAGCTTCTTGATCGTTTGCTTTTCTTCTTCGTGTAAGCGTGCAGGGCAGATTATAAATGCGTTGCTTCAAGTCATATCACAAGGAAAATTAACTTTATCTTTGTTAACAATAACCATGCCTCAGTCGATATTGGTATTAAGTGTAAAGTTTGTTTTCGTCGAATATGCGAAACATTCGCACGAAATTCAATCTTGGGCTGATACGAGGATCTGAAGATTGAACAATGCGACAGTTTGAAACTGTCCATAAGTATAAATGGTGCTGAAAATCTCGCCGAGATTAATCGTTAAATCTGATTTCAACAATTCAGTTAGAAAAATTGTATTTTTTCTTTCTCTCTAAAAATGGCCGTTCGTTTCCGTATGAAAAACTTCATTTTGAGCCATTTTTTTTTTAATTAATACACCGGCCTTATAACTTTATTTCCAATTGAAAACTCACCGTTTGTCTTATGAAGGTCTTAAATAAGCCGCATAAAAACCAGCAGTCACGTAGATTGCCAATTTCGGTAAAAAAAAAAACGTTTTTAATTCTTGTAAAGGTATGTCTAGTGCCGAAATATTCGATAATAGTTGATTTTCGCGTAAGTTACAATCGTAACGCGTTGTTGTTCGCCGTAACGAGCGCGTTATTTCCTTCCCGAAAAAGACTAGCTTTCGTCTGGCTCTAGGGGGGGCCGGACGAACGAACGCACGTACGCCCCTTTACAGCAAACCGCTTACCAAATTTTTTCTGAAGTTAAACGCGCCATTTTGTACATCTAGCTAGTATTGGTTATAAAACGGTGGACAATAACAATACTTATCTACCATAATGTTTACTTTGATCCTGGTCGATATAGTCGGTGGGTGTTGAAAATTGTTATCCTATAATAAGCACTGCTTACAATTGTTTGCCTTGCGCATCAAGTAAAACGGCATTTGTGTAGATTAGATTGCTTTGTGAAGTGGGCACAGTATGGGAAAATCTTGAAAATTGACAGCGGTAAATTGTTTTATTTCAATTAAATCTAATTCAAATGAACTAAAGGTAAATTAAATTAGGGCCAAACGAGCTAAACTTAAAAGGGTTCAGGGTGCAGTCCTAGTGCCGTTTAAAAATTCATTGGCATTCGTTGACTGGTAAAGCTGTAAATGACTACAGCCTCAATTTCAATTAAATAAAGTATAGAAACATAGTAATGCTATGTTTCTACTCACAAACTTACACTTAAACTCACAACTATAGATATTAGGTTCTAAAGGCTAGGAAGCCCAAACCGTTGGACAACATATTCTCCGTTTGAGACAAGTCAACATTCTAAAAGTTTGCATTATAAAAGTTTTACGCGGTCTTCTACAGGACGGAGACCGTAATATTAGTATGAAGCACACGTTTGTGTACTTTTGTATAGAAACAGACTATTCGTAATTAGTATGGGAGCGTTCTCTCAGCATACACAGCATTAGTTCTCCTGGTTTTTTGAACTATAGGTTCAAGAATAAGAATGAACCTGTACAGATGCGTTGTCTAATGCTAGAAACTAAATGCTAGTAATATGCTATATGAAGAAAACGTTACCCTTGCAAATTACGATTACGGAAGGCCTATATACGTCTAAAATACACCGGCAAAATAAGGTGCTTGGGATCGAGATATATTTTATGAGTAATCTAACTCGACTCGACTCTACAAAGTGCCATGCGCCAACTCACTATTGCCTACCTGGATTAAGCCACCTGTCTGAAAAGCGGTAAACACGAGCATAAAAGTAAATCCGATCAGAATAACATTGAACATACGAACAGAGATGCCCATAATGAAAGTTCACTTTCGCACACTTAACACCTTATGGAACTCGTAGATCAACCAATACTTGCTACTGATACAGCAGTTTCCGTTGTACCATACTAGACACCATTACTTGAGTAGCTTTCGTGAGTCTTGTTTTTAACTCTTGATAAAAAAAAGCTCCAATTTTGAAAAATTTCCCCAGGTTTCTCTCAGTCGACCTGTTCTTTCAGGAGAGACTTGGTACAATTTTGGGCTGTGCAGCAATCCCCTTAACTACGAACTACGATGCTAGTTTTTTAAGCTGTCTGTCACGAGCCATCATAATATTGCCCGTAACAGCTAACGTATCAAGGGATTTTGTGGCGAGGGACTGCAATGGACACTGTCATACGGCGGCCGCCCGCCCGCCTGCCCGCCCGCACTATTCACTGACGCCGATCGTTGCTAACGGGCTAAAAGACACCGAAAGGCGGCGCTGCCAAACGTTGACAAAGCACATCGTAAATACAGTGATTGAGATAATTAGTCGTTTTTCTTCTTCTTCTTCTGCTTGTGATTGGCTAATAAGACTACTCAATCATCGGCAAGTGCTCTTTGACAGTTTCTTGCTCATTGTCCCCTCCTCTAAAGCGTTGCGTTCCCAAAAACAGGGAGATGAAGCGGTCGGGAAATAAATTAAATGTCACTAAAGCGGACAGGGTGCACAGACGAAGCGAGCGGTGGAGTAAGATCAATTCCTAGAGGGCACAACAAAATCAGGGCAATACCGATCCGCTGTGGAAGCCTGTTACAATAGATAAGATCGCGATGCGCCAAGATTAGTAACGCTTTCTTCTTGACACATCACTTTAATAATAACAATACAAAATGGAGCCCCCAATGCTACCGCTAAAGCGCCCTCTAGTGATAACGCAATCGTATTTGTAAGCGGTGACTGTCGCGAGAGTTACAAAAGTAGCTTGACTAACGGCGAGCTGTGGAGCCCATGTAACATCACAGAAAAACGAAAGAAAAGAAAGCAGCCTCGGCTAAGGCCCAATGCGGTAAGAGCGAACGGCTGGTCTGACCGTCTGTGCTATGATACAAACCTTTTAGCACTTAGTTCGTTATTAGTTCTTTTCGCATATGATTCTCTTCCTAGAGCCAAACGATTGTCAGTACATATGTGCGTGCTCTTAAGCGCGTAAATTTGTCGTATTTATCATGATTTGAAAGACATGATAAAAGCAAGCAAGCTAGCTATATCGAGGCTTTCGAATGCGAAACAAGTAACCCAGGCTATCTTTCATTCTTTCTCTTTCTATTAAATGGATAAAATATTGCCTTTAAAATATTGTTTACGGTAGCGAAAGAGTGTTTTTTTTTTGGGTACTTATCCGGTAACGATTAGTGATGGGAGAGACGTTATCGCTTTAAAAAAAAAAACAAAGCTGTAAGTGATAGAAAATACTGAGCGTGCGGCACAAGCCTTTCGAAAGTTAAAAACACCGAATATGCCAAAAGCAAAAGATGATTTGAAGGAGGAGAAAGAAGGAGGACTGAAACATTATATTACAAAATAGTTCGCTTCTAAAGAATGTTTGGTAATATATAGGGATAGTCTTGCAAGGGAGCGCACCGATAAAATTAAAGGATCCGAACAGAGGCTTGCCCATTTGGTAATATATACATCGATAGATATTTATGTCTATACCTAACTTCAAGTGCGATTAACCCGCAGTATTATTTTTTATATTTTAGTTGCCTCGAAGTCCACCATCTAATTTAAACTAATGGTAGTTTAAGTAGCTAAGTTTCTGTGATTACGTAGCGAAGAAATAATGGCGAATTCTATGATTTGTAGATTTTTTGCCTGTAGATTTGGTATTTAATCGTTAGTTCTAACTCCACTTTAAATCAGAGCAGTCTTTTTCTTAAACATCTTGGCTCACTACTACAGAGCGCTTGTGTTCTCGTATATGCCAGGTACTAAGCGTTGATCTTCGCAGTCTGAGTGCTTAGACTGGCGCTCAAACAAATTCTGCTCGAAGCTATCTTCTGGTGCTACTGCTATAACCAATCGCGATCCACTTTGCGATCTGAAATGGACTGATAATTTTTTACTGTGGGCGAATAATTAGTTTAACAAACTGCTTTACTTAAATTACTCTATAAACCGTCGGAGAGTGTATGTTTTGCCTTCTCTACAACTGCACTAAACAACGTACATTTAACACTAGTAAACAATTCACTCAACTAGGAAAATTTTAATTCAGTAAAATGAACAAAGTAGGTCGGTACCATGAGTGAACGATAACTACCGAAAAAATAAAGAGGGTCACAATGGGAGATGCTGTTGAAACGCACAATTATTCGCATCTTCGTCGAAATTCAGTGGCTATACAAAATGATTACGCACATCAACCGTACCCATGTGTTTTGTACTTGCGCAAACCCGTGATAGTAAGTACTTGATACAGAGAAATCCCTTTAGTCTCTTGGAACTGTCCTTGACAGCGTCCTCGAACGTACTAACAAAATTATGAATCACTTGCAAAATACATTGCGCAACTTATAGAAATAGTGGCCTAGAAAGACTTGCACCGTGTAGTGGCAATTTTCTCGTAATGTGTTTAAATTAAAATGTACGTTGATACTTAAATGAGAGACTCATTGTTACAAGTTTGCTGCCAAAAGTAGTATCTATATGTTTTTCAGTTTCCAATTTTGAAGGTGAGCGCACCTCGAATTAGAAAACTAAGTACAATAGTGTTTCCGTCACGTATCAAATATATATAGCGTGTATATAATATCAGAATTTTTTAAACTAATTTATAGAAGTAGAATATGCGGTCATCAGAGCTATGAAAATACTCCATTAACAATAATTAAGAAGTTAATTGTTAACCGGGTATGAATAGAAGAGTCGATCGTTTCCGCCTCATAGTTTCGCTGTCGCCGGAGATTAGACGATCCTTTTTATGCGAAAATAATTGCTTGTTATTGCGATCTGGAAGATTGCGAACGCAAGCCCGCTCCGTGTGAGACAGTCTAAAAAACTGCTTTTACTAATTAAATGCTTTCAGCATGTTTGAGGCGCATAAGTGTTTCTGGGTTGGGGTTAGGTCTGTTTTCCATAATGACCAGTAAATTGTTACAGTGTCACCTGTTTTGCCGAACAGAATTCTATTGTATTTAATTGAATTACTGGTATACGTGAGCTAGGTGTAAGACTATATGGGACTGCTAGCTTGAGAAAAGGCTTAAAGCGCAACTTCGGATTAGACCACTGGCCGGAAATTGGCTAGTAAATAGGGCAGCAACAATTTCTTGTTTATGGTCTGGCCATAACAGGGTATATACGTATATATTTGTTTGATGTCAGGTTTAGCTATGGTATATGCCATCGTTGTCAACTACATGTTACATACGATACTCCTGAGACTCACCGATATAGTCGACACGTACTAACTCGAGATAGTCACAATTCACAAAGGATAATTTTGCATACGAGAATCATAAATCAGCACGGTAGTTACCCTTCAATTGGCTTTCATAGAGCATGTTCACGTTCCCTATTTGTTACTCAACAAAATCTCCACTTTGGTCTGGCTTCTTCGCCTATGACTCGCCCACATAATCCCACCTCTGGCTTATGTAACCTTGTCTTATAAAGCTATATGAACAAAACGTATGGATAACAGTGTGGCTGGTTGTTACGAACATATTGATGTAATTTATTTTCTCCCGTAACAACATGTCCTTAATAGTCGCTTTAAATTGTATTTCGTCGGTCATCTCCAGCGCGAAGCCGAAGTGCTATTTAGTCATTGTTTTAACAGAAATCGGTAATGTCATTTATTTTGAAAGAGTCGACCTTCTTTTTTGAGAAACGTTTGTACTGCAGAGCAGAAAAGGATATCTTTGAGGAAGGTAACTAATGCACCTTTTTTTCTCACTAATCTTATTAAAATTGCTGGTTCCGCCTTGCAAATCATAAGTAACTAAGATATAAAAATCGAAAGAGGAGAATAATTAATAGCAAAAATAAATATTCTATCTATTGTAATGGTACAAACATAAATACGGCTGTATAAGGTTATATAGAATCGCTGTGAACCGCTTACCCCAGTTTGTTTTATTCTAGTGGCAGCCGTAGAATAAGTGACAAGAATAAAGATGGAGGTGTTGTTGGAGGCGCATACACACCCACAAGAAGCTCTCTGAAAAGTGATTGGAAAGAACTAGATGAGACTGCTCCAGAGAAAAACTATAAAAGCGTTGCTTTTCAGAGGAAGCCGCGTTGCCTAAATCGTGTTTTCGCCATTGTTGCAGGAAACGTTGCAGGATTTGCGCGTGCTAAACGGGGAGTCCTGGATGAACAGGGAATCCGGATCAAATTTCGTATGTCTCTAGCTTATATCAAAATAGCCGAAAATTGGCTATTGTCATTCCACTCTGCCACAACGGTCGGAGCAAGCTTCTGCCTTAAGTTAGTTCGTGCGGTCTGAAACTATGAGCCTGAGAAGCCCGATACCCGCTCTCGTAGGCGCATCCGGCGAGGAGTAAACACCTGTTGCTGTCTCGAGAAGAAAAACATACGAACGCACAGCGCCCGCAGCTTACGATTGTGAAGCCACCCCAAACTAGAACGGCAAGCTTCGACTTTGTTAGCATTATGAAGCTCAAAACCCGTACTTCGGATCCGTCATCTCGTATATTCGCCATTGAAAATACCGCCTTCAGTGCACTAATTAGGCCGCATCAGCGCCTCGGTGGACGGTGGTGATACATATGTTGCGCTAAGAATGGACTATCAGTGGGTTCATTTTCAAGGGACACTATACCGGACCAGCTCAAAATCGGTTGAGGTGATAGCGTTTATAATTTATCGGGGCCAGGTGGATGCAAACAAGGCCGTATAAGCATGTTATTTGCCCTGCAGGCAGATAGCGGTCAGAGCACACTGGACAGCGCGAGCAGCCGCGATCAGTATGCCTATTGCATCGACCGCATGATGCGCTGCAGGACTATAGGAAGTGGTTCTATTGGCGCGTGCTCCCGCAAAATACCCTCAGCAGCATCTGAAGCCGATAATTACGCCACCTGATGGCCCGTTTCAGAGAAAATGGGAGCCCGTTTAACTCACCCCCGAAAATATCCTGGAAAGCACTAGACAACGCAACGTGAATTTATTACGCACTAAAGAATATCAGCCGTGGAATGAGGACATCTTGTTCGATAAGCGTGGATCAGAGTGAACAGCTGTGAAAGGCTCATTGACGCAAGCTAATGCAACTTGCATATGTATGCGAAAGCGTCGATTCTGCGAAGGATCTAGAAAGTTTGGCAATCAAAACGCAGGCCGGGTTCGCCTCAACTAGCAAGGCAAACAAAATTCATTGATACGTACACTTACCAGGACACAGGATCATACGATCATGCAAAAGTTGAAAGCACTAGCGCTTACCAAACTGGGCATGCTGGTAAAGAGGGTGCATGCAAGGATCTGCTTAACAACTTTGGTCCGCTATTACATTTTGTGTCCAGGTTTTGTGCGTTTGAGCAGAACATATTAGCAAGAGTGCATAGAAGGAATATACGCACGTGCCATGATAGATAAAAGCATAAAAACGCCCGAAATATAACGGGTGTCTGGGGCAACGATTTATGGCAGTACAGGTCATAAAACTAAAAACACTTACTTGGATAGTTAATTAGTATAGAACGACAGTTAGTAGCTGTCAGAATTGGAAATGTAACAAACTGAAAAACGCTTAAAAAATATCCTAAATAATTATTGTCATAACAAGTACGTATGTGGTACTTCTTGGTGTTTCTTGTTTGCCCGGAATAGTTCTCGCAGCTCGTCAACGGGCAGCACCGTATAAATGACCCACACAGCTCCGCTTCTGGCGTTTCAATTTCGAAGAACATCATTTGTTTCGAAAGAGGTTTAATTGTTTTTATATATGAAAAGTAATTCACAAACTCGATAGCGCTATCATCTTGCTCTTTACAAATTCTATTGGATTTGTAAGTTAGCACTTTATTCCGCCGTACTAAATATTTAAGCTGCCCGTTCTTAAGTAAACCTAGTTAATAAGTAATTAGTGAATTAGTTAAATTGGACAGTAGAAGTATGCGAATTCGACCTGCCCACAGCTGTCTCAACCTATCCTATCCGCCATCCCCAACATCTCCTCCATTCAGGTATACTGAGTGGCTGCGCGACCTGTATTGCGCAATGAAAATTACTTTTCTCCATTACGTCGATTTATTGTTACGTTTCCGTGTCAGGTGAAGATTTGCCAGAATTGTTTTGATAAAGAGATAACATGTTATCCTAACATGAAACTTCATAGTTTATACTATATCGTAAGTAAATGCAACGCTTTAAATACCAGTATATTATTAGCTTGGTACCTGACGCCTGTCTACGCTATATGATCAACAACACCCACGTGGATAATTACACTGTTTTGCCTGTGCTCCGGCATCCTGACGACCCCATTTCCCCACTCGGGTCGCAGGAAAATGCAGCTACTTTGCTCCTTTCAGATCGATCTATTAATTGATCTTTTCGATTTTTCTCGGGCCATCTTTTGTCCAGACAGATAGGACATGTATTGATCCACAGAAATATCTATGTAGTAGAATTCTAGATAAGAAAAGCTCATCTAATCCGTAGTTACGAACGTATCAAAAAGGCCTCCGTAGTAAATACTGCACCGAATCTTTGTGTAGTCAGTCGAACTGACCGGCATTGATTCAACTGACAGTAGATGTATACGTATTCCAGACCCCCTGTTCCGCTTACGTATCGAACTCGCCCACTGCCGTAATAATCATCAATAATTGCTTTTCTTTTCAACAATTGCTACTATTTACTGACACATACGATCTAACTGTTATGGTAATCTGTGAATTTAGTTGATCGGGGCGTGCTGGAAAACGAAAAGCTTGGTATTTTTTTATCAGTTTACTTAGTACATACACCGTATCCAAGTGAAACGAGGCCCTTCATCTGATCACAATAAAAACAGTATTACAATATAACTAATAATAACAATGTTATAATATCTGAAACTTTCAAGATATTGCTTCAACAATCGGCTTTCAATGGTTTCGGCGTACAAAGAATAAAGATTACTTCAGTTACGCGAATGGGTCATGACAGCGTCCAGTGCGTTTGGTTGTCTAAATGGATATCAACGAAACAGCTTTAGTCCAACAGTGCAGCCTGTTGGGACGGATTTTCTTGACAATTACTGATCCAGAAGTTATCAACACTAATGATTTGTAGCGCTAAGGGCACGTTTTTTTTCTTTGCTTATTTGACTTTAAAAGGCCAGGGCATATTGCAGCACAAACACGCGGAAGAGGTGCGGGATTGTGGACTACATGAAATATGGAAGATTATTAATTTCACATAGAGGGACACGAGTACCTATTCTGGTGCGTTACACTGGCTCTCGACTGCGTAACTTAGAAACAATGATTGCTTACAGAAAACAAGCATGAATCGAAATTACCCGGCTTATTACCCCTTATGGGGTGGTGTAATTTAGTTTTAAAGTAGTGAATGTAGCAATACAAGGTAGTATCTATATCTAAATTTTGTCGCCGGACGAAGGCAAATTTGTTGGCACTCAACTCATAATGCCCGTAGCGATAACTTCTAGATATATCTATTTTCAGAGCGGTACGGATCTGTCTGACACATCTAATAAGATACTAGTGCAGAGTGGGTTGCGGAGAGCTATAGCGCCGATTGGATAAAACTACTTATTAAACTGCAATCGCTCATAAAAGAAACGCCGTTCTTTGGGTTGTTACTTCTGGTTCTGCAAGATTCTTCGACATGATCGCGTGCCGCCTGAGTACCGTTACACTAGTGCAAATTTACAGTTCACAGCTGGACAATGGCTTTTTTTTTGTTGTTTTATTAGTAGGACGCATCAACAGCATGCAGTATCTATTCGTGGGAGTTTGTTCTAGCAGCCCATGACTACGAAACAAACGCGTTAGCCGAGCGGATCCTCGAAGCGCGTTTCACGTTGAGATTTTCATACTGTCAGTTGCTCAAAAGAAGAAAAAAGAATAGTCAAAGTGGATACTTTGAACGATCAGGCCACACGCTCGCTTAAACCTGCATTATACAATTTCCTTTGATAACTATATAGTGTGATGTGAAAAAGGATTGTCACGCTGAAGAGGTTTTTATTTCGGCCGATTTCAGTAGAGAGCCCTTCGAAAATAACGTCCACTGAAAAAATAACAGACAACAGCCAGTATGTCCGTTCATTCATAGAGGTACCTTAGGCGACACATATTTGATATTGGGTGGCCCGTACTCCGCTCATCGTACGTAACGCCAGAACCGAGCATTATAGCCTCCTATACATAGCTCAGATATGAATGCTTACGAGCAAGTCGTTTGTCGCGCGAATCACTCATAGAACATACATGTCGTGCCTGCGCGTCAGGTGTGCGTTCGGGGGGTCGATACATTGTTGAAAGTAGATTACAAGTTTTGGCTTTCCAAACTGTGGGGCTTGACATCACTACGGCCCTGATGACGACAGAGCAAAGGTTGCGCGTCCTTTGCTTCCTACCCTAAATCAATCAGCAAGATGTATATATATGATTAGGGACTATCCTCATTTTCAACGATTCTTGTAGCAAGCATCTGGCAAGGCCATAAGTGGTGCGAAGGAACGGCTGCATTCGTAAGTTACTCAGCTAATAGCAGTGGAAGTGTTTGACCGAACCGCTATTTTTCGTGCGTTTCAATATTCTCCGAACTGTTTTTTATGTTTGCCGTTTTTATGTATTTGTCGAAATTTCTGTGAATCACATCGATATATTCTAAGGAAGGCGTAAACTGTGATCAGCATTAGTAAGTGGCCCTTTGATATCAGATTCCATTTTCATAGTACACAATACGGAAGTTGGTTTCTGAACGTTAAGCCCTACACAATCAGATGAAACCTCACCAGTTCCAGAATCCTCTGATCGAGTGACAAACGACTCAGTTATTATAGTTGAGTTTTGTCGACGTTTCGATAAGCTACCTGCTGTACGCCACAGTAACGTGTCACCGCAAAATGACGGTGGAACAAATTATTGTCTATTTTAGACCGCAAGCCGGTCGAACAGGATATCAATGTGTTTGTTATGTCGGTCCCGTTTGTTAAATAACGTCGATATTTGTCGTCTGATCTAACGTAGACAGAAGTAGCTTGCTCAACAGTAAAGAAAACAATATCTGTTGGGTTTTTTTTTTTCCTAGATGAATTGCTTCCGTTTCGGTTGATACGCCCTTTTAGTTTGTACGCTGCCTGAGCATTATGCGTTTTTGTCCAAACGTTGATTTCACGCAGAGAATTTCATAAGCTCTATTTAAGCTAAGTAAGTAACGTGCGATCCTTCTCTCCCTTTATAGACCAGATGAATGGATGCCATGGAGCGCCCAGTTTCTAGCTCGACTCTAGTTAGCTCACGCTCCAGGTTGACTCCTGTCCCTATCCGTTCGCATAAGCCGTGCTCTTCGTTGGGTGTTCGTTCGCTAGCGCTTTGGGTACGGGAGGTGAGCACCAGCGCCCCCAGGTGGGTAAACGGGAAAGCCGCAGCGCGAATGAAAGCAATGAAAAGCCGGTGTCCATCGTCCAACCGTAGGCTCTGTGGCTATGCTTGTGTGTCGCTGTCGCAGCCCCTGCCCTGCCTGCCTATCTATGAGCGGTAACGACAAGCCAAAGCAGCAAACCCAACTGCCGCCGCTGGTGCGGCGTTTGTCTGTTTATCTCTCCTGCAACCGTCCATCTCGGGCGCTTTCGCAGCGTTCCCTCCGTGTGCTAAGGCCGCCATCGCCTCAAGCGAAGAACACAAGACTGCTTCTACTTGCTGCTCCTGGTGCTACTGTGAGAACGACGATACGACGGCTAAGCGACCGGACCACTATTCGGCTGGCCGTTGTCGTTCCTTGTGGCTGGAGCTGGTGGGGGACGTGTATCGAACGTGCTGCGACCATTCGGCAGCTCGACGGATGGTGAAATGTTGTTGTTGTCTTGCTCAAATGCCCTTATAACATTTAGCTGAATGTGCTGGAGGCAAGCGGGCAGAACGACTCTTTTCAGTGCGGCTTTTGCGTGAGTTCGAACGGCGTACACTCGAAGCAAACGCAGTCGATATGCTCCCCCTGACGGATAACGCTAAAGGCAGATTTCCCAACAAATGTTGTTCAGTTCTGTAAGAGGGAAACGGTATTGACACATGCGTGCATGATATCTGTTGGTGGCAGTGTGTTTGAGGAATCGCAAATCACTTCCAATAATCTAAGCCGGAGATAACGCCAGACTGTGTAGAAACTCAGCCAACGACCTGTGAAGGCTGCTCTGCCGAACGCAAAAGAAAAACAGGCTGTTAGAGTGAGGCACCGGCTTCGCAAAAAAGGGTTGTTTCTTTTTCTAGGCGGTGCGATCTGCAGGACTTTTGTGTGGTCTGTCGCCTGCTCTGCAGGAGCTGAACGTGGGACGATCGTGAGAAGCGTCGTGCGCCCTAACTTAATGGAAGACATCGCCCTTATTCGACGTTAGTCCTTACTTTGTCCACTTTTTGGTGTTCGATTGCCTATCGACACATTAATAATAACAACAGTACTAATAATTTTACTGCCGTAGCGAAACGGTGTGCGACGTAGCCACATAGAGCTTCGACCAGCTTAACGATGGTGACGGTTATGGTGGACGCCCCCTATATAAATTGCCGCAGTCTTAAATAGTGACAACGACTTATTTGTCAGGGCAATCACTGTGATTACGATGTCATTGAACGCTATACAATGCACTTTGGGTGTGCCTCTCTGATATATAGGATAAGTTTTTCGGGCGTACGTAGAGGCGGGGGCAGCCTCCTGAAATTGAGGTACGTTCAGATTTTTACAAACCGTATGTATTTTCTGACATATAGGAAACATGCATCGTTCATGATAGTGTACCAAGTGTTGTTGATACGTTGTGTATATATAGTTTATTGGTTATTTTGCTTTGAACATAAGCGCTTTTCAAATAGACACAAAAAGTGTTCCATGGGGCTGCGGACTACAGACCGTTCAACGACATTTTGCACTTAACAAACTGATCTTACCGAGTATCCTATTTATCCTTAAAATGCTAGGACCTATAAAGAAATCGGAAGTCGATGAGTTTGCTTGATTGAGTATGAGATGGTACCAGAACAGCGTCTGATATTCTTATTACAACGCTAGATAACTAATTATCATCAGTCAAAATTACATAGTATAATACGGTACGTTAGTGTTTGTTATTACTGCCTCTGTAACGTCATTGCCCTTTGCAATCTACCAGATGCGAAGTACGAAAACAGATGACAGCTAATGCTTAATAAGATCTTCTATCGTTATGAGAAATTTCGACGTTTTCCGACTAGCTTTTTCTGCTATGAATTGTTTCACTATAATAATTTTCAAGCATTACTTTTACAAACGAAAGCGCGCCGGCAGAACGTATCGGAATCATACTGCCATTGACTGCGTCCAGACTCGCTCAACATGAGTGAGCATCGGCATCATGGATTGCGCGCTAAAAGCAAAATCAAAAGCTCATCTAGAAAAGACGATTCGAGATGATCGTATACGAAGTCACCCGAACACCTGTACGTAATTTTGAAGTCCTAACTCTATTTTGTCAAACAACCGCTTATCAAGACGTAACGTTCCCAATGATTGGTAAGGGGAAGCTTGATTATACCACTGTAGGTAATCGTTCTGTTCTATCATCGTGCATGCCCGTATAAAACGTTCTAGTCACCTGCACTTTTTTATAGCATCAAGCAATCTTGGTCAGCCTCAGAATGGGTGCTATTCCCTTCCAGAAAAAAACTAGAGATCTAAATTAACATAAATTTATTATTTTCCAAGCCTCACTGCGTATCTTATCAAAATAGAAGGCAAAAAATTCTACGCGTGATATGTAATCATTTATTTACAACAGATCAACAACGTATAGCAATGATTCTTGTTCTATGTCAAATAGCTTCGATCACCACCGAGCGACCACGTTAGAAACAATAAAGTTTCTCGCCTGTGTTTGCAATGTTTTTCATGTCATAACATGTTTTATCTTCACTTACTAAATTGTGAATTATTTGGAAACCAGCTTCCAATAAACTACGCTAAGAATATGAAGGACTTTTTAAGAAAATCACTCATACGGTCTCTTCTGTTCGCAGTAGAACGAAAAGTAAAGCCCTAACCATCGAATCGGCATGCTACGTATCTACTCTACCTTCTGAGAGGATTTGAAACGGTTACTGTCGAGTTAGGGGAAGGGACCCATTTCTAAGGACCATGCCATGCAGATTCGTGAGAGCCACCGTATCGGGAAAAAGTTCTCATACCCATGAGTATTGAGCAATTTAAAAATGTAACTATTGGTCCACTGGAAACCAATATCCATATAATTAGTTTTCTTGTTCCCTATCCATCGCCTTTGTAGACAGAAGTCGATGCGTAACGAAACATGCCCGTGTCTTTTGTGCATATGGGGTTATGTAGCTTTTTGGTTTTCCATAGTGATGAAATGGATAACACGTAATATTTGGGGGAAACAGTCCAACATTTACGTATTCGAACAGAGTGCCAGCGCAAACAGCGATCATGACTGTCGGAAGCACGGAACAGATGGTCGACAGTGATGTTTTATTGAGAAATCGACGCGCCATCTCCGCTATCAGCGTGTACCGTTTGTGTACTTCCTGTTTAATTTAGTAGACGATGTCCGATGATTACAACGATGCCTGCAGACGGCACTTCACTAAGGACCATTTTCTTTGCTGTTAGGCAGAAGCAGCTGTGGCAAAAAAACATTGTTCCAATATCTGCAGCGCGAGCGGGTGTTCAATGTGGCCCATTATCACCGTCGGTCAGCACTAGCCCATTTATGATCATAGTGAGTAAATAACACAGAACGCGATAACGTTTAGCAGCAACGAAACGGGAAGTGAGAAAAAGCCTATTTGATTGCTTAGAAACATGGTCAGTAAAGCTCGCATAGAAAGTTTCCGTCTTCGGAAAAGGAGCACCTATTAAAAACGGGAGAATCATGGTAACAATAATGACGCTAGCCCGGACCAAGCAAAACAGCAACTTGAAAATTACTGAATCGCTATAGCTTTATCAATGTGCTAATGCGTTCTTATAACAAATTCAGTATTGCGAATATACACTGTAGATGTGGGTATCTAATCAAAGGAACATCGATCGCTAGTTCTATTTGTCCTCCTATTTGTGAGCCGATTCCACCTCACACGGAGATCGGATGATCATCTTCATGATCAATCACTGCTTTGCGTTTGCCATTGCATATACGATGTCAGCAGCAATGTGTATACCTAACCTAACCTAACCTAACCTAACAAATGAAAGCTAAAGATACAAACCATCAACGCCTCTAGTTAAATGGACATTTGGATTGAATTTGATTGGTTTATCTGCAATAACGTGCATCGTTCCCCAAAATTCCCCAGACGGTTAATTTAGGGAAGCAAAATCATGGTTACTAGAATCAAACGGGAGTCGTTCTTACTAGCTGGATTATTGTTGTTTTAAACATGCACATAAACAACATGGCGTCGCCAATGGGGTGCCTCCTGTGCGCTCTGTTGTTTCGCCAATTTTGACTCCCGACGATGGCCGTACTTTTCCAACTGCACTAATAGGTGTTACGATTGACGTCTCGGCAAGCTTGACGCGAACGCACAATTAAGCGGGAAGGGAGCTGTAGCGCTTTCAGTGTATCCCTATTGATGCTGGCTAAGGATACATTCATTTGGTTCAGCTGAGGAAAGCGGCAGGGGCTTTGCGCAGGGAAGCCTCAATATCGTTGAGACACACGACGCCATGCGTCATAGCCATCATACGAACGTAGCTTTAAGGCTATCTACCGTAATGTCATGTAGCGCATTGCCATATCTGTCTTTGCCGACATACTCTGAGCTGCAATGATGGTTGTTTAGGACACCTGCGCTAACATCTAACGCGAGTACAATACTTCTAAGTACGGGATAATGTCGAGATAATTTTAGACAGAGAACTTTCTCTGCTCTTGCTATAGTTTGAACGCATTATTGAAGAAGATATTGTTGGTTTCTAGCAGCCAGCTGTGTACTCTAGTTGTCGTAGCTGGTTTATTACTACGTCAATGTATGGGAAATTTTATGTTGAGAGAACTAGTAGTAGTGCCTTCAAGCTATAGGAAAAGCTATGTTCGACCATTAGACGCTAGTTAATTCTGCCTAAGTAACTTCTTCTGTCGTATGTGGGTCGGCGCAAAAACTACTAGATATATTTTTCTGTCCGAGATACCAATATCAACTAGAAAACATCGCCTATACATAGAAGCGAGAAAGAGACGTAGCAACGTTTCCTCTTCCTACTCAGACGATGTTAGGAACAATGAATCGACTATATCTCGGTCGTTAAACGACTCAGTATTTGAGTGAACCGATTAAAGTATCCCAGTTACCAATAGAATCATCTGCCGAATTTGTCGCTATACACTGTAGTGGCATTTCGGCTTTCTACGTTAACTTACAAGTTTCAATCGTTTGCACATACTCTTGGAAAATATTTGATACAATATGGCCTGTACACAGCTTATAGAATCTGATCAAAGCGGTAAATGCTGCTGCGGAAAACGAGCTAATAGCATCTGTATTTGGACTAATATCATGTAACGACTGGACGGTGGTTGGTCACCTCGGGGGCTTCGAATCAGGTTCAGGCTGTAGTTTCTGTGAATTAGATACACGTGTATTCTGTCTGACGTTAGATCTGATCTATTTAAGTGGGTCCGCCTTGCATATTTTTCACTTTACGTTTCATTAATATTTTGCATGAGTCTGCCGTGTGGTATGAAATAATGTTTAGCGATAGAAGCGCGCAAACAAACGAATCGTATTTAGCCTATAAGACGAAACAAACGTCGCGTGCAACATACTTCAATTTATTCTACTTACTTACCCCTGCACAGGAAGAAGATACTGAAAGATAGTAGACCACTCCCAAACCCATCCCACGCAGTCAAGTGTTAGTAGTCCGCCAACTTGAATCATCGTTACTGATAGGCACGTGTCACTGAGGTCATTCCAGATAGCGCTCGATAAACCACGTTCAGCAACATATTGCCTTATAATAAACGAACTTTTTGTTGTGCGTCTGCTTTTAAACAGAGCACAGCCACAACAACACACTCTATATAAGGAACCTACTATAACACACTGTAAACATATGGCAGGCCGAAGGCGTGAAATAGATAAACTCAATGAGCTTCTTTCCTATGACAGGCACAGACACATTGAACCATATGGATATGGAAATACAGTGATACGGGTGGGCTAACGAATGAATGTAAACGTCTATTTGTGGCCAGCCGTCTATTTACGCCCCAGAAAACTTAACAAAGTTTTCTGGGGCGTAAATAAACGGAATAACAAAACAGAACAACCATTGACAACGTAACCGTTAGATATCAACTGAATCGGCAATACCGCACTGGGCTATGTCAGACCCGTATTTTAGGAGCTTGACGATTCGAGGAGTAATTAGAGTAACTTTATATACACTTTGATATCAAGTTTAACCATTTTCAAGTAAGCGATCAATTAGATTTCGCGCGAATGATCGGGTGATCTATAGGACAACTAATAGAAGAAAGCTTTTTTCGATGGAACATTTCGGACTCGACATCTCTCGGGGGGGGGGGGGGGGGGGGGGGGGGCCAGTGTTTTTTAAGTGTGTTTAAGTTACTGACAGCACGCAACGCGACGCTTTTCTAGGAAAAGCCACAGTTTGATTGAAATTGGCAAATACGGAGTTTTTTTTTCTTTTGAGAAACGGCTTGTGAGACCGAGAGAAAGAGAAAATAACATAACTGGATGTTTTCTAGACCATTTCCAATCCTAGCTAATCAAGTACCTTTCTGGATTTTTGGGCTGAAGCGTTTTTGCAAATTTTATTGCATTGTATTCCTAAATCTTATAGGTATGCTACTGTTAACGGTTGCTAGTTCCGATATTTTTAATAGTACCTGCAAATACCGGTTTGGTTACATGATTTTGTTAAAATACATCTATTTTCTAAAAGTGGTATAAATAGCCAAACCGAAAATTTAATCCAAACGACGATATTTCCTATTAAAATCAGTCGCTTTGTCTATCGCGCAGTTCCTTCATGAGCTGTCTGCTCGTTGCAGCTTCGAAGTTGCGGCAACTTCTACAACTAGAATCCACGAGATGAGCACGAAAACTTCAACAGCGACATCATCGTCGTCGTCGTCGTCGTCATCCGACATCTCGAAAAAGGTATCCGCAAGTATAATCTTACTATGTCCATTCTCCTCACGAACAGGCCTAGCTGGAAAATTGCATTTACATTCCTTTGGGCACTCCTAAAGTGTCCCGTTAAGGTCCCAACAGTACCTTCCAATCCCCATTACTATACCAATTTTCAGCTGGACGTTTGGTTCGTCCTGCGATGCATAGCATACTGAGCATTCATTTCGCGCGCGATGAAAACCGTTGGCACTGTCGAAGGAACTTGAAAGTCGTTTAACTTTATGAACAGACTTTGCTATGTATTGTACAGGCACTCGCTGCATTGATTTCACACAGATTCTAGCGTTCCAACATCTTGCCTTATAATTAGCTGGGCAAAAAACGCTTATTACATCGTACTTTTTTAACGCTTCGTCCGTCGACGGCAGGTTCACTCGTACTTTGCCTCGCTATCTTGTGCGTCCGCTCGAATATTGGACGACGTCAGAAGTATCTCGACTGCGCACTCGCGCAGGCAGAATCATACATTTAATTCAAAGACGAACTCAGCTAAAACGTCGCCTGGAGGCTGGGAGTCACTTAGCGAAAAAGAACGTGCCGACCTCGTCATTGAAAGCCTGGTACCCGAAGATCTCGAACAAAAGTAAAGTGTTCAGTTGGAAATTAGTGCAATTTAATTTATTTTAATTGCAATTCAAATATTTTACCGTACTAAGTAGAGGTCGGATCACTTGTTTAGGGTGTAAGATATATTCTTTCGTGTGTTTTTTACTATGTATAACAACATTATAGTTGTTAGAAGCCATTTCATGACGGCGTACGTTATACTTACATTGTCTGCAATATTTGTTTTCGTCATTAAATTAGGTATCGCTCTCTGACGGGAGACAGCGACACGGATACCGGGAGCTTGGCTTGGTCTGGAAGCCCTCTGGGACCTTTGACTAGTTTTGTCGATCCTTCGCAAACTTTTCCTCTCATCGAAATTAACACTGGTCCTCCGTTAGCTTCAGTGGTGACCGTAGGGGACACTCTCGCTCCCGACACTCGAGGACGGAGTATTGTCATGGAAGAGGATATCAACGGCCAGAAAGTGCCAATTGTAAGTAAATCTCGCAAGTTGCTCTATCTATACAAAATTGCTGGGGGTTATACCCCGGGGTAGTTGCTTACCCTTGTCTATAACTAGAAGCCAATTTCTCTACTTCCATTACTTGTCTCTAGTCTATCAATAATATACTATAATTCTGGCGTCTATGCAAGCTACTTTTGTGTGAGTCAACCAGTCCTCCATATTATGAAACCTCGACCTCAGTGATGACCATTGACTATTTTTTTTTTTTGATTCTATGATACTTAAAAACTGTCTCGTAATTTTAGTTCTTTATGATGCTAAACCTCAAGTTAGCGTTCGTTGCAAATGTACTACTATTATTTTACTAGATTGATCATGTTGCCTCGAACTGGTGCGGAATTGGAGTATGAAAGTACCGTTGTACCCATGTATCTTTGCGTACGGTTACGTATCCAAGGTATCTAGGAGCTCCATATTTAGCAGCAGCGCCGTAATAAACACTAGGAGGCAATATTTCTGCAACGTCCTGTAGTTGTCTGAAGTAATGCATGATGACGCCTTGTGTACCGGACGAAAAACAGAAATGTCTACGGGACACCTGTAACCATATGCGTAACAGGGTTTATAGACGGCTTCTTGGCGTAACTGCCCGATAACGTACTATAGCTTCAAAAGCATCCGATATAATATAGTCCCGCTGGGTTGATTCATTTACTGAAACACGTAATGGACCCAACTGTTTTTCCAGTATCAACCGATTGTAGGTTAACAACATTTATTCTGATGCGGAGTGCAGCGGTGGTGCCCTTTTTAGGCATTTCAACGTATCGTTGGTATGCTTTCTGCATAGATGCTTAGTGACAGAAAGCATTTTTGTATGCTGATTTAAGTATGGCCCTGGTTAGCGAAGTTTATAATCACCAGGTTGACGGTAGAGGGCCTAGGTAAAGGGAGCACCTACGACGCAAGGGTAGAAGGGTAATTACAGCCATGACGGCGATGTATCACTTTCGGCGTTACGACTTCAGATGAGCTGTTGACCAGACTCTGTCTGGCCCCAAAAGCAGATCACAATTTCTATATGTGGTAGGCTCTCTACAAGCGACATGCGTTCTGTCGTAATGTTTTATATTTGGGCCGGGCTTCATTATTTAGTGGCTGTCTAAAACAACAGCTTGATTTGCTTTTCTAATGATTTTGTTATTTCGCGATTGCGAACAGCTTGCTGACCTGAACAGGTTCGGTAAAAACGACTCTGGCGCCTAGCGACCCTATATGCGTACAGTAAAGCGACATCCTCTCTAGGGAATATCCGCCAATGTCAGAAGCGAGTATCATTGACGTCTTGTCTTATTCGATAACCCGTCACATAACGGACGGTCCTATGTTTTGATTTGATGTTGTCATCGTTTTGCCGATGCCGAACACAAGAAAACATTAGATCATATTTGTCACCTGACGGCTTTATTTTTACGTATCCTGACGTACCTATAGGTTAGGATCAACGAGAGCATTATTGGCACACTTACTATACCACCGCAGTATCCAAGAAGGCCATTGACGTCGCGTTACAAAAAATTCTGATGGTTGTCAAGCGCTATTTTAAACGGGCTACGATCAGTATTAATCATTTGTGTAAGTGTTTTAAGCTGGAAGCTTTCTAGTTAAGATTTATTCAGATTGAGCCTATATGCATGGACACTTACGTTTGAAAAAAAAGTTGAAGCTATCCATTCGCCTTCTGTTAATTATAGATATAGAGTCATCAGATTGTATATCCTCTGCAATGCCTAATGATGGTGCACTGTTCTATCTAGTATCCATTTCGCTTATTCAACACTTGAAAGCCTCGTTTCATGTTCTATTTGCTTGGTAGCGACCATAACAATTTCTAAATCTCGTTTTGTTCTCTATATAGGTCGCCATGAGAATTGGGTCAATCGCATCCAAAGCTTAGGAATACAAAATATTGAAATGGCTCGTTCTATATATGCATATATAGCACGCCTGGATATATGTATGTAGCTTAGCTTACGGGACGCGATCGACGAACGTTTTTGTTTTGAGTTAGTGATTTCGATCTAAGCATGCCGACTTCGATATTAGAGGTCGCTGGAATATTCTTACATTTAATCTACCCTTGGATGTGGTCATATACGAAACGGAGTTTCACAACACACGATGACTATGTTTTACTTCGGGCAAAGGCGTTCCTCGATCCCGTTGACTTTGGCGTATCTATTTGTCGCGAGTGGTAATGATCCATGGTATACCTCGTCTGGTAACGGGTAACGTTGTCGCCAGCCATTGTTGATGTCGGTGCGCAACGCATCGCCGACGAGCGCCCGCTGAAGTGACACGACAAATGCCACTTGTCGATACGTCCGTCCATGAGCCCTCCTATGTATATATGAGGGCTGACTGAGAAGTGCCCAGAAGAAGTGTTACCGTCTTCTGCCCAGGCCGATTATTTTCTTTCAAAGCCGTTATTGTAGTTATGGTTACTAGTATTAAACAGTCCGGCTGCTGCTTGTTGCCTTCCTATTGCAAAGGGCGACCAATAAGGCGTCTCATAGTCCATCACATTCAGCTTCAGTGGACACCGACTCGGGAGCATCCAACAGCGTTGACAGCAGTCAATAGATGAGAATTATGAATGGTGCTATTGTTCTTAATAAAGATAGGATGATGATCAAGCCGACTAAATGATTCCAGTGGCAGCCACTGCGTGGTATAGCTGCCATCGTAATCGTACGAGTCAAGCTAGGGCTGGTTTGAAAAAGGTTTATATATACGCCCCCAGTATGCTTGTATTAGGTAACTAACTCATGCACACCTCAAGTCACCTCAAAAGGCTTCGTACTTCTACGACTGAGCTGATTGATCCGTACTTGTCCTTCATTCTGCGTGACAGTTTGTTCTCCAATATGTATTCTAAATCAAAGCTAAATAATAGTTTGTATTGGAACGGTTAGCTCTGTGTTGCCAGACAACTGGCTTCTATTGCTCTCTTCAACAGAAGGCCCAAGCGTGCTTTATGCCCATCTGAAAATTTTAGCATTTTAGAAAAAATTGTTTTGTTTGTGCTGTTGCCCAAAACAAGCCAAAAACATCTACTCAAAATTAGCTTTTTAGAAAAGTTGGACGCGAATATACGTGCAGGCAATTAAGATCCCCTACAGATCAAAAACAATTTATCAACGATCAGTATATTTGTGAATATTTTAGCTTCGACCGATTATTACCTAGACACTTGCGGTACCGATTGCAATGACAACAGAAAGAACTAACTTTTAATTTCAAGTAGAGATAATGAATGATAAACATAGGTGAGGTTTCGACCTCGAAAGTAGATGTTTACAACCTCAGGTAGGATTGCTATAGGGGCAGTTGAAAAGTCCGTTCATGGGTAGTAATAGAAGTTTTTGCCTTACTGTATATCAGACGTATTTTAGCGGTCCGCTCCGGCACCAGAGAGATATTGTTCATATTGAGCTTCATTAGAAGTAGGCGTGTGTTTAAGACTGTTGATTCAATGTTTGCCATTCATTATTACAGACGTGGCGCGATGAGCACGCACAAGCGTTCAGTTGGTACAATCAGTCATGTGATCCAATCACGCCGAGTCGAGACGCCGCTGACTCCGCCAAGAACCGAGAATCCGCCCAGCTTCGTATTCCGCCACCGTTCGTTAACCTCTGTGGGGCGGAAGATGTGACAGCTTGCAATGCTCTGAAAAGTATAATTGGCGACCATCAACCACCATTAGCACGTTTGTCCACTAGCGTTTCAGGAACGCTCGATTCAGGTATCAGCAACGCCACTTCAGATGGAGGGGTGTTTGCGTCTGGAAATAGCGAAGTAAGTGCAGGTGGTGGAGATCGCGTATCGCGACGAAGCTCCCGTGCGTCTACACCCGAACGCAGAAAATCGCCGTTAATGCGGCCAAAGCAAGCTCCACCTCCGCCACCAGCAGCAGTAGCATATTCACAACCCAACAATCAGGACATCAACCACAAGGTATATAGGCAGGTGTTGATGCCTGCAGTTCAATATGTCCTTTTTTTTCTCGATCTTTGAAGCATCTTAGAAACAGAAACCTCAGTTATAGGTGTTAGTGGCTACACCTAATGTTTCGATTGCGAAATGCAGGAGACTCCAAAGGAGACTGGAGGGGATCGATTATGGTTAGGAGAGGTCTTAGCAAGTGGCGATTCTGCTGCCAGACAATTGTCCGGCCGCCGAGAGATGTCCGCCTCGAAGGAAAGTATCGCCAGCGCTCAGAGTAGCCACAATGAGCCGACGAACCAGGCCTTGACAGGGGGTTCTGCCTTCCTGCAACCGCCAAGATCATCTTCCGCGCAGCCAGCCACTGGAAAGAAGCGCCAAGCCCCCAAACCACCTGTGAGTAACATTATTTATAATTAGCTCTGTCTTATCAATTAACAGAGGCTATAGGACGACACGCTGACGACTGAGCCATAAAAACTATGCTTTTACGTTCATATATGGATCAAACACTGGTGAGTATGGAGTTAGCGCATCATCGGGATTTGCGCAATAAAAACGTTTTATAATTCTGCTGGCCTATACACACGTAAGCTTTTCCATAAGGTTACACATCCTCATCGTAGACTAATCAAGATCTATCAGTCTCAAATGCAATCTCCCGTACAATTTATGCTAATGTATCAGTTCAGTGAGCGGTAAAAACGGAAAAGGGGTCGCAACAAATATTAACTATTGTTTTTAAACTTTTTTTATTAGATGATCGTTGTCGAAATCAAAGTTTGACATCTTCTGTGTTATTTATATATGTCTATATGTAACAAAAAATGAAATCACACTGAACGTAGGCCTCTCCTGCACAGCTAATTTTCCAGAAGTTCCAGTTACTGTACAGGACCACAATGTATATGAAAGATTCATTGTGAATCGTGTCGTACCATGTGAAGGGCCTCCTCTGATAGGGAAACATAATAGAAGCACAGGTTCTAAAAGGTTAAGAATCTGTTCATATCTGCTGCTAAGAAAAGCTGTATTAAAGTACCGCGAGTAACAGAACATATTTTCTCTTGATTGGGCGTTAGAGAATGGGTGTGTGTGTTGCTGTTCTGTGTATGATCCGTATTTTTTGCTACACCTTAAAGAAAAACGAAATTTCACAATCTATTTCAGGTATCTCCTGTTGGCTCTGCTCCCGAACCTCCTGAACGTTCATCGACCCTTTCGCTGGCCTCAGTTGGATCCGCTGCATCCTTTGCATCTGCAAGCTCTAACCCACTATCTAATACCGGCAGAACTGGAGCCGGTGCAAAATGGCCCTCACAGGTAGTGGAGATGCTCCTTGTTCTTCACTTGCAGTTTACCTAGATGCACTACGGTGGAGTATAGCAAGTTTACGAATGTTATTGATTATTACCTGGCCATCGGTCGAAGTTAAACCAGCGCTCAGTTGATAACGTCAAATTCAGTTTTGCTTCAGCATGCTCGAAGCAAAACAAGAAAAAGCGTTCATTTTATAGTTTTATCGTTCAATAGTTTCTATATAGAGTGGTACAACACCTCGGCGTAAATAGATATGTTCCTCAAATCATTTCTAAGGTAACTGATTACCTTGAAAACGTGAAAACTGATGAAACGTATGGCCATAAAATGAGATTTTATATAACTGTATTACTTTTCGCAAGAATCAGACGGAGCGACCACGCAGTTCGTTTTGCCCATCGGCGGACCCCGATCAGCCGCATATACTGCCTGAGGCATTAGCTCCAGAAACTGCAAGGGGTACCCTAGAGGCTCGGGCGTCCCCTCTGCTACAACATTCTAACTCCGGCCTTCGGGCGAAGGTGCCGCCTCAACAACTCAAAAAGGTCAAGCATATGCAGTAATCAAGCCATAACGAGCCTGATTTCAACAGGCTTCTTTTTTTAACATCTTATACAAATTTGAGAACTTTCCACTCTGATCTGAGAAAATTCTGATTAAAATATGTCCGCGTAACCATCATATACTCTAGCACTTGCGACATGATCGTAAATATATGAACAATAAACGTGAGCCTCGTACGTCTATAGCGGGGGGAGAAATAAATGTGAAGCTTGAAGATTATATCTCTAGACTAAAAAGAGGAAACGTTTGATCTAAATGATGATGGAAATTCTTGGTTTCATGGCTTCATAGCAGTCAGAAGAGAAGGCCGTTGCTGAATTAGCAGTATCTATAATTAGTGTCAATTTTTTTTACCTTGCCCGCACATCTTGATATTAGAGCTATAACTGCCTTTTAATTTATAATATAAAGAAAATTATTATTCTGTTTTCCATTACAGGTCGTGCCTCCTGTCGCACCAAAGTTTGAGCCGTCTCGACTTGGCGTAAAAAGTTTGACGGAATCAATTATATCTACACCAGTCATTAACGACGATATACCAAAAACCGGTTTTGATTTCCTTGATAACTGGTAATCGATGCGAATAATGATAATAAAGCCTTAAAGATCTAATAATTAGGTTAGATAATCCAATCGAAGGACTCCGGTATATAAAGGAGATTGTAACACTATCCTGTTTCCTTTATCCAATGAATCTGTGGATAATTTTTTCCAATAATTTACCACCACGAATGCTACTATTCATTTGTGGAATGGCTGCAACATGGCCTCTTCACGAAATGGCCAGCAGAAATAATAATCAAACGCGTATCACCCCACGGCGAGTGCTAAACTCGTCGGAAGGACTCAATAAACAATATTGAAGCTTCTTATTAAATCTTCACTATAAACGTGCTCGACAGTGGGGTACTATATGAACAAGGTATGCCATTCTGAATACGGAGAGGCCTGCTATTTGGTTTTTTTTTTTATGTTTTGGCCAGTGAAAGACACGCGTTATTGAGACGTCGCGAATGATGGCGTTTACTGACGAAGTTACCACGAAAACATGTTGACACTGCGTATTATAGTTCAATAACACACGAATTAAATTGTTTTTTATTTCAAATTTGTATATATTACTAAAGGCTGAGTGCTGAGGACGTTTCTCTTTGCGGAGGGTAGACTATATAGCCTTGCAATGCCTACAACTCAGAAGTATCCGTTCTTATGGAAAATATATTTTGTTATTAAACTGCGAAAATAACATTCTGAACAATGGCTTCGAAACATTCACGTTGAGTCGCACCCTCGAATAAATCTACGGGGCTTGCCGAAACAAATCTGAATTAATATAGCTATTTCCGTCCACCCGCTCGGTATCCGGGAAGTTCATAAACTCACACATTTTATCTGGATTTTTTTTTGGCAATTTTTGGACAATTTGCATTTACGTTTGGCTGGATCGAGTTTTTCTCATAAAAAAATCATTTTTCTCATAGCGGATGACAGTGAATGATGTCCAGATTTGGGGTCTTGATTGAGCCCAGATCGTAGCAAATGAAAATAGGCCAGTTTTCGTCGTGTCGAATCGAACTATTTTAGGAGGTTCGTACTATACCTGAATGAAAGCTGATTCGATTACGCCCAATGGTAGTACCTTGTTTCGTGTTCCACATAGAGTGACGTTAATAATTCGAATGCTGCAACGAATTGTTTCAAAAGACGTATAAGAAAGACCCTAAAGAATACGCTCAGATGTAATATATTCCATATTGTAATATGGCTTAACCATAAAGGCTTGAATAGCACTTGTGTTCTTGTTTGCCCTGTTATCGGATTTTTCAATGTCGGACAGGTAACACCGTTCCCTGACCTCAGCAGAATATAGTGATATTCTGGTGTGGACGGCCGCATCGCATTAGCTGCCCAACAGTAACGTGTGTCTGTTGAACAAATTTAACATGTGTGCATACGTTGATGTGCACATGGGGCTAAAAACACGTACCAGCGCCAGTGTACCTACTTTTGACAGTGTCCCATCGACTGACCATGGGGAAATAACGTTATCTAGGTTCGGCGTCCCAATACCCAGCTAGTGGGCGCTACCCATTATGTGTCACGATTAGACGCTGTGTTCATAATGCGACATAGCGGTATCGTCATCGTTGAAGGCTGTCATTAGTTCGAGCCCAAGGGAAACGTTTACTCTGCCCGCTTGTGTTTCACAATGAGACTTTATTCAAACTAGTTTGATTACGCTATCCTACACAGATGCTCATTCAGTTATTAAGAAATCAATCACTTAGGTATATTGGCATACGTAACATACCGGCCTGTAAGTTTAGCACTGTGGAAATCATGTCGCGGGTTTTTCAAAACCGTGGAAGTGTCGCTTGTGTGAGCTCATAGTAACTATTAACTTTCAGTAACTGTGCTTCTGGGTTTCGTTTGAATTAGAAAAACGGTGTTTTTTTTCTTTAACACGATGTCTCAGTGAGAAGTGTGAAGGCTGGGAAATGAATAACATTTGCATTCCATCGGTCGTTGCTTCACTTATTCTATCGCAGTCCATTTCGTCTTATTCTAATTCACAATGGGTCCGTCCCATTGATTCGTTGTCGAAATGAAGAAGATCTTTAGCATGCATCTTTGTGTATGTACGTGTAGGTGTGCATGTGTACGTGTATGTGTACCCTATATCTAACCGACCTACAGTTAATCTCCAATTTAGGTTCAGCTCAATTTTGTAATTGTAAGAACACGATTGCAATCATATTATACAACTATATTTCGTTATTACTTCACACCTGCCTATTTAACGGCTCCACATTTTAAAATACTACCTTATTATTTACGTTCCAACATGACTAACGCTTCATATGTTAGAACAGGTTATTGTTTAATCTTCGACCGTTCATTCATCCATCGGTATTGAAATGACCGCACGGTCACGGCGATGGTCTCCTCGTTGTGTGAACGCATAAGCTGGATGTCATCTAGACATAGGGACGTTTCTGAAGCTCACTCGGAACAAAAAAGATTTGCTTTTTTCATCAAAACGTGTCCCTGAAAGCTTAACTATTACCGTATATAAATAAACACCACTTTGTTCATGCCTGCGACGCCGTTAGAGGGGCATTGCTATAAAGAGGACATTGCCATATCGGAGGAAAAAAGTTTTACGCTTAGTTCAGGTGTCTGCTTTTTAATAGCTTCCGTCCTGGCAACTTCAAACATAGTTTTGTAGACTGTTTTAGCATGGAAACTTCGGTCATGGGCTGTACTCACAAACGATTTCAAAATGGGCCAACTAATTGTGATAAAAGCGTCATGTACGCATGACATGACTTACAAAGAATAATCAGCCAATACGTAGCTGAAGACCGTCTGACGCTGCCGTCTAACAACGCACGGCTGTGTCAATCTGATAGAAACAGCGACGGACGGTGGGTATTTACAAGTTTCATAGTTCATCGAGCGAGGCCACCGATACTTGGGGTTAGAACAGAACTAAATCCTAGCCGCAGTCAGCGACACCACAGCCAGTGTCATAAATAACAAAGGCCATCATAATCCGCCACAATGATCAATGTGTGCAAATAAGTAGGAATTTACCTTAAAAAACTTTCATAGAAATAGATATTTTTTTAATAGATATGTAACGATATCTAGCAGCAACTAGATTACCATCACCACAGCAGCGGAAGGCTGGTTCCTTGTAAACGTCGATTTGATTTGAGCTGACAAAACTCAGATGAGAGCAAACCCTGAAGAAGAAGAGGGCAAAAGTACCTCTAACCAACAGGGCTGAACTTCTGGTTGCTGGTATTATGCTTGCATCCATCCTAAATTGATGAGCATATGTTATACGACAACGTAATGATAAGTTGTATATTTAAAGAAGAATCTGTAGGATATGGGGCGGCTTTGTTGGATGTTACTTATAGACATTAGCATGTCGACAATTCGGACAACAAAGCCAGCGGCCTATTACAGTTGAGTTGTATTATGATATTTACAATACATACCATAGCAACTTGGATTGTATTAGAGTGAAGCTATCAAGAAGAATAGGTAACCCCATTTAATAAATGAAGTTGTGCGGATTTCACTTCGACGATCTCAGCCAACAAAACGCCGCCGCTTTTTTAGTTGGTCAACTATGTCATTAATAATATTCTAGCCCCTATTCGTAGCTTAACTGCCGACTGAAGAATTTTATAAGTTAGAAATTACTTCTATGATGAATACAATTGACAATGAATAATATATTATATTTTTACACAAAACGTTTGGTATGTCTTCACTTTTCCCTTCATCTGATGCTCAGATAATCTTTGCATCTTACTATACACGAAAATAATCATCAGTCGGTCTTCTCGAAATCACGGTTCAGTTCCAACTCAGGTTTATTGAGTGAACATATGTGATCGTTAGCTTTTTCCTATGATTCCCGAAAGAAAAACATAATAATATAATTTTGTAGTATGCATCGTTGGCGTCATACAGAGCATATGCACAGCCACCATATGAGAAATCATTGATCTTTTGTCAATAGTCTTCTTATTCCCGCCGTTCTGCTCGTTACGTAATTTATACATACTTGATACAATGTATGCTATCGTATTTGGGGCGTCAGTATATACTAAATTATGAAACAATTAAATTGCGATACGTCCAAAAAATGATAAGTCCATCTTTAAAAATTTTGCAAATTTTATTCGTGATGTCTGTACCCTAAAGCCCGTCAATCAATATCGCACGTGTGCGTGCACTGTCTACTACTACTACAACTACTACTACCGCACAATTTTGATGCATCGCAAGGCTATGTATTCAAAAATATATTGTTTACACTTTACCCTTGCAGCCGGCCAAGTTAGCTTGAAAATTGCTACTTAGCCTCGTCTTAACTTTCTTAGGCAACGATTGGACGACGCTCACGAGTCGTCGAAAGATTTTCGAACTATAGGCAGAATTATGTCGCATTATTTTCGGCCTTCTGTAAGCTTGCGACGGTTAGGCATCTCAGTACTAAGGGATCTGTATACTGGTTTCCTCTTAATATTGAGTATTAGAAACCAATGCGTCATAGGATTCGCCTTCATCTCGACTTTGTAAAAACATGTGTCAGCAATCTCAAATTATGCGCGAAGCGATTTTTATTTTCTATTTTTAAAAATAATTTTTGCACCTTCACTATGCCGACGCTTCTTTCTATCTAGCTTCGATGAAATTCTTCTCGCGTGCGGTGCGTGCACGCCTATCGTGGTCAACGACGGATTTGTTTTTTACTGCTGTTGTTAATAGCAATTTTTACGAGTGGGCGCCTATTGATCACAGTCAAGGGCAATCCGCAACCGAATAGGGTCGTATTGCGACAATAGACACCATGTACGTATACGCCTGTGGATTATTATTAATACAGTATTGCTCTAATCATGACTCCTTTGTCCTATCGAGACAATAGCCCGTGTCAGAAACGCACTATCCGTCATTCGTAGCCAATAGTACGTTCAACGATGGTAGTAGCCCTGTTAGGTGATGTTTCTAATGTTACTGCACGTCGTTACTCATTAATGTGTACGTTTTATTTGAAACATATCTTTAAGGCATAAGGCATTAAATATACGCTAGGACGCCACGATTTTGAAGGCCGTAATATGCTATAGTAAAAATATCAGAAGACACCTTATTTTTCGCTCATAGCTCACAGGAAATACATGCAGGGTATTCAGAACTAAGGGGCAAAATTGATGCCGCTTGCGTAAAAGTCACATTTTCGCACAGAAAAAAAAACACACACAGAAAAAAAAAATCGTCCTCATGTGTATTTGGTGGGGTCGCGATCTTCAAATCAAGGCCAAGATCTCCAAACCACGTTGAAATGGCAAGTGTAGGTAGGATGATATACAGTTTAGGCCAAATATACTAAACGTGAAAAATCAGTTTATATTCTGGGCTCATAGTAGATGGCTCAAGCCAGAGCTTCGTAAAATTTAAGGGTTAAAAAAATTAAATAGATGATGAAAATGCAAGGAATTTTAAAGAAAACACTACCATTGAGACTTACATGAATATGCTCATCGGCAACTATTTCTGCATCAAACTATGGTCTTTTAGATTAATTTTTGATTCCTTCTAATCCAGTGTCTATTTTTTATCACCGGAAAACCTCGTTCGCTTTTCTTAGCAGCCGGAAGAAAACCGGCAACAACGAAGATTCATATCTAAAACTGATGCATTCCAACTATGACAAAAAGTCAGCTAAAATATGTCCCAGTTTATTCCGAACACCTTGTATGCATTTATATTTTGTTGTTTGTCTAAATTTTAGAAGGTCAATATATTTTACTAGATCCTCTTTTTAACACTTGAAGGTCTTTTTTTTTTTTTTTTTTTTAATTAGACAAGATAGTTGAGCAGGGCTTCATAGGTTTTGTATTTGACTGACACTCCATGAGTCGTACATAATCATTCTTCATCATAATCATAGCAAGGGTTCATGTTCTGTGTATAGGACCAAATATCGTACAGCAATCACCCTTTCCGCGTAAGCCCATTTGTGTGTTTGGCAATTGCTATTTGGGAAACTTATGTTTCCTTCTTCAATTGGGGTACAGGAGGTAATAGCGGATACTAGGCTATTTTTGCCAGCGTACCAAGGATACTTGTAGTAATTTTTCGGCCACGTAGTGATAAATTTCCATTATTTATATATAATATCTATAATGGAAGTGTAGATTTTATGTTTTACTTTGGCAAAGGTTAAATGTTGACGTTGCTCATCGAGCCCCTTAATATCATTTTGACGCAACCTGGATCCAGAAACAGGCCTCCATCTTTATGATACAATTGCCGTAAGTACGCCAGTTTCAAATAGGTCACCGAATAAACGCTAAAGCTGTGCACTACAAAATTTACATATTATAGTTGTTATTATATTTTACACCTCGAGAACGGCTCAAGTAGCTACTCTGAGAAGCTGAGCTATTACTTACGGCATTTTTAAGTTATTTTTTGATGAGGGGGTATAACTGAATGTTTGTTGCGACGTTGTCATAGTTAACCTATTCAAGTTGCTTACACTTGCCATTTTTCTATCTTTACGTTCCCTGTATTAATATAAACGAAAGGTTTCCATTTTTCGAAATTGCTAGGTAGTTTTCTAATAGTAGTAGTAGTAGTAGTAGTAGTAGTAGTAGTAGTAGTAGTAGTAGTAGTAGTAGTAGTAGTAGTAGTAGTAGTAGTGTAGTAGTAGTAGTAGTAGTAGTAGTAGTAGTAGTAGTAGTAGTAGTAGTAGTAGTAGTAGTAGTAGTAGTAGTAGTAGTAGTAGTAGTAGTAGTAGTAGTAGTAGTAGTAGTAGTAGTAGTAGTAGTAGTAGTAGTAGTAGTAGTAGTAGTAGTAGTAGTAGTAGTAGTAGTAGTAGTAGTAGTAGTAGTAGTAGTAGTAGTAGTAGTAGTAGTAGTAGTAGTAGTGTAGTAGTAGTAGTAGTAGTAGTAGTAGTAGTAGTAGTAGTAGTAGTAGTAGTAGTAGTAGTGGTAGTAGTAGTAGTAGTAGTAGTAGTAGTAGTAGTAGTAGTAGTAGTGGTAGTAGTAGTAGTAGTAGTAGTAGTGGTGGTAGTAGTACTAGTAGTAGTAGTTATAAATACAAATATGCCGCTGTTTCTATCGTAGAGCAATAAAGTGTCCTTCAAAAATCTGTTATCTTTTTTTCTAAATTTGACGGAGTGCGATCTGAGATTTCACCCAACGAGCAAGTAGGCAAGTAAGTTTAATTCGTAATTTCTTTTGTTGAGGGAATGCAGCGTGCGGCATTTTTGCCTGAGCTCCGATAAGTGTAACCTACGGCAGATTGCTTCTTAGGAACAGGCATACTCAATGGAGCCATATGACTGTAACGCAATGGTCTATGACAAACAATCCCCTGGACTGGGGGAGCTGAAGCTCACGCGATCACCCAGCGATGCTGGCTTTTTCATCCCTTGTCGGTACCATCTGATAATATTGCTGGAACATTGCCACGTTACACTGGGGGGCGGGGGGTAATCATTCTAAGTACAAGTGAAATTCCATAAACGACAATAGTAACAAAAGAAGTGAGGTACCGGCTGCTAAATGGTTATGGAGGCAGTCTGAATTGTAAGTAGAAATGACCACAGCATTTATTTAACGTCAAATATCGTAGGTTATTTAGATATTATAAATGTAGTTAAGTCGCTGTTCTCCGAAGCACCGAATGGGATCTGTTAACTGCCGAATTCTGTGTGACATTATTTTGCTAGAAATCTTTATTTATGCCGCTATTTATGGCTTAAAGCTAGATCCAAAGAACGCGATAACTTATACATTTCCCTAGTTATATTAGATAACGATGAATCGATTCATAGGAAGAAATCTCTACAGGTAGCGTATAGTAACCGAGCTTCTCAAAGTTTAGAGCCGGCGTCAGGGCGGAAAGGTTGATCATTTTATGTTTATTATATAATAACATGCGTAATAACGTCGTCGTCAGTTAACAGTGTTTAGCACTTCAGATAACTTGTTATTATGCTATGTTCTTTTTCTTGACTAACCTAAATTGTGGTAAAACCACGTTTGTGCTTGTGTGTTAAATAGAGACTTAATAGTAACTTTCGTAAGGGCTTGCATGCGTGTGTAAATGTACGCATACACGTATGTAGTATACTTTATTATATGCAAATAATATCCAATTATATAACGATCTTAAGTTTAAACAAGAACGAGCGTTGCTTAAAATCGATACTCTATCTATGATCTATAATAATTATATAGAGCAATATACAATTGTCGTGTGAAATTGAGATAGCCCTATATACCTCAGGGACATCGTAGTTCTTTCTAAAGTCAAAATTCATCTTGATTCATTCAGGCCCTAAAATTGATACTCGACCCGTGCCGTATTGTACACTGATGACAACAACTCATTGCTCGATCGTAACAGATGTCCATGGGCAGATTTTTTTAGCTATACGAAGCAAAACAACGTACGCTGATCTTAATTGCGTCTGCAATTGACTTCCCTTTGGTTGTTTATAAAATAATCGGCATTTTTACCATTAACTTTATATTACACTTAATTTCACACTATCTAAATGGGATCAAAGGGGGTTTTCGGTTGACGACTGGACGTCAACTAACTCACGACTTGTATTCATTTCGAAGATGCAATAGGCGGAAACAGTTATAATTGCATATATGACTACCGACTCCCTCCCGTCAACGCTGCTTTAACGGCCGTTATTATAAACCCTGTATTGTTGAACATGTGCACCCCATTAGATGCAACCTTGACATTCGTATGAGTACTAGTAAAAACACAAACCGGCCAAACTTTATCCGGAGTTTGCTGACAACTGTTTTGTCGATGTCACAATTTTGTAAATTCTTGTGGTAAGCTGCACTGCTTGCTGCTGCTGTCCTGCGGCGAGAGGGCGCTGCTATCTGTGCAGAGACTGTCACTGGAGTTCTGCGTGGAAGGCGGTAGCCACGATGCAGGGTTATTGCGAACCTAGTCGTGGGCAAATCAGTAAGCGAGACAAATTAGTTGCGTTGTAAATAGAGATAATCTGGGCTGGCCAACTATATATGAAGAGTATCCGTGCAAGGGCGCTCAAATTTCTTTCGGCTCGAGCTAACCGAGCGGTCCCTTCACATGAACAAATATATAGAGTGAGTCCATCTTAGATTCAGGCCTCCCTACACAGAAAGGCCTAATCTTGCTCACGCTATTTTCGAGTGTTCATTTTACGGACTTTTAGAGATCTATTATTGAACTGTCGGGAGCGCTGGGGATTATATGCAGCTGAAAATTAAAGAAAATGTTTATGTAGGTAAATATCGAGTACATTAGATCAGATACGCACGGCGACAGCTATCAAAGTAACAAGCAAAAAAACCTGAAGTGTTTCACGGGTGCTGGCTCGGGAACCTTTTTGGATACTATTACTAGTTATGCAACGGTCAGATGTATCTCTCCGATATTCTTTGAGTATTTTTGTCTCATATAGAGCGTCTCTGTGAGCCACATCAGGCCTTTAACAATCACTTTGTCCATTATCATTACGAACTATCAATTTATATTGTCTCATTGAGCCTCAGTATATATCATAGACTCAGGTTAGCTCTTGCCTAACGCAGATTTCCGAAGGGATCGCACGTCAGCAGATTTTTAACTTACGCACGGGTTCTTCATTGAGGACACTTATAGGATTTGACAAAGGGCTCAATTGTTATAGACAAATGGCACTGAAAGCGTACAAATTATATATACAGAAAAAAGGAGCAGAAGGCTTTCCTCTAGCATATTCCCTAACTGGCGCTTCCTGTATTCTAAGCCTGGCTGCAAATTTTGTGTTTGCTATAGAATCTTAATCAGTCGTTCGTAAATCGCTCTGAAGCTGAACGATTACCTCTTGCTGTAGTTGGATGTATTCGGGTGGGTTCCTTTTGAGATTCCGTCGCGTTATGTAGCGAGTTAGCCAACGGCCCACGAATAGGGTCTATTGCAGAACGATCCGAGAACCGGAAAAGAAGGAACAAGTTTTTTAAACGATTCTTATTTTGTAAATACCAAACGCAAAAAGGAACAAGCTAGTAATGATTATGTTTGCCTCGTTTATGTCGTGTGCAGTTTAAGGCTCATGTTGTGTAGGTGCATCAGCTATGTATAGATACATCGAAGTGGGTTAGTTGCTTTATTTTCCAATTCTGAACACATCGTTACGAGCTTGACCATTCAGCAAATGAATAAGTGGAGGTCTTCTGTCCTTTGTGTATGCGTTACGACCGCGAGGCATGCAATTTTTCTATATATTACAAAGGCCTAAATAGACTAGTGTTTTTTTTTCGATCTCAGGCCCTTTACCTCGATAATGTATGCAAGCACAAAATGGCCCATTCCGAGACCGACGCAGATTAATCGAAAGTCCATCGAAACAACGGTAAGATCCAGCTCGAAAAACGTTTGAACTATTTCTGCTGGCCATAACACTAAGTAGAGAGAGACTGCCGCTAGAGCAGCCAGCGTTGCCGTCAGGTAATCTGCATGTAAAGAAAACAAAAAAGTCTTATCCAATATTGTTCAGTGAGATTACTTGGATTGCAGACAGCATTTTCGCTGTCACAAACCGTTACTAGACATTTCTACCTGGTTCCAACAATAATTTCCACTATCATGTCTTTCATTGAGACATATGAAGACTAGCCGATGGAACCTGAATGCCTACTGTTTTTGTGAAATCGCAGATTGGAGCCATGTTGGCGGGTTGGAGTGGGCACATATGCCAAATCTATGGCTGGATTTCCCCTTGCATCGCAGTAGACTGATATTTTAAATTGTCGATGTTCTAAACTTAAGGATAGAATATTGTAGTTAGTTACTTACAGTTCGTATACATTGGTCGTCTGTGAGGATATCCGGTAGAGAAAATCACTGCTAGTGTAATATATTGAAACACGCTCACAGAAAATACTGCGTAATTGTCATGGCACAGTAAAGCGTCCTCATCAGTTTTGCCCTTATCGTTTTCTTTGTACCTGTTTCAATTGATGGGTAATATAGCAGGACACAACAAAAAAACATTACACAACGGCCGATAACATTGTTTGCCTTAGGTACCTGCCCGAGTTCAAAGCAACAGATGGCCTTAATTGGACATACCCTTAATGATCCAATAGAAAAATGTTAGACCTATCCGCTACGATACTAAGATATAACGATATAAATCGTATATAGTCATGTATAGTCCTATAATGTGACTCGCAGCGTTCTTCTCCATCGGAGCCAGCTAACCTACATAAGACGTACGATGTTCGTCCGGCAGAAGTTACAGTATGATATCTGAGTCTATTCGGAAGATGGCTTTGTGACTAACCATGAATAGCGGTGCAGGAGAAGGGTAGAGAGAAGCTGAAGAAGGCAGCCAAGAATAATCTGACTGGAAATGGACGTCACAGGGACGATGCCTGCTGCAGATGTGGGCGGGGGAGTTTTAGAGAGCACCTGTCGTGGAAGCGTATTACCGAAGAGGGTCGCTATCGGCATGATCAGGAACAGATCGATGAAGAGAAACTCCTTCGAAAGCAGACCATCAAATATATTTGACAAACACGACTGAATATGAAAATTTAGCTCTAATATTTACGATCCGGCCCTTCTTTTAGTTAGAGGTTTTACTAAGTCGAGCTCTGATTTCAGTCTAAATGTACGAGACCACTCGGGCAATTTGCACGCGATCGAGTGCAGCTCAGCACAAACTATTATAGATAGACATACGAATATATATAGGATTTGGGAAGAGAAGCATTTTGGAACCGGGAGATGCTCTTTTTGTTTACGGCGTTTCGACACCGTAAGAAACTGTGCGGCTTAAGATAACTTTGGAGGCTGCGTTTCCCACTTAAGTCTAATTCTGTGCTTTTAAGAACGTTGCCAACTACCCATACCTTATCGGTGAGATTCGAATAAAGTGTATACAGTATTAGTACGGACGCGTACTGGGTGATTGAGTAGCACGCCATATACTTAAGTACCGCAAACGAAGTCACCAATGCGGAGCGACCCTCCCTATGAACAGAATGAATAACAGCACTCATATCTGTTAGGACATGACTGTCTTTTACGAGAGCCGTTCTCGTCGGCTTTGCAGTATAATACTCACCTGGAACATAGTCTCAACTTAAAAGTTTGACAATCTAGAGAATGACTGAGAAGTCGTGCAAAGCTGACCAAATTTTTTCCCAAAATTACTGTTTTCTTTGGACGTGTTCTTTCTCATCCTACAAAAAAATACATCTATTATTGAGAGCGTTTTACGTTTCCAATCACAATAAGAAGAAAGTCATCTCATATAAAATAAACGTTCGCTTGAAATGTTGTGAAGCTATTCGACAGGGAAACTTTTTGTTGCATAACTATAGAATCGTCTATGTAAATAATCGATATAGGAAATCGTTTGCAAACTAGCTCCTTGCCGCATATAGGCCTGCCAAAGGAGCACGGATATCTCATACTAAATGGCCAAAAGGTAACGGTCCATAAAGATTAATAAACGTGGCTTCAATGAAAGCAGGTACTCTAATAATGAACTAGCTTAGGTACCGTACGATGCCAGACTGCGAAGAGGCAGTGTTAAATCGAGGAAGCTTGACCCGAGAGTTACGTGCGTACACGCGTTTTGACATGTTTAAACGTGTCTACCTACATGATCAGCTTTGGCACGCAAGAAATATCAGCTATCTTGGAGGTGAACTGCGACGCCACTGAGGCCTCCGTCTCGGACAGAGAGATTCCGGCATGAGCAGCTTTCAATGCTCCACAGTCATTGGCTCCGTCACCGCACATCCCTACGTAGTAGCCAACTTCCTATGAAAAAATTTGTAGGTAGACTTTTTATATGTACTATTATTTCGCCAAAAAAAAAATGCACATACATCTGATTTGTACGATTATTAGCATATATAATAACCGTTACTACTATTCTTATTATTGTAATTATAATTAAGAGTACGCTGATATATGTGTATACAGCATATGAACGTGCTAGAAGAAGAAATAAATCCTAAAACATACACAACGACGGAGTTTGTCTGTAAAAAAAAAAAAAAAAACTACTGATAAACAAAAAAATTCAACATTTTCGATATCGGAAATAAGTGAATACGTTTCACGATATTTGCATATTGAATCTAACTGTATGTAAGGCATCAAATAAATTTCTTTGTACCTGCAGGAGTTCAATGAGCTGTTGTTTCTGCTCGGGGGCCATACGCGCGAATACGGTCCCGCACACGATCACTCGACGCAGAAGGTCAGGATAGAAGCGCCGCAGAGCAGAGAACGTCTTGCCAGTGACGACGATATGGAACTCCGTCGTTGACACCGGGATGCGAACAGTATTACCCTGATATAAGAAAAAAAATTGGAGTAGTGTTAACGGCCTCGATGCTCCGTCGTCGTAGCACTTGCCGGATGTCTTCAGCAGTTTAGACTATTTTTTTGCTTCGAATCCAATTGAAACACTCAAAAAATCTTTTTTTTTTTTTTGCAATTTTATATATATTCATATATTCAATTTCATATATATATATATATATATATATATATATGTATATCGCACTTTTTGACAGGCTGAATGAAAACTACTTACGACAGTAATTGGTTTGATACTCTGCGGGACATCGGCATAATACCAGCTGAGGGTTGCATCATTGTCCTCCGCATTGACGGACGCCTGAAGGATGATTACATCTTGATGGCGCTCGATCATGTGACATTCACGAGCAACCGACAGCGCGGTGAAGACATTATCGCCAGTCACCATCACTGAGCGGATATTCGCCCGTTTCAGCTCGTCGATCACCTTCGAATCGTTTGCATGTAATTGTACTATTTAAATATTCTTATTGTTGTTATTATTTCATTTGCTATTCAAATAAATTGTAAATCGTCCTAAATCATATCTTACCTCTGTGGTTTTCGGTTTTAATCGGTTCTCCATGACTAGAAGGCCGGTAAACGTAAGCTGACATTCGATTTCTTCGCGAGGTAAACGTTGCGCCTGAAGAATCAATTATTCATACTCTAACAAATACTTTAAGATATTTACGCTCATGTAGCTTATACAAAATGATTCCTCTGAGCAAGCTATCTCTATTTATTCTACCATTGTTCGATTCTATTGTTTCTACCGTCGCTATATCTTTGGGCTAGAGTTTGCCTTTTTTTATTTTATATTGTGAGGGAAACGTACTTTAGCAAAATTCGCATTTAACACTTTGGTGGCAAGCGCTATGACGCGGTATCCTTTTTCAGTGTAATTTGAAAGCTCCTTCTGGAAGTCCGCCGGGATGGACTCTGGAAGACACATCCCCGCGATGATTTCGGGCGCTCCCTTTGTGTACACGGTCAGACTCTTCCGACCAAGAACTCGTGTTATCACAGACATACGCTGAAACAGTGAATGATCATCAAGCTCATACTATTTAGGGGATTGGTTCTGACGATCACATTGCTTGTCCTGTGCTTGAGAAGACCTTCGGGCATAGAACACATCAAAAAACAATCTTTACGTCTCTACTGATTTCCTACTGTTGTTTATTGAAACCAAGAGGGCCCTTTGATCTTCAGGATTTATACGACCAGTATAATAACAACGCAGTACCTGAAGACTAGATGAGAAGGGGAGCTCTCGGATGATTCCAACTTCGAAAGGCGGAGGTGGTCCATCAGCAGCACCGAACTTTGTAATGAAATCAGCTTCGGCCGCGTCCCTCGCCAGCTCAGCCGGCCTAACCACGGTTGGAGTGAGCATATCGAACTTATTCGTATCGTCGACATTCGGTTCTTCGAATATGAAGTTTGTAGCCTCGAACATCTTGAGGTCGAGCGGATCTCCTGTCAGTTGGCCTTCAATTTTTGTCAAGGTATGACAACATGCCATTGAGAGCCGTAGTGGATGATCGTACGGCAGCGCTGAAGGATCCTTTTAATAATATTTAAAATAGAAAAGTCAACTGGTTTCTCGTCGTTCGGCCCCAGAAGGTCTTTATCGACATCTCGACTATATTGGATCTAGCATTACTAAAGGCGAACGTTCACCTTGCACTCGGTGAAACATTGGCATAAAATCAAGCTACAAACCACGGTTTCACTCAAGGTTACCTGCAGTGAAACGTATAAGTATAATCATTTGTTAATTTATCGTACCCTAATAGCGGTTCTTTTATCTGTTGGAAGAACTTCTAGAAGGTCAAGCCCATCTTCCGTCAACGTTCCGGTCTTGTCGAAGCAAAAACAGTTGATGCATCCACTGATGTTAATGGATCGTGGTGAAATACAGTAAATCAGTGCTTTGGCCAGGCGTCTCTGAGCGCACACGATGCCTGCTGCAAATAGTCCATAAAGCAAAAATAACGTTCTCACCATTGTTGCTATTATTGCTGAGATATGTTGCATTATAAAAGATATTGCTTGACATTTGAATGCAACCTACTTCAGTTACGGTAATCATCCAATAACAACAAACGATCTGCCCGTCTGTTTCCACAAAGGTGAACCGGCACCGTGTGAAAATAGGATTGCAATGTTTGCATGTCCTAGTTAATGTTTATCGGAGCTATTATGATGTAATTAATAATAAGTGTGATAAAATATACGAAATTGTTATGAGTCTTTGTACCGATTGTCATTGTTGCCGGAAGCGCGGGTGGAATGGTGATCGTAAGCACATCCATTGACCGAATGAAGATATGTAACGCTGCAACATGTCGTTGTACCTATAATGAATAGTATTACAGAAGAATCTGAATTCTTTCGAAGCATACATACATATATATATATATATATATACATATATATGCTTCGAATCTATCTCCGATAATCTGACAAGGATACGCCGGGCAGATTTGCCTTATCCATGATTTATTTGATTTTATCCATATAGAGACTATGCGCGCACCTTCAGTACAATTGTGTAGATCAAGCCAAGACCAGCAAACGTTGCGAGAACATAAAGGAACTTGTTGACATCTTGACCAAGCTGGAAATCGACAGGCTTCGGGAACAGCATGGATCGTACTAATTCACCTTTGGCTGTAAGAAACCCGGTACGGAGGACAACGGCTTCAACATCTTCATTGCCTATGTAACTGTAAAAGACGACCACGAATCAAGTAAAGCATTGCTCATTTAAACACGTAATACAGCGTCGACAGCCTAAGCTGCCGCTCACTAAACTCGGATAGTAGAGGAGTGGAGATGAATAAATGTCGGGATTCGAACGAAGGAACGCATCATCGCAATCGAAGGGCCAAAACTGACATTTCACACGTAATGCATTACGAAGGAAACGAAGTAAAAAATGGTTAGGTTAGGTTAGGTTAGGTTAAGTCAGTCGTGTACTGTTGTTCATGTGTAATTAACAGAAAATCCGCTTGGAGCATACGGTGAGCCGTAAACGAGATCGAATCAAAAATCTTGCCAATCGGAGAGAGACCGAGCGAGGGAATGGCGTCGCGCTGGGGAGAAATCGAGTTTAGTGGCAGGGTCGAATAAATTCCAACGTAAAGTAATGCTAGCTATAGACATCAGGTGTATTTGCTACTATAAGATATTCGTCAAAAATGAAACAACGAACGTAACTAGTTCTCTTGAGTTCCTCAAGAGATTCAGAGGTTGTTGGCACGGCAATCGAAAAACAAGCGGCCTCGTTACTTGACAACAACGCTAGACCTCATCGTTATACCTCAGTTACTTCTTAGAGTGAACGAAGAATTATGCAATGTTGGTTTCAGCTCGCTTAGTTTATTGATCTAAGCCCGTCTGAGCACGAAGCTTTCCATGTTCTAAAAAAAAGCAACTGGTGGCCAAGCATGTCCAATTATAGATCTACCTCGAGAAGTCATGGATCGAAAAGCTATCTGAAAACAGCTGTCTAGAAGTTGCCAGAGTGCTAGGATAGGTGTTTAAAAAAAAGAAGAGCTTTTCTAACACTTGAATAGACTTTTGCTATTCTACCCAAGCGAACTCCAAAGTTCTTCTATTTCAAAATTTTCTATTAAATTCTCTTGTAACAGCCTAGTATATATATATATATATATATATATTTTGCCCATATAAGAACACAGGCTTTCGTATAAGATAAGGTTTAATATCTCTATGCAGGACACAACCGGTGATGCACTCGTAATGGCGTTTCATTATTGATATGGTGGCAACAGTTTGAGATTGTTACTTCTACGGTAATGGCAAATGGTGACAAAACGGTCTGCTAAGCATATTGCTGGACCACAGTTATCAATCGGGTCTACGACTTACCGAGTTTGAATGACCTTCGTGCCACTAAAGATCGTGTATTTTGAATGTTCTTTTGGATGGTAAAGCGAATCATTTGGTCCCGAATGAACGAGGGCAGTCTTTACCACAGGTACACTTTCGCCAGTTAATAGCGATTCGTTTACGATGCAGCTGCAATGCCAAAAACGTACGCAAAAAATTGTTATTGCGCTGGTATAAACTAATGTTTTTTACTGCTAAGTGTTTTTTTTTAATCCGTTCATTGTGGCTTGGATAATGCAACCTGATATATATATATAGAATATATACATATTCGGCCATTCACACTTAGATTAACCCTAAAGAGTTTTTTTTTGTTGCGACGCACATGCGTTCACCCTTCGTTCTTGCTACGAAAAGGGGTACTGGTTATATTACTCGAACAGAACTGTCAATTCATTGCAGCCGAAAACATTAATCTTCTTTCAAAACTAGCCCGAAGATCAGCTACGGTCCAATGTATTCAAGCTGAAGCTCTGCCGAGAATGGTAAACTTCATCTGCTATGCCGAAATCGACCATATACGTTTTTTCACGAAACAACTTTGCTAGATTGATAGGGCCTAAAGTAGGCTAATCGAAATGGGCCAAAAAACCCTTTTTGGTTCGCTTGAGTATTTTCTATCGAAATTAAAAGCTACTTTAATTACATCATAAGTCCCAACTCTTGATCCCTGTAAAACTTTCTGTGCCTTTTTGCGCCTCTTGTCCTTATTAACTACTTTGAGCTTTGCACTTGCTGGATCTTTAACCTGGGGTGAGTTTATAATTGAGGCTGGATTTTTTGTTATTTAACGTGTTTACATCAGTGAACATCGCTTGACGCGCCGTAATAATTTCGAAATTTATCGCGGATTAAAGAAGGAATATCTTGAATATAACTTGGAAATGGTTTGAGTTCTAAAATGAATATGAAATCATGGTGAACGATAGTCACGTTGAATAGACAAGACTCCCAAGGGCGAACAAAAAAAATTGAAGACTACTTTGTTCAGGTACAATAGGTAAGTAACAATGTGAACCTATACGCCCTACCCTAGGAATGATATATTCATTGATGGGAAGTAACGAACCTCCCTGTAACAAGTACAGCGTCAACGTGCATCATACAGCCGTGGCGAGGTATAATTATCACGTCACCCGGCGCTAAATGTTCCGAGGATATCTGTTCGATAGTTTCGCCTTTTGCCCTTACGCGTTTCACCGACACGATGTCCTGCGATACGAAATAAGCGACAAAAAGGAACGCTACTTCAGGTTTCATAACGTAACCAGCCACCAAATGTGCTCTTTTCAGGGAATACGTTGTTCCGTTTATGAAGTCTGATATATTCAAATTTATGATGCGCTACCTATACTAGAACATATTTAGAAATCAGATTAGAGAGTTAGTCTAGGGTTATATTAGAATTTTGTAGACATATTTTGAAAATTTTAAACTATCCAACATAATCATAACTTACAGAAAAAAAACCTGTTCATTGTCTATGCTAATAACCGTACAAATGTCCAGCTGCAGAACTGATCGCAAACGATACAAAAGAATTACCACACAAACATTCAAATGTTTATCACGAAGATGATTACAAACCTTGCCTATGGCCGTATTTCTCAAGGCTCTTTGGTTTTTGTAAATTTGACGAACGCCGATACAGAGGGAGAATACAGAGATGATGATGATACATGCAGCGTAGTAATAATATTGATCCATAAACCTAAAAGTATATGCAACAATAAAAGAGTCATCAGCCAGGTATTTGCGTTATACATTGGGAACTGTATCATGTAGCTTTCGAAATTATTCGCTCACCCAGTAGTAGTAGTACTGTAAAGGACAAAAATTATCCTCGAAAACCATGGAAAAAAGCGGCCTTTATGAAGCTCTATCTAGGTCTACTTTTTATATCAAGCACAACACTCAGGCGAATTAAAACGCTTTCAAATAATGCGTTGTTCTAGCCTAGAAATACATATCTAACGTAATTACCAAATAATGACTGAGAACACCTGAAACATATAGAATGGCTCAAGAACTTCTTTGAAGAGAATCGACATTACTCCTTGTACATCGACGTCGATAAGGTTGTTGCCAAAGAGAACACGTCGTACGATCTCCTCCTTCAACGTTAGGCCCTAATAATACAGCAACGTAAAAGTCATATTTATCGAATTTTTCTTTCATGTTTTATATCATATCAGGAAACTTCCGCAATGAGATCATTGACCTCAACGAGAATAAAAACAACCCACTAGCTTGAATCGTCTCTGCGGGTCCCAATATCTTCATCTTTAAAAAATGTTCTGGATAGATATTATTGTATCTAGAAGTATCGCTGTAAGCGCTCTTCAATGTTACGTCTTTTACCTGTCGGTTCTTCACTATGTACGAGCATGGCGTATTGTGATCTAGGCCGTGCAGTCGAACGAATCTGAAATTTACCAGAAAACAACAATACTCCTATATTTCCTTTCAAAGTTTTGGTGATTCAAGTAGATAGCTACCTATACCACTTTGCATGCTGTATGCACGTGATAGTGCTCTGTAGGCAAAAGCGCAATTTAAGCTCGGCTTGACACTTACTTTTGCAAGTCCCCGTCCCAGAGGAACTTGCGTTTCTTATTCTCGAAAAGGCGCAATCGATCGGTGTATCTCAAGCCTCCCTTTAATTTCAAAAAATAAACATTTAATAACATTATTTTTAAATCTAGAGCTAAATATTATAGCTCAGTAGTGTTTCCGTAAAGAACAAACATCAATCCCTAAATCAGTCTCAAGAATTCAGCTTTGTACCAACTGTACAGATGCTTTTCGAATTTGAGGAGAGGGAAGGTGACAGGCAATTATATAGGGTGAATATGAAGGTAAGGTTTAAGCAACAAAGGTTATGGTGCTCTTCCAAAAAACGATGTGTGATGAGCCGATCGTGGTAAATAACAAACGATTTGTTCTTCCAGAATTCAGGCATTTTGAACAGACAAAATTACGCAGTCTTCTTAAAATGTCCTGCTACTTATCCGCAGTGACAATCGAACTGCGCAATTTTTCGATAGTCGAAAGGGGTGCTAAGAAGCTTGATTTTTAATTTAGATCTTGTAGTTTTCTCAGGCCTGGGCCCAGCCTTAGAGCAATACTCAGACGACTGTATTTACGTCATACCTGAATCATAGCCTGGTCTCCAAAAGTCTTCTGCAGCGTTGGCATCGCTTGCGAACATTTTATTTCGTTCTGAACACAGAACATGATGTACGCTCTTTGGTACTCCATCTTCGTTCAAAAAAAAACGAAACGTGACCAAAAGTCGTTCTCTTCAAAGCGCTTGCAAGCTATAAAGCACGTGTCCGCACACTCTGAAATACGGCCTGTGTATAGCAGGCACGCAGGTCAATGTCACGCCACAGGCCCGGCGACGAGCCGGATTTGAAACAGCATGAGCCAGGCGTATTATCGATATTTTTTTGATTCAATCGTATTTAATATATTGATTACTATCAACTCAGCTGGTGGTGACATACTAATTTCAGTTTGATCGACTTATATGGCTCAATTTTACTACCAAGAAACTATGTGATCAAAAAAAACACGTGCCTAGAGAAGCCTGTAATGGAGTAATGTAATGACTACACTAACTACAATCGTACGCTCGAAGGCTTCAGCAATCCACCAACTAAATTTCAACTAATTATCCAAATTTCGTTGTAAGCAGCTTTAATGATTTTGTCCATCATAGAGACTCAGGATATGGCTAATATCTTAGAACTTACTCCCGGTTCCAGCTGAACAAGGGTGTCGATATCACCTACTTCATCCCAAACCTTTTCAAGGTTTCCCTCAAAATCGTTGAACAGTTCACTTAAGCTGAAAGATCAAGTTAAAAACGAAACGAGGAAACGTAGCCGTTAGTGCCTGATACTCGTCCTGGTCCTAAAAGTGTATCTAGAATGTGAGGGAAAACAGGCTAAGGAAAAGCTACTGTGACCGTCCACAAAGCGCTCTGGTCGTTAAGCTTCTATTACGACGTCGTATCTTTGGCTATTTAGTTCTCCCGTCAAGTTAGCCACGAGAAGTTCCGACTCAAGACATAGAGCCTTAATAGCTAAACAGGGTTCATTTCATCAAAACGCTAGTCTTTCAAAAATAATGCCGCTTTCAGCCGTTAGCGTTAAAGCCTCTAAGACAGGTAGCCGCAACACGACGGCTCAAGCAGAAAATCTTCTAGGCTCAACACGTGATCCTTAAAGAATGTCTATCTTACTTAACGCTCCTCCAGCCCTTAGTGAGGAGCAGTAAGTCAATGAGTCATTAAGACAGCATGATGGAACCAATTCGTGTATTGCTGCAGTCAGATAGAGGTGGACTTAAGACCGAGTGAGAGAAGACAACTATTCATATAGGAATCCTTTGGCATGCGTAGTAAAGTTGCAGGCAATGTGAACATGCTTAGAGGAAAAACGTACTCGTCCTTCTAGAAGCTGGTTTCAGTTGGAGTAAACGTATTGCACCGGCCTTTATCGAAATGGCTAATCACTTACAGAGAGAAAAACATTTTTTCTATAATTACACAAGATAAGTTGTTTCTGGCCTGTATGCCCTATTTATTTTGCAATGGCTTAATAACAAAGCTTTTTTTTTTTTGCTTTGCCAGTTACTGGATTTAGTTTCGATTAACCACTGGGATATTGGCCGTGCTACCAATGCTCTACTTCTAAAGCTTTTACAGGTGTACCGTCAGAGGGTAAAATATAATTTGACTGTAAAATATCAGTTGAATAATCAACTGAAAAACGAATCCAACCAACATAAATTGATGAAAAGAATGGATTAACAGTAAAAAAAACCCGTACCGTACGCTGTATGGTGTAATAATACGAACATCCTCAACGAAAATTTGGTCGTACTGATCTACAAGGCGAACTTTGGTAGCTTCTGCTAGTGGGCATACTTCATGGGTGCATCGGAGCATCCAGTCAGGCTTCCAATGAAACACGAGTCGAGCGAGACCCAGTGTACACACGATGCCCAGCCACGTAACGAAGGTCTTGGCCAGGTTGCGTTTGTATCCATAGCACTTCTGTAATACGGCAGACAGAAATTATATTATTCGATTGAAACAGCTTCAACATATATTCGGTCTGCTCGTGCGTAATTGTCACGCCGTCTTTTGGGGAAACCTTCGATGAGTTCAGGAAAACTTCGTCCCCTTCGACGTTAGGTAAAGGTAGGTCCTTGGTGTACCTAAAAAGAGGTGATTCCAAGATCTTGTTCACGTAAAGGTAATCCCGAAAGATAGGAAAGTACATAAAACAGACAAAAGCCTCTCAGCTACCTGAGAAGCTGCGATCATGCAATAAAAGGTGTCTATAAACGTCAACCTTTCTTAAGACTCGCGAGTATCAGTGCGGGATCGAATAAGTCCAATTGACTGGCGCCCAAAGCTGGCAGATCACAATCAAATCGCTTGCAGCTCGTAAAAATTAGCCCCTGTTTCCCGATACAATGCCGTCGGCTATGAACTCACTGCGCGAATGTGATTTAATCCAATATCTGAGTGGCCCTTCTGGGCTTAACGGGTCCCTTGTCTCAGTGGTTCATTTTAATTCTTTTTTTCCAACTAACGCTAACAATTCTCGCATCTTTTGGCTTCGAGTAAAAATAGGTAAAAAAAATGTATTTCTATTTCTAAGATGTGGTCACGCTCACTTGGGAGTTGTAACTCGTTCTACATAGAATGTGTTCCGGAACTATTAGATCGATTTGTTATTTCAAGCGAACCCAAAAGGTAATTCATCGAAAACACGAGGTATTAAGAGCATTTTTCAAATACGTAACCGTTACGTACCACCACCTTGGAACCGCTATGTTAACGAACGAGCTAAACCGGAATGAATATTTATTAACAAACATTGATCCACTAAGCAAAATAGACTATAATACATAGACAGAGACACGTTCGTATGTATAGACAAGCATAGTAATTATAATTATTTACCTAATATACATCACATAACATCACGATTGCGCGCTCTCAGTGCGTGAGCATCCAACCGTGTTAGACAATCAAGTAAATACAATCAGACAGTTATCGCGGATGAAGGCAAATGCTTTGAAGGTTGTCAGAAATCAGAGGTCGTGAATCATCAGCGCTTAGCAGCGTACAGGCCCATGCGCCGACATCATTTACAACGACAAACGAAGCGGTTTTTCAATAAACTTTGTAGTGCTTCACTAAGCATGACATAAACGTAAAAAATGTACACAAATAAATCTAAGACTGCAGCAAACATCGTTCATCATATATTTATCCGAATCCGAATTAAAATTAAGGCGGATCTTATGTGCAGAACGATGCGTGCACTCAACACGGAAACGAAAACGCATGCGCTGTCTCTACCTACGGAACCGAATGTAACGAACTTACAAGGTTACTGAAGTCATCTTCGGTGATCTTCTGAAAGGAGGTGACCGTACTCGAACAGCCTGTAAACGCGAATAATGAAATAAATTAGGTCAGGTTCAAGACATTGAGCTTTTCTTCCTTATTAATATAAATACGTATTATTACGTTGTCGAAAGAGTATTAACGGTACTTAAGCCAAAGCTAGAGCAAACATTTTCAACTTTAAAACGGTATTACTCGACTAATTATGCGCCATCCTGATAGATGTCCTTCAGTCATTTTCCCGGTAACATGATAACCGCCGGAACAGATGGTGCAACAACGGTGCTGTGAGGCAGTCACATTGCAATTTCCCATCCAAATTCTCTCACTTTTTGTCGGGTAGCCAAAGGTCCGTGTGTGGTCTAGCATTTTGACAATGGAAGACGACACCCTTTGTTTTCCACCGATGGCGGTCTGTTCTGTTCAATGGCCTGTTGCAATATTGTTCCGAACCAACCGTTCTGCCAGGCGGCATTATGTCGTGGTGCATGATTCCTTTCCATATCCCTTGACGTCGGTTCGGCTTTTGTCACAGATCTTAGAGCATATTTTTTTCATAGTATGTCATCTAGTTTTTATAATTCGCGGTTAACCGTTTTAGAAGAAGCTCGATTCATTACGGTTCTGTAGAGTCTAGCAGATATAATACAACCGAGTAAAATTGTGCCAGCGTCCTTTGTATAATCTAAAACTCTTCGATAGTGCATGGTGGTTTAATCTTTTTGACGATGTCAGCCTTCGCAGTCGGCAACTCTTCCGTAGCTAAGAAATTTCCAGAGCGATAACGACAGAACCATCCGTTGACCACAAACAACACGAACTTTTTATGGGCCCGAGCAGCATTTGTACCGTAACAAAATTGGGAAATACAGCAATTTTTTTCCCAAGTTTCACTCACCTCTACCTTACGCTCAAGTAAAGTCACATCTGCCGCTCCCAAATTCTAGCTTCTAAATGGTACCAACGCCAGTGGTTTAGGTGGTCGACACTTTTTCGGCAATCCAATAATATATATATATATATATAATAACGTGATGGTAAAGCATTTTTTCAAGCCAAGTCATCATCACTTGCTAAATTTATTCTTAGTTACATATTTCTGTTATTTTGTGCCTTTTATCCCATTTGCCGTTAAGATATATTATGTAAAAGCATTTTTTTTATGTAGAACTATCTCTCGTCGCTCTAGTTCAGATGGATTAGCATTATACTAGGGCAGATCCACAAAGTCCACATCTTCGACCCACAAAGTTCAGAACTTCACAGCTGCCGCAGCCCACTATGGAGGCAAAACAGGCTAATATTAAGTAAGGTGCTTCGTTCTACTGTAACAATCCCGTAGCAGTTTTGAGGTTACAAAACCACGATGGCTGTGGTAAACGGTAACCGTTTGAAGTAACTATTCTATACACACGAACTGGGTTCAACGTTTAAATCGTATAGGGGATACATTCACCGACAAACTACTACACTTCTATCAATCATATTATCTCATAGAGATTCGGCTATAGAAAATGTGTGCTTGTGACACTTTATTTTTTTCGAGACATTTAATTAGTTTAGAGCGTGCTAGCAAAACAAAAGTCTGACAAACAGAAAATAAACACAGGAAAAAGAACGAGGTTCGAACCATATGCGAAATCAACACAGCCAGCTACAAATATTCATTAACTTACGTAGTCCCAACGAACAAACAGATAGAGGCTCCTTATCTATTGATAAAATCGATTAGTATAACACTAAACAGATCCTTTTTTTGGTCCTAAAACGTTTACTGTTATTATTGTGGCCATTGCAGCGTTTCGAACTCATGGACGATCGAACGTTAATGATATCTATCTAGGTTTCGTCGACGGCGAACGCATCTAAGGTGCATTTTAGATAACGGATAAAGTCATTACCACTTAATTGTCCTGTATCACATGTGAGCAGTGGCTGTTTATCGTCATTATCGGTGGGGCTCTTTCGCAATCGATGGCCCACCACCCCTGGCAGCACGGTGCCCCTCCTGTATTGTTCGGCCAACGTTTTCATACTTCACTTCTTATTCGTGCTGCACCAGCTATTCTCCATAGTGCCGACGCGTGCTAACGACACCCTTAGTAATGCACAGTAACACGTGCTTATTGTACTCACTGAGCGCTTAAGTTTTTGTGACGAAACACTTTAATCCAGCCCCCAAATAACGACGCCATTTGCGGAACAGTGGACGCATCTGATCTGATATCGTTTGCCGATTTTCCTCAGGTACAGAGCAAACACGGTAGCGCGCCCACACAGTTCTCACATGCATACTGCTTAGAAGCTTCCCCGTGATCGACTTGCTTAGTCCATCGACAGACGATGAATATATTCTCGTAGGGGAAATACGCCAGTATATGGCTTCCTACATCGAGACATGTCTAGTCACATCGCTGTTGCTGCGGTTAAGTCTGCGCCAGCGCAAATATCACAAGAGAAGCTAGCTGGTTTTATGGAACGATCTGGGGATAACAGATTTGAGTCCGGAATCTGTCACACTCAGCCAGTGCTATCATGAAGATTATAGGCGTAAGCACATCAGTATCTGAAGAAATCCTTTCTCGCACTGTTTCTAACTGTGAACAAAGGTCTCTAACGGTGTCAAAGCATAAGAACGCGAATCTTCAACCTGGTCAAAGAACACCGCGGCCAAGGCGTGCCGCAACGATAGCGAGCGCTTGTTGATTCTTCTTTTCTATTGCCTTTCGCACCCGTTGCTTTCCACCGCGCTTCCACTATGAGTGGGGTCGCTGTTCGGCGCCACCCGGGCGTAGACCCTCTCCACTAGCAAGCGTTCCCATCTTCATTCTGGGGATTGCTACTTTAAATAACTATTAACTAACAGAACTTATTAAAAGTGAATGTAGCCGAAATATTGGACGGGTAGACCGGTGCATACTTGTCCTTTATAGCTACAATTTACAAGCAATCTAGTAATTATTCTCTATTGCCAGAGTTGTACAGTAAGGAACTTCAAGGGACGCGCCTTATGGAGGGACCCAAATCATAGTCTTGTAGTATGCGCACGTAGAACGGATCGCTCGGAGGGACTTCAAATAAGTATATCTTTGTTCCCACACGGATAATTGACTCGGGTTCGCTGTTAGATTTTCAAAAACAAAAGCCATTTTATTGTTGCTGATTTATAATGTATCGTTCGTTATACACCGTCGAAAACATTTTTCTTTACTATCCAAAGCCGTTCTGCTCAAAAAAAATCCTAGCTTGAGTTCCGACTCTAGAGATAAGTTAATTAGGGTGACACTGTTGACCTTAATCGTGTTTTACGAAGCTGCTGCAAAAGTTCAGAATAAATGAAACTAACAGTACAACTACTTAAAAATGCCTTGCTCGGTCGAGGAATGGCACTCTGCACAATGCACGTACCCTATTCGACGAAAAAAGAAGATCCCTGGATAAGCGTATCTCTTAGCCTTAGAAAGCACGCCACACGCGGAAATTTCCTGCGTACACGTCAATAGGGAGTCGCACCTAGGACAACTATAATGGTGCACGCAGCGATACTTGTACTGCAATTGTTTTTAGTTGCTAGTATTTGTTTACGCAGAACGCCACCGGGCACATAAAGGAATATTTTGACATGGCTCTTGGAGGTGCCTGGGTTCCTGAAATAAGCGTTATTCTAACTCTCTAACATTTCAAACGTGGGTTTTGTTTTTAGTCGGTCATTTCCTATTAGGATAATCGTAGTAGTAATGAGTTAATTTTCCGAGTATACTATTTTGTGCCAGTGCTGTCCACTCGTAGACGGACCAAGGGCAGCGTTACAGCGCGTACAAGCTGAGAGACAAGATAATGAATGATGTAGTCTGTAAAAGATAGTGAACAAGCAATCATGAAGATCTCAGTGCAGCGATACAAATACCAGAAAAGTGTATATGAGCACGTGGACACTCCTGTACTTCACGAAGCAAGTCTAGACCGTTTCCTTTGCCTCGTACGTTAGAATCATAAGAATTGTCCTCCTAACCGAAGATTATGATGCGTAAGCCTTTCTTCCTCGGGTAAGCACCGCTCTAGGTAGGATTATGCTAAACCTTCGTAGACAATTTTTAATAGCAAGTCGCTGAACTCCTTGCTCCGCTCAGTTATCGCAAAGCCCGGTTAAAGGTCGTACACACGGCGCCATTACGCCACAAACGAAAGGAAGGAAAGATGTGAGGGGACGCTAATGATAAACGGTCTGAGATGCGACTGCGATACATGGCCTCGACTGGCAGGTTTCCATTTAGAACAGCTCTACAGATTATTTGTATAAATTGTATTGGGCAGTTGTTTCATCCGATTTCTTTGGATTTTTTCTTGATATTTATTATTTGCTTAATTAATAATAGTGGAACTTTTTGTATTAGGTCTGTCTCCATGATCTGTAACCGAATCTGTGTTACTTTTCTTCATGTTTCGATATTGAACTATCGATGACGGTGTAATTGTTCAACGAAACTGCCACCACGGCTGCGATTCTCGGCCTAAGCGACCGCGGTCTATTTCTGCGCAACTGTTTTCAAAGGCGCTCGATGTAAAAATATATGTTAAAGCCTCGCGTAACCACATATCCCCTAATAACCTTGAGCTACAATCGCTAAGCAATCCAAAACTACTGGCTTCAAACGAGGACTGACTAAGTGGTTAGAAATTCAAATTTAAACGACTTCTTTGTCCTGCGGGAAGGCTCATGGGATACGATAACTATAGAGTAACTCATCATTCTCTACAGCACATTGTAGTAAACGTACAATGTCGTATTTTTGAAAATATTGTTAGATTTGTCTATAAGACAGCTGTTTAACTTAACAAACTTCCTTAAACTTATGAAACCGGACTCAAAACGGATGTCGTCCACAGTTCCTCAATCATCACAGTTGTCTTATTATTGAATTATAGCTTATTACAACACGTAAGTATTCTCTGATGCAACGGACTCACCTCGGTCGTTTTCTGAGCGGCGGTCCCCGCCACTGTTGATCGACTGCTGCTCTTTGTCCTCATTTTGGCC